TGTGATAATTAATAATTTAATTGGTAAATAAATCATTACAAGTAGAACTTTAGACGCTGCGGGCCAATATTCTAGAGATATGATGCGATCACACACCATTCAAAAAAAACTTGCACATATACTCAAATTAATGAAGTGAAACAATATATGTACGTACGTAGGGGTACGCACTCGATATCTTTTGGATACCTTTAGAACATTTTATCGTTTTGTGGATAGGACCAATAATGATCTCATCATCATCATCGTTATCATCAACATCAAATATACCGATATACATATAAACGAACGTAGATATGCAACCACGTACACTTGAGGACAAAAAAATATTCAGTCTTCGTGTCCCCATGCACACGTCTCTGTCTCTCGGACCGTATCCTACTTCTTCACAGTGCCCACCAACTTGGTTTTTTGCTCCAAATAAATTTCAAACGATAACTGTTTTCAACAAAAATTGCTAAAATTATGGTTAAATATATTTACAGCCTTTTTCAGAAAAGCTTGTGTATATAATATTAGATTAGGTCCCGCATATACGCGAGTTTATTTTAATTTCCTTTTATAAAAATCACGGAAGAATATTTCCTTTTAAAAATAAGTAAAGTAATATTAAAACCCGATAATAAATCTCTAAATAAACTAAGATATGTAATATTTTTACATTTTAATTTTGAATTCATGATATGAAATAGAAAATCTTACATGTGTCTAAATCTAATTGACTCGTTAATTTATGAAACTTTGATTATTCCATTGCTGAAACCTTTATTCTAAATATTGATGGATTTTTTTAATATTTTTTTATCTAACAAAAAAATGGAAAATTTAACTATTTAATATTAGAAGATTACTCTATTATAAAACTTTCTTTTTAATATTATTTAGTTTCTTGATAATTATTTTGTTAGTTTTCTATTTATATTGTTTCTTTTTCAGTTTTGTGTTTGCCTTTTACCATTATAAATTTTCATTTTCATTATTAATTAGTTGTTTTACAATTATTTTGTTAGTTTATTTATTTACTAGATTAAGGCCCGCGTATACGCGGGTATATTTTAAGATTTTATAATAAAAGCATGGAAAATATTAAACAAAATTTGATCATTTTTAAACGTAAACAAAATAATATTGAAAACCCGATAAAAATATTTAAATAAAATAAGATTGGTAATACTTTTACATTTTTATTGTAATTGATTTTTCTTTTGAATTTATGATATGACAAAATGAATTAATTTGTTTTACTATTATTTTTATCCAATACAGAAAGACTTACACATGTCTAAATCTGATCAACTGATTAATTAATCAAACTTTTATTATTCCATTCAAGAGATTTTAATTGATGAAATCTTTATTTCAATTTTTTTACCTAACAAAAATTGAAAATCAAACTATTTAAAATTAGAATATCAATTATAATTTTTTAATATTAGTTAATTGCTTGATAATTATTTTGTTAGTTTTCTATTTATATTTTTTCTTTCTCAATTTTGTTTTTGCCTCGGACCATTATAAATACTATATATTGGTATTTTTCCTTTTCAAATGGATTTTTTTTCCTTTTCTTAATAGATGTAACAAAAGAATTTAAATTATTTGTTTCCTGTTTTTTTATTACTTTTAATGGATGTATTATTTTTTTCATTTTAATTATTTGTTATCTGTTTTTCTAATTTTTAGTTAGTCTTATACATATTAATTTTTTATTATTTTTATTCCATGACACATGTTACGATCTTCATACTTCCAGAATTTTTTTTTTCTAAAACACATGTCGCAATTTTGTCAGTTATAAAAATCTATGTATCGCAAAACTTTCAAAAACATGATTTTTAAATTGGAGAAATAGAATCAAAGGGATTTGATGAATTTGCTTTGATGAATTTATGATTGAGAAACCTTGACTCTCTTTTATAGGGGTTCAAGTAACCTATTACATGCAGTTATAGGAAATTTAGTTTACATAACATATTCCATGTACAAATAGGATTTTATTTATTACATTATTTTGATTTTATTATTTGTTTGGATAATATTAATTTGATGAATGGAAACCTTTCTCTATTAGGATATGACAAATATATTTTTATTTCTTTTAACTGTAATGGATTTTTTTTAAAACATTTCCTTTATCTAAATTTTTATTATTATTATTTTTCTTTTTTCTAAGACATGTGTCACGATCTTAACGGACGTAACATTAAAAGTGACACATGTCGCGATCTTATAAATTATAAAAATCCTATGTGTCGCAACCACGTCGTGCGCATCCAACTTTATATAATAAAAAATTGATGAATGGGAAACCTTTTTCTGTTTGGATATGACAAATATTATTTTTTCCTTTTTGATATAATAGATTAAATTAAATTTCGTTTTTTTTTAATTAACATTTTTCTGGAATTTTTTTTTTTTAATTCTCTTTTTTTCCTAAGACACGTGTCACGATCTTAACGGACATAAACTTAAAAGTGACACATGTCGCGATCCTGAATTTTATAAAAATCCTACGTGTCGCAACCACGTCGTGCGCATCCAGCTTTATATAATAAGATGTTACTACATTTTTCCAATTTTATTGTGTTGACATATGTCATCACCATATCAAATATTAGACACATGTAGCGATCTCAAGTTAATTATTCTTCATTGATATCTTGAACTTTTAAAACATGATTTTTTTATTTCTTAATGAGAAAAAAACTTAAAAAAATAGCTTGTTATATTTTTCTTTTCGTATTTGGCATATGTTTTTTTATTCCTTATCTTATCTTTTCGTATTTTCTGATTTTTCTTTTTTTTTTCCTTTTCGTAATAGGATTATGTTTCTTCTTTACTTTTCCTAATGGATGTAATATTTTTTTCTTTTTAATTGTTTATTTCTTTTTTTCTGATTTTTCCTAATGTACAAATAGGATTTTATTTCTTACATTATTTTGAATTTTAAAATGTGTTTGGACAATATAAATTTGATGAATGAGAAAATATTTTCTATTATAATATGAAAAATATGATTTTTCTTTTTTTTTACTCTAATAGATATTTTTTTTAATTTTCTTTTTTTCTAACATTTTTTAATTATTTGTTTTTTTTCCAAGACACTATCTTAACGGACGTAACATTAAAAAGTGACATATGTCGCGATTCTGTAAATTATAAAAATCCTACATGTCACAACCATCTAACTTTATATAATAAGATATGTGTTTAGATAATATAAATTTGATGAATGGGAAAACCTTTTTTTCTGTTAGGATATAACAAATATTAATTTTTTTTTTAAATATAATAGATTAAATTTCGTTTTTCTTTTTAATTATCCTTTTTCTAGTATTTTTAAAAATATTGTTTTCCCCTAATACATGTGTCACGATCTTAACGGACATAATCTTAAAAGTGACATATGTCACGATTCTATATTTTATAAAAATCTTATGTGTCGCAACCACGTCGCGCACATCCAGCTTTATATAATAAGATAATAAAAAGGCACCAGGTGATATATATTTATTAAAATACTAATCTTTGATGCTCGTGTAGTTTTAATATTTTAAAAAGAAACTTTAACAAAGTTTTCAAACTAAGGCTATATTTTTAAAAGCTACAACTTTAATAATTAAATCACTGTCCAAACTTTAATACCTTTCACATTTTCAAACGCATTGATGAAAACGAAAATTCTGAATTCATCATGTTTCAAATTAATTATGTTCTGGTTGAAGATAATTTAACGGAGCTTAGTCCATAAACGATTTGATTTACTTGAGTCTTGGTTCGGTTATCTTTACATTTTCTGAAATATCTTTAACTCTCACGAAATTAATTATCCTGCACATAGCAATACTTATAAAATTAGATATTACAAAGTCGTAGACGCCAATGTAACAGACTACAAGTACCATGCCTTTGCTTTTGTGATATTCTACATATTGTATATTATAAATAAAATTTCTTCTGTAACAACTATGACTTGCTTTATCATAAAACTTCAAAACGACGTTGTAATATAAACCCAACTACCCAAGTGGTAGAAAAGGTAACTTATTAAAAAAACAGAACATCCTAATAATGGCATCCAGCTCTCTTTGCATATTTTCGGAACATTCTCATCGTTTTAACTCAAAAGAAAAGATGGAAATTGTGACTTCCACAATGTGCCACGTTATTGGTTCAACAGGGTATCGATGCCATACGTCAACATTTTTCTTTGACATAAATATATACAACTTTTACATAAATTTCGTTTCATATCCGTTAAAGTGCTTCTTCTTTTATTTTCACGACACTTACGTTAGTTACAAGTTACAACTTACACAACTGAATATATCATTTCATTTTACTCCTTTCTCATATTTCTTTGTCACCGTTGTATCATAATAAGCAAATTTTAGACTGTGCACATGTTGGTAAATTAAGTGACATAGAAACTACTGTGTCTGTTAATTTGTGATTTATGTAGTTTGCGGAAGAAAGAACTCGTTTTGATTTTTTTTACAATTAATTCACTCAGCCCTACATTGTTTCTTGCATCAAAGAACATACATAAAAGCATACGTTACAGTATCGAAAGCTTTTTTGGATTAAATAAAAAAATCTATAGTAAATAAAAAATATAAAAATAAAGAGTCATTTCATGGAGGACCCCACAGTACATGGTTCCATAATGGAAGAAGCTCTATTTATAAGCGCCTCTTCACTCCCCTTCTCTTCCATGTCTCATTCTCATCCATCAAGCCACAACACATCATCTTCTCTTAAAAAAATCACCACCTAAACACACTTCAATTTTCACCACACAGGTTGATTTGTCTTCTTCACAAATCGACAGGTATGTTGCCATCTCCAGAAACGGATCAAGAATTATCCAAAATATAAAACAAGAAGAAGCTACTTTCATATATTAACTTCATTGTTTGTTAACATTGTGATTGTAATTGTGCAGGAAAGCGAGGGAATAGTGTTGAGAGGTTGTGATTCGTTTTGACAAACAAAAAAAAATGATGGCTTGTGGCTTAAGCAAGAGCCTTGGCTTCTCTTCCTCGTTGAAGAAGCAGCAAGGCATCGTGACCATCCTTGGTGGCGCCGACTGTGACATTCCGTCGAACACTTTATCTGCACCTTCTCTCAGGAGGACCTTCTCTGCCGACTTGTCCTCCAAGAATTGGGTTACGCAGAATGGGTTTTCTCCGATGAAGAGGATCTCTTCCTCTGAGAAGCTCCGTGCTTTTGCTACTGACGAGAAAACTGGAGATGCTGAAGCAGAGGAGGGATCGAGATCTGGTGTCGACATTTGGGCTCAGATTCAGCAAGATAAGAATAAGAAGAAGGAGGAGGAGGAGATCGAGCCGGGCCAATCCGATGTGTGGAGTTCGATTTTGTCCGATAAGAAGAAGACGGAAGCGAGCAAGGACACGGTTCCTCCGCCGTACGTTCACCCGCTGGTGAAACGAGCGAGCTCCTTGAGCGAGAAAAGCCTCGAGATTTGCACTGAGAGTCTCGGATCCGAGACGGGTTGCGAAGGTTTCTCTTCGCATGGATCGTCGGAGACTGGAGATGCTGAAATCGAGAAGGAAATCAGCATCCAAGAGGAGATGAATCTCCTTCTCAATGCAACAGAGACCAAAAAGGAAGAAGAAACAGAGGCCAAGGCCGAGGCTGAGGTTGAGGTTGAGCAAAAATCAATCACCGTTCCAAATCACACAATTTCGTTTCCTCCTCCGATTCGTTCCCTCTCGAGCCAATCGGGTTCGTCTCTGCACATGAAAACTCGCCGTGACAATGGCCGATTGGTTCTCGAGGCTGTCTCTATGCCGTCGCACAACAACTTCTCCGCCAAGCGCCAAGACGGACGTCTCCTCCTGACATTTGCGGAAATCAGCAACGAGCTTGACATCGATAGCGACAAAGAAGATGAGATTGAATCGGAGGCTCAGTGGTTCGACGAAGAAGAAGAAGAGGAGGAGGAGGAGGAACCAAACGAGTTTGCCTACAAGCCCAACGGAGTTCTGTACAAGCTGGCACCGAAACACAGTGGGCCTATAACTGTTCATAGGTTGGCCCATAAGCCCATTACGGTTCCAAAGAGAAACTCGATATGGCCCGCGACGGAGGAGTTCAAGACCAAATCCGATCTCTCGACGCCGGTGGTCCACTCACTGCCACCGAGGCCGAGGGTGGCTCAGCTTGCACGGTCAACAAAACCGCCGTCCACGGTGGATGACACCGTAGGAGCCGCTTGCTTCAACACGTGTGACTACTACTGGAAGCCCACTAACGCCGAAGCTTTTGGCCCGAACGCAAAAACACAATTCCAAGGCCAAAACTTAGTCCACAAATCATCAATCGGCGTTGGACATGACGGGTGGATGATAAATGGGTGCAAGGAACGAAGGAGGTCTCTTTTGTCCGTTGAGCCGTTCTGCATTGCCACTTCATAAGTTTAGACCCTACCAAAAAAAATGGGGTAATTCAAGAGAAGCATAAGCATTATGATATATCTATCTATGTGTATATGTATGCGAGTATACATACTCGAATATATATGCATGTTAACCCAATAATTGTTGTTGTTTTCTGATGGTTTTTCTACCTTATTTTTGTTCCTCTACATGTTTTACCACTTGGTTTGTGTGGTAAAACGTAAAATAAAAGAATCAAAGAGTAGGAGAGGGAAGAAAGTAAGGGGTGCGTGAAACTTAGAAAGTAATTTATTGTTTTAAATGAGGTTAGAGACCTTGTTGGAGTAAGAAATATTTATTATGATGAGTGTTGTGTTCTACTGTTCTGTACAAATTTTTGTTGTTTCATAGTGCTCGCAGTAAATCAGTAATCAAATCACTTTGGAATTTGAAAAAGAAAAAGAAAAATAATACTTCATGTGTGATGATAGTATTTCTCTTGTTCTTCCTCTGCTGCCTCGTGTTCTATTCTCTGTAATTAGAGTCTCGTTTTGGTCTTCTAAGTTGTAGCCAAGTATAAAGCAGACAAAACACACGTTACGGTTGTTTTGGCCGATTGTTCGATTTTCGCAACTTTGTTAGTATATGCAATACTGTACGTCCAAAAGCAACCAATATCATAAAGGTAAATAATGTTATCATCTTGTTTGACTGATCGTGTTACTTGATAGAAAGCATATAACATATCGGTTAATTATGTGAATTCATTGTCCGATTGTCGAGACTCGAGAGCATTATGATCTATGGACCATATAGCGAATTCAAATCTTTTTATTTTGACAACGTATGATCTAAAATATGCTGATTAACATAATTCTAAGTGTTGGTGATCAACAAAGTAAGAACTATATACTCATCATTCAATGTTTCAAATAACGTAGTTGAAAGTGTCTTATCTTTTCCGTTTTTCACGACATGATGATGATGGCCAAATGAATTCAACCAAATATCATGAAATAAGCTATTTATCCACATTTACTCGATGAATTTATATTTCTACGTTCTGTTTAGCATTCAGCGAAACATTTTTGTTTAGCAGGTGCATCAAATTCATGCCTAAATAAGCACCCATAAGGCTTTTGGTAAAAAAATAAAGTAATGCCTAAACCCGAATCCACCTGTTTGACCCGAACGACCCGACCCGATAAATCTCAAAATCAGACCCGCCCGAGTACCCGACCTTGTCATTCCAGAATACAGCCCGGAGAATCGCCCAATTTGTTTCTTCTTCTTCGTTTTCTACTTTGTCGTACTCAGAGAGACGGAGAGAGAGAGCGAGAGGGGAAGGAATCAAATAAAGACAGTCATGGGAGAGGTGAAAGTAGACGACGATGCGATTCTAAAATCCTTCTTCGCCGAGGTCGGTGAGGTTGAGAGGGACAACGAAGTCGTCAGGTTCCTTCAAATACCCTCTTCATATGCCTAATTTTAGCTCGTAGCCCCCAACTCTGCTCCTGATCTAAGCCGTGTATATGCGTTATCATGCAATTCGTAGTGCGTTAGGGACATTATTGGTCATTACAATCGCTTATCAATAGCTCTATCTCTTTAGAGGATGGTAAATTAGGGAACTATATGAATGGAATTAGAACTGAATTGGCACTGCGTTTGTATGGTTTCGTCTATAGTTTCCTTCACTATCCACTTGATTACGAAACGAATCCTGTGAACATTTGATAATTTCCTCCCCTTTCCAGAGAAGAATGATTTGTTTTTGGGATACGCTGTTGAAATGATTTCCGGTATGCTTTTAGTGGTGCAGTCATGTCTCATATTGATCATATCTTGAAACTTGAAACTTTGTAGGATTCTCTCATGCTTCAAGCTGAACCCGTTTGAGCATCTAAACCTATCTTTTGATTCTTCCACCGATGACGTTAAAAGGCAGTACAGAAAGGTATTCTCAATTCTGACACTTGCAACCCTGCAAAGACATTTGTATTTTCTTCACGGTTTATCAACCTTATTGCTCTGATTGGGCAATACAGTGGAAACTTTGTCACTGATTCGAACCTTTTGCAGATATCTTTGATGGTTCATCCTGACAAATGCAAGCATCCACAAGCACAGGAGGCTTTTGGAGGTTAATACTCTTATAATTTCTTGGCATATGCAGTTGTTTTTTTGTGTGAATGAACCATCTGGATGTTGCATCAAGCAAGAAATGATTGGCCTCTCCTTAAAAGAATTGTTATTTTTTTCTGGATGAACTCGTAATGTTCTTACGTTTTTTATTTATTTACTGAACAGCATTGGCTAAAGCGCAACAGCTACTGCTTAACGACCAAGAAAGGGGTTATATTCTCACGCAAGTACATGCTGCGAAAGGTGAGAATTTTTGCAGTTTGTCTTGTTCATCTAGAAATGTTACCAGAATCTGTAATTTACCTTTTATTTTTCTTTCTGTCTCGTGACAACCTTTTTTTTTTTTTTTTTTCAATTGTGAAATGCAGAAGAGCTTAAGATGAAGAGAAAGAAACAGTTGAAGAAAGATACCGCCTCCAAAATAAAGTCCCAGGTTGATGAGGTAAGCGACCTGTTTCTTTTGGGGTTTAAATCTAAGCTATATATCTGAGATTCTTGTTTTGTACCTTTTCTATGTCCAATTCAAATAAGAATTCTTTAGATACAGAATACCTAGCTCATGTTTGTCAAAGTTTATCTGTTAGATATTCTCAATGAATCACACTGTTCTGTCTTTGTTCTTATTTTTTATTATTGGTATTGAGTCACATATCTAAATCGTTATTATCTTGCTTTTCCTAGTTGTTTTGAACTTTTAATCCACTCAGATTTCTCTTAACTTAATACTGTTACATATTTTTGATGCACACAGGGAAAGCATGAGCAAATATATGAGCAATCTGAAGAGTTTCAGAAGGAGCTTAAGTTAAAGGTCCGAGAGATATTAACAGACCAAGAGTGGCGTAGGAGAAAAATGGCAATGAGGGTATGCAGAGTTTCTAGTTTTCCCTTGCGTTATAATTTCTCCGCGAGAACTCACACAATTTTCCGTTATTGCTTCTTGTCATTTAGATATCAGAAGAAGAGGGAAGACTGAAAAAGGATGAAGCAGAACAAAAGGAGATATGGAAGAAAAAGCGCGAGCATGAAGAACAGTGGGAAGGGACGAGAGAAAAAAGGGTTTGTTGTTTTGTTACCCCCATGATCCTAATTCTTTGCTTGCCTATGAATGCATTACTTTACAGCCAATTGCTTTTTGTCCTTGATGTCAGTTGTTTTTATTAACGTTTGGGGTTTCCATGTCCAGGTATCAAGCTGGAGAGACTTCCAGAAAGGAGGAAAGAAGGTAAGTGACACATTGATGTTTTACTTTCTTGTTATTTGGATCAGATTTTAATACAAGCCTCTGTTATCATCATCCTCCAGGCCAAAAAGGGAGAGACGCGTCCTCCAAAACTGAAGACAGAGGATCCGAATAAGTCGTACGTTCAAAGGCCGGTCAAGAAAGGCTGATCTCTGACTGACTCTTCTCTTTGCTGTTGTTGCCATTGATAGTCTTGTTTTATGATCTCAGACTCTTTCTGCTTGTGTCTGTGTTTCTCTTTGTACATCAACAACTTCATTTGTCTTTCCAAATACGTTAGAAACATGGAAGATATATAATATATCTCACTTCTCACACGCTTATGACCTTTCGTTGTATTGCGTCTCAGTCCAGTATGACTTTAGACTTTATATAACAATTAACTTTGATATTTTTATATCACTGTGGTGCTTCGTAGTGTCGAACTTGCATTGAAATGTTTACGACAAAGACCAAGAAAAGAGCATGTTCTCTTCATATATTTCCTTAATACAACCATAATGGTACAGACCCCACACCTTGGGGGTCAAAAGATCTCTGCTATGTGCAGCACAAGCTCTAAAAGAACAAAAAAAAGGAAGAAATATTACAAATTTGATGTCTCGTAGTCTCTTAATCTTTGTTTTCGTGTGATATATATGTTCACAACAACTCACAAGCGGGGCGCTCCAAGTACCTACCACTAAAACTGGTTTATTTGTTTTAAGACTCTTAAGGTTGTTTTGCTTTGCCTCTTCTTGATCCTGAAAGTGACTTTTGTTCTCCCACCCATAACATAAAACATGTTCAAATACTTCTCCGATCCAAAAAGTTTCTATGCCACTTGCTTGCAGACGACGAGAAATGACCAAAATTTTCCCCTGAGAAGACATACCCAAAAGCAAAACAAAAATGAGAAGCTGTTCATACTTATTTCAAATTCAGTAAGGACCCAAGTCACCCAACCAAACAAAGATAAAACCAAGTTAATGCAATATAATAGAGCAATGAAACAGATAAGAGCAGGAAACACATTTCACGGCAGCTTCGAATAATCCAAATTGCTTCTTATGATATATGATCAGGGCGCGAAGTCAAACCAAAGTTGACATATACCTTAATGTTTATCTTTAGCATTTCACAGAAAAACCAGAGTTTAATAAATGACAAGTGCTCGTAATCATTACTTCCACCATAACCCAATTTTGCTTATAATTAGACTACTGACGGTTAGTGCTATACTACAGATTGGTAGATTATAATGTCAGGGCTTGTTTGATCTAAAACAGAAAACTGGATTCCCACGTCTTTTTCAACCAAAAATAGTACTCTTTTTATGGCAAGATTGTGTATAGTCAGAAACCAAAGTAAAAAATATACAGGAAAACGTTGAAATTCGTATCTTTGGCATTTCACTGATAAACCAGAGTCTGTTTGATCTTGAAAAGTCTGAATCTTATGTTACCACCAAAGCCAAAGTTCTGCTTATAAACATATTTCTGATTAAATGGTTTTAGATCAAAGAAGCCTTTAACATTACAACAATGAACTATCTATCAAGGATTAAAGTAACAAGGGAGAGCCTTTGGAAACACTTACTTGCAAACCTTAATCTCTGAAGATCACCGAATCTGCAATGGCCAACAAGGGCTTCAAGCAATCAGGAGTAAATTTGCGTGCAAAAAAGTAGGAGCTCGAATGGCTTGATTGCCGGAGTTTCTTGATCAGCTCGGGCACGACTTCCTTGGGTTTATAGGTGTAAGGATGCCCTTTCACAGTGCCAGTCCAGTTAACCCGGGTCAATGTATACCCGGTGCACCCATCCGGATCCCTCATGTTCAACAGCGTCGGGAAGTAATGCTCCTCCGGGTAACACTCGTCGGAACGATAACACGGGAGCTTGAATTTGCGCCACAAGATACGATCTTTGATCGTTAGCAAAGCGTGTCTCCTGGTCATGACAAAGAACTGCGAACCCACACGGAACTTCTCGAAAGGGACCTCCGGCATCATAGCGTACCTCCCTCGAGCGTTGTACCGTTTCCAAAGCCTCGGCTCGTCGGATATGAGCTCGATGAAACTCCGATACCAGATCCTGATACCTCTCGGAGTCGGAGTCGGATCGGGATCGGATTTGTCGAACGTGGAAGATTCGAAGAGGGAGCTGTAGACGTATTTGAAGGAGTGGAGAGGGATGCAGTACTGAGAGAGCACGGCGAAGTAAGTGTTGGCAGGGTCGTCGAGGAAGGCGGTGGCGAGGAGGCGTCTCGTGGCGGAGATGAGAGTCGGCGAGGCCCGTGCGGTGCGCTTAGCGTTCGCAATGAAGGCGTTCTCGAATACAGAGCCTTTCCCAGGTCTCGTGATGTTCACGAACGGATCTGCGTGGACGTAGACGTTGTAGAGCGATTGGGACTGGCCGGAGAAGAACCGATCCCAGATTGGCGCGAAATGGAGGTCGGAGTTGGTGAGGAATAGAAAGGCAATCTTGAGCTTCGGGTTGCGGTTTCCGGATGAGAGATGGGAGAGGGAAGTTGATCCAGCGGCGGCGAGGAATAGGCTCTGGTCGTCGATCTCATCGGAGATTGGAATGAGAGATTCGCCGGGAGGAGAAGGGAAGACATGTGGCGCGACGAAGAAGAAGACGATCGGGAGAAACAGAAGAAGAGAGAAGGAGAGAATAAACTGCTTCGAGTACATCTGGAAATCGAAACTCCAATAGGAAACCCTAGAAATTTCGACTCTCTTTGCAACTTTTTCCCCCAAAACTGCAAATCTACCGGAATGTCGATAAATTCCCCATGAATTGAATGAATCTGCAGTGATGCGTTTTCTCAATTCGACGAAATCAGAGGTTTCCCACCATTGGAGCTCTAGGAAACCAAGAGCTTCTACAGATTTGAGCAGATAGATTGCAGATACACGAGATTCTCATAGACACCGAAGATAATCCAAGACTTGGGCCCCTCAGATGGAGATTGAGATTTCTTCTTGCAGAGCGAATCGCATAAGGAAGACGATGAAGCAAATCCAGAAAGAAACTCCCAGAACTTTGGGGGATAATTAGCAGTTTTTTCTAGGGATTTTGGGAGGAAACAATGAATAGATAACTCCAGATTCCAAGAGTAGAAACAAAGAAATCGAAAGGATCTCTCACAGTGAGTGATGGTGATGATAATGTAGACGATAGATGACGAGAGGTCGATTGATTGTTCTTCTGTTTTCGTTGTGATTGACGCGAATTTTTTTTTGATGAGGCAAAAGGGTGTTTACGTCAATTACAAACCGACAAGCGTACTCCCTGACGTCGTCAAGTTATGTAAAGTGTTTTGTTTATCAGAACGAGGAATAAGTGAACGGCGTTACTCTGTGTTTCCGTCGTTGATAACGGCGATGGCTTCGATGGCATCCATCGGTCGATATATGAATATATATTATGATGTGCGAGTGCTATTTTTCCTTTTTTTTGTGTAAAATAAACGTGAGAATTTAATAATACATTATACATTAAATGTTGTATCTAATTCGGTAGGTCTAACTGATTTGGTAATTGGTACGCACTATTGCTGGAATTGTTTTACACGAGAACAAGAACAAGTATTAGAAACAAATGAAGCTTTGTAGCCTCGTATTTTTACTCGGTTAACAAGAAATCAAGAACAAAACACATTAGTTAGTGTATATACGAGGAAAAATTGATAGGTACTATAAATTAAAGTATATGAGTTGATTTCTGAGTAAATTCTATGCAAAGTTTACATAATAATATTTTACCCAAAAAAAAAAAGTTTACATAATAGTATAATACTTTAAAGTGGAAATGCAAAATTTCCGAAGAATGTCGAATCATAGACTCGAACTTTGAGTCTACAACAAATACTTGTATCAGCTATTTTGACCTGTTACTCGGTACTTTCCAAACTATGTAGCTACCATTAATATTGTTACTACTTGTTGCAAGCGACAGCTTTGACTTTATTTACTTGATTTGGTTTGTAATAACTTTCACCAATTGGATTTTCTGATAATTTTGCAGATTGTACCGGCTTTTTAGTCAAATGGGCTAAATCACAAATCACTAAAAAACATGCAAAATTACGAAATCTAGTTTCAATAAAATCATATACAGTATACCGATATGAAATTTGTTTAAATTAGATTGCACGTGATGTTAAATTTGGGTTACTTCATTTCTCCAATAAATATAGGTTGATATCCTCCCTCCTATATTTAAAAGTGGTTAAAATCATTGTATGTTAATTATATTTGGATTGTGATCTTTAAAATTTTATTATTTTATAAAAAGGATATACACCTTAATATTTTCAATCCATTTAACTTGTAGTTGTTGGTGCATTTTTTTTTAATTTATCTAAATATCTCTCCTTTTTTCCTCAGATATTTAGCTAAATTTCCTTTTTTTCTTTCTTATAAAAATTCTCCTTTTCCCATACGAGAAGAAATGAATAATAACCAAATTCCTAAAGGAGAAAAAAGGAAAAAGAAAGATATAAAAACTTCTAGAGTGTTCCGCTCCACAAGACCTTGAACAAAAGCAAAGTCTTCGAACAGCAGCCACAACAAACTCCCTCCTCTCCGCCATTAAAAGGCTCGCAATTTCTCTCGTTTCTCTCCCTGTGTGTTCCTTTTAGGGTTTCGTTAGAACGAAGCAAATATGTTCGGGAGAGGACCTTCGAGGAAGAGCGACAACACCAAGTTCTACGAGATCCTTGGTGTTCCTAAGACCGCAGCACCTGAAGATCTTAAGAAAGCTTACAAGAAAGCTGCAATCAAAAACCATCCCGACAAGGGTGGAGATCCCGAGAAGGTTGGAATTTTCGATCCCCTTTTGTGATTGCTCAGATTTCTGTGAAATTCAATTAGTGTCGGTTTTGCTTGCTTTGAAAAATCTGTTATTTTTTAGCTCGATTCGGAATCTCCGATCGATTTGAGGTCGCGTATGCCTCTTAGATCTTCGTAGGTTATCTCCGGTTATCGGATTCGATCTGAAATCTTCTGTTTTTAGGTCAACTTCTGACGCAATTTTTTGGTTGGCTTCTTCTGAATTGTAGAAAAAAAGGATACTTTTTTAGAGCTTAGATTCGTGGTTCAGTAATTTTATCTCCAGATGATAGCTAAATGAAAATTTGATCAGTGTTTATGCTGTTTGTTAACTGTTATTGGGATCATTAAAGTTCTGATGGTCAAATTTATTGCTTTGGTGATTATGTCATGGTAGTCTTGATCAAAATATCTAACTGTACAATTCATGTCTCTGCAGTTCAAAGAGCTAGCTCAGGCTTATGAAGTTCTAAGTGATCCAGAGAAGCGTGAGATCTACGACCAATATGGTGAGGACGCACTCAAGGAGGGAATGGGTAGTGGAGGCGGTGGGCACGACCCATTCGATATCTTCTCGTCCTTCTTTGGTTCAGGCGGAAGCCCATTCGGAGGTTAGTCTCTTGAAACAGTGACTATCCTCTCACATCAGATAAATGTTGTCTTTGAAGAGAGAAGTACATTGGTTTAATTTTACTTTTTTTGTGTGTCTGAGTAGGTGGTCCTAGCCGGGGAAGGAGGCAGAGGCGTGGTGAGGATGTTGTTCATCCCCTGAAGGTGTCCCTAGAGGACCTTTACCTCGGAACAACAAAGAAGCTCTCACTCTCTAGGAAGGCTTTGTGCTCCAAGTGTAACGGGTTAGTACTTGGTATTCTATTCAGAATTGAATATGCAAAGATGCTTAAAAGAGTTGTTCACTGACATTACTTGGTTTATGATGGCAGGAAGGGTTCAAAGTCCGGAGCTTCAATGAAATGTGGTGGTTGTCAGGGAACGGGAATGAAAGTCTCGATCAGGCAGTTTGGTCCTGGGATGATTCAGCAGATGCAGCATGCTTGCCATGACTGCAAGGGCACAGGAGAGACGATCAATGACCGGGACAGGTGTCCACAGTGCAAAGGAGAGAAGGTCGTCTCCGAGAAGAAGGTACTTGAAGTAGCTGTGGAAAAGGGAATGCAACACAACCAGAAGATCACATTCAATGGACAAGCGGATGAAGCGGTTTGTGATACTTTGATTTAGATCTTCTCTCCCTGCTTTGATCATTTATGTTATTATTATTCGTCTACTAACTTATTTTTTTTCATGTGAAACCAGCCTGATACAATCACTGGAGATATAGTGTTCGTCATTCAGCAGAAGGAGCACCCAAAGTTCAAGCGAAAGGGAGATGATCTCTTTGTGGAGCACACCCTCTCTCTATCCGAGGCTCTCTGTGGCTTCCAGTTTGTTTTGACCCATTTGGATACAAGACAGCTTCTCATCAAATCCAATCCCGGGGAGGTCGTGAAGCCTGGTACGTATCTTTACTTAGCCCAAATAATATGATCTTGTTCTTTGTTTTGTTCACTTCAAGCCAGCTTTTGTCTTACTGTGGTGTGTATTTTTGGTTGTTGAATAGATTCCTACAGAGCAATAAGTGACGAGGGAATGCCAATATACCAAAGGCCGTTCATGAAGGGTAAGCTGTACATCCACTTCACTGTGGAGTTCCCGGAGACTCTGAGCCCTGATCAGACAAAGGCCATTGAAGCGGTTTTGCCCAAACCGGCAAAGGCAGCTATGAGCGATATGGAAATAGACGAGTGCGAGGAGACGACACTGCACGATGTGAACATTGAGGATGAGATGAGAAGGAAGGCTCAAGCTCAAAGAGAGGCTTATGACGACGATGACGAAGAAGGCCCAGGCGGTGCTCAGCGTGTCCAATGTGCCCAGCAGTGATCAAAACATTCGCATTTTAGTCATATTTGCTCCTTTTTTTTTCTGCTTCGTTGTATTATTTTTGGGTCTTTTTAGACTCTTTGCCAATTCACTTGGAAGAAGAACCTCGTCCTAATTCAGATCCTTGTTACAATTTTTTTTTGTTTTGAGAATAAACCTTCTAGTTTTTCAGATTTTGCCTCTCTTAATGTCCCAAGTAAAGAATTTTTTACCAAGATTGCAAGCAGTCAAGCAGAGAACGAGAGATGTCATGATATAATGGATTGACATTAGTATAGAAAAATAAGATCAAATCATTACGCAGTTCTATTTAGTTAAAATATCACTAGTACAAAGCTCTACTACTCTATAGAATCAGCTCACAAACGAGAAGTAGTATCTATGTTGCGACGTCGATCTTCTTCTGTAGATACCGGTATACATGTGTGATGGAGAAGGAAGGTGGCTCGTACCTCGTTTTTATACAGAGACGAGCCACGGCAAGAACTTTCTGGAGTTCTCTGGAGCTATAGTTGTTGCCAAGATCCGGATCAATCATCTTATCAATGGAGTTTGCAATACACGAGTGTTGTACCCATTCGATCAAGTCTTCTCCTTGTCTGTCTGATGATTGTCCTGTGATCAGTTCCAACATCAACACTCCTAGTTGGAATATCACGTTTCCACATTCCTCATCCGCACATGATCCTACACAAACACACGACGTTTTAAAGAAACCGCACTGATCTTGTGGATCTGATGAAGGAAAAGATTCAGTTTCTTACCTTCGGAGCAAGCATCATTGAGTGTTTTGGGATGGCTTTGTGTGTGTCTGTTGACGCGGATATCTGAAATCTGTGAGAGAAGAAGGTTTCAGTTACTGAGAATATGTCTCTCTGTAAAAAAATTTCAATCTTCAAACTTACTTTGGGGGTGAAGTTTTCATCCAACATGATGTTACATGAGTTCACTGAAACATCATATATCTGTGCATCATTACTGCTGAAGATTAGCAAATATTCCTGCGGTTAAAAAGCGAGTTTGTTAAGTAAGAAAGAAGAATCATATTACTATCAATGATTTAGAAAAGCAGCTTACTAATGCAGCGGCGACTCCAATGGCTATTTTGATGCGAGTCTTCCAGTTCAAAGGAGTCTTAAGCGGATCTATCAAGAAACATAGACAGAAAGATTCAATAAACGTTTCTGTTATGATGATTAAGTTTTGAGGGTTTTTAGTTTTTGCCATTGAGGTGTTCTTTCAAGCTTCCATTGTCAATGTTGCCAAACACTAGCAGCCTGATGAACAAACAAAGAAGAAGAGATCAAAAATCAAACAAACAAGAACATGTTTTTATCTCCTTTCTTTCCAAGTTTCAAAGAAATGAAGTGAAACCTCTTGCGTCCGGTGCAAAACCCGCGAAGTGTGAGGAGATGTCGGTGACGTAACCGTCCCAAGAGCTGCACTTCCTCAAGAAACCTCTCTCGTCCGAGATCGTGAGCTTTCAGTTCCTTGACCAAAGCTACTTCACCGCCTTTGAGTTTGGCTCTGTACGCAGTCCCGTGATAGTTGCTGTAGATAACCTTGCGGAAACCTTCTGTTGCTTTCGTCATTTCCTTGTATCCGAATCGTCTCACAAATTCTATTCTCCCTGTGAGATAATGGCGCAAAAGGAGGTTTGTATTAAAATTTTCCAGAAACATAACATGTAGCTCAGACCAAGAGATTAAAAAGACTTGAAATGGTAGCTCAACTAGTAAAAAACTGAGAAATTTAAGTCATTAAGTCATTCAAATGATTCACGAAACTGAGAAACAGCCAAATCTATGGAACAAATTGAATCTTCCACTGAATAATAACGAAATGGATTCATTAAAGTAATGATTTTTCGAATATTAGTACGAGATAAGAACAGAGTATTTAGCAAATTTATAGTTTCTGAATCATTGACCAACATCAGCTTCACTATTAGCTTCACCTAATTAGGCTTATACTCTATAACACAGCGTTCTATATACTAGATCATAGATAAAGTTGATTTTGAGATCAACGTAAAACGAAAGGCAGCAAGAACTAAGCAGGTCATCAAATTCCAGTTTAGAATAGTGGAGTCAACTGTACAGTAAATTCTAGTCTCTAAAAGCTGGAAGATGAATAAATCCAGGAAAATGAAGGAGATTCCGACGAAATTCTGGGTTACCGGAGCGAGAACGGCGAAGCCACGCAAGGAGGAGAAAGCGGATTCTGCGGCTCAAGCGAACTCGATCATCCATGGCGATTACTTTCTTCACTGCTGCTTCACGAGCTCACTTTTTCTCTCTCTCTCTCTCTCTCTCTCTCTCTCTCTCTCTCTCTCTCTCTCTCACTTTCTCTCTGTATCTGCTTTTTGAGATTGATTAGAGAAGATTGAGGGGAAAATGGATCTGATGCTTTCTTGGAAGTTTTTGTTGAGTGTCAGTTGCACGGCGCTGAGCTGTAAATCTCACGCCTTTTTTCCTTCCTTTCCCATCTTTCTTATTTTAAGTTGTTAATCATAACGGTTTTTTAACCATCATTATCCACTGCCTTGTTTGTTTGTTTGTCAAAAACGTAAAATAAAATTGGGCTTTGTAAAAATCTTCTCATTTTATTGTATAAATGTCCTCGATTGTTAAAATATATATGAGAAATTCTTGAGTTTGACATGTCAACAAAACCCCTTCGTCTATGGGCGAACGTATTTGATTATTGGTTTTTGTTTTTCCTTTTCTTTTATTGATATGATCTTTACTTGTATTAGGTATTGAACCCGGGCAAAACTCATTTTATAGTAATTTTATTTCTAAATTTTCTTTTGTAATGCATATATTATATAATTTAACATAATGAAAACAATAATATATGGTAGTTATACTTGTAAATAATAATGTAAATAGTATTTGTTATTCTAAAAATTGCCATACATGATAATGCCCTCTAATCATATTTTGATGTTTTTAATAGTAAAAAATTAATTTATGAACAACGAATTTTGAGTTTTAAACCTGTGCCAGAACGTCCCGAAATTCATTTTGAATAATATTTTTTATTTCTAAAATTTATTTGCAATATATACAAAAAAGTATTTACCATAACTAAAATAATAAACAGTACAATCACAATCATGAATGATTTTAAGTATTCATGTATATAATTGTTTTGAGAAATAACAATTTATCTCTTTTATTTGATGTTGAATGAAAAAACTAAGACTTTCAAAAGAAAAACAATTTAGTCTTAAAAAACTAATAATGATTAATATAAATTATTAATAGTAATGAGGTCTAACAATTGTCTTTAAGGGTCTGACTGGTTTAACCGCTGCGGTTGCGGTTGCGGGAGTTTGCGGCTGCGGGAGTTTGCGGAAGCGGGAGTTTGCGATTAAAAGCTGTTTGTACGACTGGTATAGCAATTCATAGCGGTTGCGTTTGCGGGATATTTTTGACTGGTTAGCCAGCGGGTGCAAGAGCGGTTTAACCAAAAGTTACTAAAATAAAAATAATATATAATTATTCAAAACATTTATAACCATATTAATAATTTTTTTTTTGAAATATATTTTTTGATGAATTTTTAATTTGAAAACTACCCTTTTTTTTTGGTTTTGAAAAATACACTTTTTATATGTAAAATGATTATTCCTAATTTAATAAAAACGAAATTCAAATAAGAAATATAAAATATTAATATTTGATAATAATTTTGTATCATTTTAACATCCTAATTACCTGTTTAGTTTTTTTTAAACAATTTAATAAAAATATAAGATTGTTTATATAAAGTTTAAATGGGGTGAGATTAAAGTTGTTTATGCAAAGTTTCAAAAATATTTAAATTTTTCAAAAGATAAACATTAAAAATGAAAGATATATTTCTCCACTTTTAAATTTTTAATAATTTATAAACTTTAAATATATGTAAAGTTTTAATTTATTTAAAGTTTCATTTGGTTTGAATGTGTATGAGGTTAAGTTGTTTATATAAAGATCCAAAATATTAAAATTTGTTTCAGTTTAACATATACTATATTTATTTGAAAAAAAACTTATTAGTTTATTATTTTTTTAAATTTTCGTTTATAATTTGTAATTATTTTTATTGTTTAAATCACGTCAAAACATACTTTTTACATTTTAAAAGTGTATTTTTCAAAACAGAAAAAATTTAGGGTATTTTCGAAATTTTTAAACATAATTATGGTATTTTTCAAAAAAATATACCCTTATTCCAAATTTGGAGATATTATGTTTTTTTTTTTTTTTTTTCAAACCGCAACCGCCCGCAACCGCAAACGCTTGCGGAAAGGAGCTTTTGATTTTCAGCGATATAGAGCGGTACAGAGTGGTATAGAGCGGTTGAAAGCGGTTGTCGTGATTGTTATAAAACGCTAAGAACCGCTACGAACCGCAAACGCTGCGTTTGCGGGTGGTAGCGGGAGAACCAATCATCACCTAAGTACTATTTTTTCTTTTGCAGGTTCTTTCTCCCACCGAAATAGAAAAAGTGAGAGCAATGTATGAAAATTTGGTAGGACATGCTCTGCTGTTAGTGGGCAAAGGTGTAGACCTTATTGGTGTAAAGCCTAAAAGATTTTACAAGCTGTACCAGTCCTATGGAGACACACATGGCTTAGGCTGCTTCATCCGGTTGGCCTGTGGTGAGGGACTCATTTGTCACGCTGTAGAAATGACCATGAAGAGTCACAACTAGCTTGGGGATACATACATCCAAGTGAGTTCTCTTTCCTTTAAACGAAGTTCCTTTTTTATGAAAACGAAGCTGTTTGGCCTAAAACCGTGAGTTTTCAGTGATAAGATATTTGCCTTTGTGAGAAAGTGTGCATTGATTGACCTAGGATGTGATATCTTGAACTAAACTTACAAGCAGAAGACATGTGATTTTGGTTGATTCCTTCTGTAGTACTACTTATTCACACATTGTACATTATATGGTTTTTACACCAGGGAGACAGGTCCGTGTCGCTACGCTGGTCAATGGAAGCACGGTAGAATGCGTGGTTGTGGAATACACGGGTAGTGGGGAAATGGGTGCGCTTTTGTCGCTTCAGGTTCTGACTTGTCTGCATAGACTTCTGTTATGTCTTGAGTCCCCCCTCTTGTGTAGCTTTAGCTTGAAGTTTCTTCAAACATATGTTTTTCTTTTAAAAAGATAATAATAACAAGGATAAGGAATTAAGGATGCCATCTTTGAGCATCTTTCGTAACTTCACAATTGTCCTCCTTACATTTGAATCTTCTCTGCTTTCATGGAGAAGACAATAAGATCCGAGGAAGAAGAAACTGAGAGAAGCAAATTCAGTGAACTGTACGCCATTGCCCAATAACCGAATCAGACCGGGTTAGTTTTCTTCCTGCGGGTGGTTTCTAGTTTTAAAATGGAATCGATCCAACCGAACCAGCAGAAACAGAAACTCATCCGAACGGGAAGTGAACCATTCTGATGTGCAAAAGGCTGACGCTAAGGGCCCAAACCCATTATTGTTTTTTGCTTATATAATCGACTTAGGCCCAATTTACTTTGGAAATTTTCAAAACTTGCCGAGTTAATATGAAAATGAAACAAATCACACCTTTTACAAAGAAAACTTGGTTTTCCATCTTTCTTTTGTCATCAAGATTCAGATTTTCAATGTTTTATACGAACATTGACAATTCCAGGCATGAAGTCTCTAGGAAAGTTTCAGAAGTTGAAGTTTCATGATGAAAATCAGCTGCAACCTTCTCAATAGGAACATGACTTCCTCATGCCCCGTTTATCACATGTATATTCTCTTTTCTAATTCATACAAGATTAGTTAGGTTTTCAATATATATTTTTTTGAAAATTGACCAAGACAATATAAGAAAAAATTTAAGAAAGGTAAAATAATAGCTAGCAATCTCCAAACCAAAGAATCTTTCGTAACTTCACAAGTGTGACCGACCACTCTCAAAAATACATTTTCAATATCATAAGATAACCGCTTTCGAAGATAACCGCTTCTGGTTGTTCTCAAGAAAAAAAAAAGATTCAAAGATAATCTTAGTTAACGAGAATCATCAACTCTGAAATAACAGAAGAGGGGGACTCAAGACATAACAGAAGTCTTAGTGCCTCGATCCAGAAGCGGTTATCTGCAGGAGGAAGTTGTCTTCGAAAGTTGTGAGTAGGGCGGCTCATGTAAAAAAACCTGAGAAGTGAGAAGGCTCATCAAAAACCTCTCACTAGTTTTCTCCTCTTGCGCCGCATCTCAAAAATCCCTTTCGTCTTCCGCATTAGGAAAATCCCCAATTCGTTTCCTCTTTTTATGTTCATCGACGATGGGATTCTGGGGTAAGAGTAAATGTTCTTTCTCTCGGATTCTCTCGAAAACCTTATGTTTTTCCTTTTACATTTATTTCGTACATTTTTTGATCATTTTTTTGTTTCAATGAAGATTTTGATTTCTCATAAGGTTTTCTAACCGCTTTCTTCCGTCTATAATGAGAAGTTGGTAACATAGAATAAGAAATTATACATACATGAGATGTGAATTAATGATTTGCGTTTTTGTTTTTGTTTTTTTCTGTGAAGAAACTCATGTGCCTCGTAAGACAAGTTTTGATGATGTGGGTTGTTTAAAAAAATGTAGTGGGTTCTTGTTTCTCCCAGTCTTGATGATGTATATATCTCATTTTCTCGATGCATCAAAATCTCTCAATTTTTTGGGTTATTGCTTCATTTTCTTTTTACATTTATTTTTTTTCAATGAAGATTTTGAATTTGCATAAGGTTTTTTAACCGCGATTTTCGTATTTGTAAAACCGGTTATATCGTCCATAAAACAACATTTAGCACGTGAAACCTGGACCACTTTGAAAGGTTCTGTCGCATTTAACTTTTTTAGAGACCTATCGAATTGCCAAAGTCACACACAATGCCACATCCACCTCACCAACCTCCATGTATTCGTCAAAGCTAAGCACGTGAGATACTAATGCCCATTTTTTGTGAGATTAAAGTTGGCTTTCACACTGAATTCTCTAAAGTAAATCCGTTAAGAGTAGAAAAATTGTTGGTTTAAGTTTACACAATCATTGTGAAATAATGATGTACCCATGAGTCTGTGACCTTTATTCCATGAAATATTAATATTGTTACTGTTTGGAAACTGACTCATGGGTACTGACTTAGCCAACCAGGTTGGATCGAGGCACTACTCACAACTTCCTCCTGCAGAATTTGAGGATCAAACAAGTGTTTTACTTTACGAATCACATGGTGGTGATAAAATAATCTTGCCTTGTTGGATTTGCGAAGAACATCCTCAACATCAAGCTCGTTCATTTGTTTCGTTTTCACAAAGCGAGGTACACTACTATCTACACCTAAACATCCTGCAGATTCCGACCAAAACAGATCAGTCAAAATCTTCAGTTTGTTAAGAAAGTGAAGTTAGGTAGATAAGAGGGATTTATAACTTACCTGGGATATTACTCCAGCAGTCTCAATGGAGGCTGCTTTAGAGCTACAAACTATTGAATCGACCCTTAAATCAAGAAGGAGCTCTGCGGTTTTTTGCGACTGTAGTAATCAAGAGGTGAAAATATGATCAAAGTGTAACAAAATGAAAGATTTCAGAACTTCTTTGCATTTGTCCTTCACAAAGTCATATGTTGTCTGTTACCTGTATCACACCAAGCATGTTCATTGGCTGATCATTAGCAGCCTGTGGTCAAAGTGACTAGGTTAATAACTGCAGAATCATGATTTGTAGAATAATGGAAAAAGGAAGATAATCCAATAAAATCTGTTACAAAGTCTCCAACTTTTCTTAGCTCAGAAATTAGTGTAAAGAGCAAAAAGACCCTCCACGCGCATCCATGGAGGTTAATTCTGGCAAATGAAGATGAGCTAAAAGAGGTTTACGTAAGCAACTCATACAAACATACGTGAGGAGATTCAGCGTCAGCTCTTTGTGTGAAATCAAGTACGCTTACACCGGTAACAAACTCCTGATATATTCTGCTCCCAAACCTGTTTTTGCTACCAAAGATCCCAGACAGTCAAATTAAACGAAGAAACGAGAAAAGCTCGCCTAGTTTCCCAATCTCTTGCTTGCTGAAAGATGAAAAGAAGAAGTTACCAATCGCAGTTCCTAGAAGAGCCTGATTCACAGCATTATGAGCAAACAACAAGAACAGACTTGCTCTCGTGAGCAAGAATACCGGTCCAGCAGCTTCGAGCACGTGACCATAACTCTCTCACTGGGTAGTGGCCATCGATGTTGAATTTCTTGCCATTGCTTAAAGGCTTTCTTTCCCCTCTTTCTTAATTAGACCCTAGAGTAAAACCCATAAACCATAACAAGTGTTGAGAAAAAGTATGACTTGTCTATGACATGTACATATGTACTCATCACAGATGTAGACTTACTTGAAAAGAGTAGAGATCAGTTTCTCTAAGTTGGTAGTCCGGCGGTATCATCTCAGTTTCACGACTTCCCCATATGATTTCAGCTGTTTTCTTTGATCTCTTCAATGGACTGAACCAATCAATGTAGCCGATTTAGAAAAGGCAGGCTTTGACAAACGAAAACACATCCATTAAAGAGAAACAGGGTAAGTCAATCATAAAGAGCACTAATGAAAAATTGGAAGGAGAAACGAATACTAATCTCTATAATCAATCGTAATTTACAAATATCTATTTCTCTGATTCTTAAATTCAAAACATTTTATCCTTCCTTCAATCGATCCAAACACACCTCATTCGCTCAATTATCTAATATCTTGAGCTCAACTAGATCTAAATTCCAAATCCGAATCACTGCTACTACAAACATATTTCAAAACCGATTCCATAGACCTAGAGAAAAACGCAGGTACCTGGTGAAGCAGACATCAAAGGAGTCATTGATGAGCATCTGGCGAGAAAATGTCGGCCTGGGCCTCGCCTTTCTTCGTCAAAACGGAGAAATCGGATTCATAATTTATAATTTAATAAATTTATTACATTTACTAAATGTAATATTCTCTTATACATAATGCCGTCCTTCATGTTCATCTATAATTTTGCACTAGTCAAATTAGGCTATGGTAGACCTTCTCTCAGTTCAGTCAATACAGATACTTTCTCGTCAACAACACATACACACACACCCATAGAATCTTCAACACATATATCAACTTTTGTCTCTTACGCTCGAAATGTTAAGGTTATAGCTCACAGCCTGACACTAGTATTTATTTGGAACTTTAAACTGTTGTAGTTAGAGGATTCTACACACACCACAAATAAACATGGACACAACTGGAGAAAAAAAAAGGCACTAATTTTGTTTTTTTTATAAACACTAAACCATCATCGGTTTATAGCTCGGCACAGATCCGACCCGGCGGCCCAATTCGAAACCCAGATTCCACAAAAACAATCAACCCAAATTGTGTGCATCGCTCCTCTTCTGCTCCTTACGCTGGAGGAGAACAGCTTTAGTGGCTTCAGGTACGTTGAACTCTAGAAATTCCCATCGTTCCTCTTCGCACTTGTTTTCGCCTTTTTCTGGTTTCTCATGTAATTTCTGATTAACATTGAGCTAAATTTTCAGCTCTTGTGAGATCGAATCGATATTTTTTCCTTGATAGATTCGATTTTCGTTCTCGACTGTGCCCACAAAGCGACTACTGAAATATCTCTGATATAATCCTAATCTGAAATCCTTTTATTCCTAGAATTTGATATTTGTTCTTATAAAAAGAAATGAAAATTTAAGATTGTTGAGTTGTCATGGCCTTTTCATCTTTTGGTCCTTGTTTTGAAGAATCTCTCTGTTTGCGTCTGCATTTCCTTTTGTCAGCTAGCTGCTACACTTGCTTGGTTTATCTTCCTTCACTTTGCTGCTAATTGGTTTCCTGTTATTTGCTCTAATTTAAGTCTTAAGCATTTGTATCTCGTCTCCATTGCTGCCAAATTGGTTGCTTGATACTTCTGTTGCAGTGAGAAACTTTAGGAAGTTTATGGCTTTTCATGGATAAATGATGTGGGATTGTCTGTTTACATCTCGTGGTTTGGTTATTAATTAAGATTTGGGGCTTTATCATGTAAAAACGTTTAGCACCTCTAGTTATCAAGATGAAGTACAATTTCCATAATCCATTAGGCTACATTTTTTAGATTGTATTTCTCTCCTGGTTACTATTTGATGTCTCTACTTCTTAGTTGTTGATATCGGAGATTGCATAACCGTGGTTAGGCAGTGTACCAAATTTGGTTCTGAATTGTCTTCTTTGTAGGTTATATATTTGAGAGGAAGCAATAATAACATGAGAAGACAGGGAAACTTTGTGGACTCACCTGCCAGTGCATATGGAGCTGGACAGATACAGAACGCACATTCCGATTTCCAAGGTCAATTAGAGGCATTCACGCCTGAGAGGGACCAACCGTATTCAGATTCACAAGTACAACCAGAGGGTCAATGGAGATGGGAAAGAGATGCCCCAAATATGCCAAGGCCTATGTCAGCCACCACTTACAATGAAGGTAAGTCTTTACTTACTGTCAATCGACCAGATCATTTTACGGAAGAGCAGCCATCATGCGATGGGTTTGCTTCTTAAGTCTCATAGGCAATCATGTTACTGTTCACAAGTCTTTGTAAATTCAAGAATTTCGGTATAAGCTACTGTACTGTACGAAGCAATGTTCACATGGAACAATTTCTGTATAGTTGTTCCTTTAGTGGATGAGTTCTTCTGTGGCGTTGTATAGTTGCATATTAGTATTTGGTAGAGAAATTTTCTGAAACTGTAAGAGGAAAGACGAAAATGATAAGATTCCTGTTGTAGATCCTGCATCGAGTGTGTCTCAAGCTTTAGAGTATATCTATTGAATCCAGTGTTCTGTTTACACAGGTCAAGGTGTTGATTCGTCGAGGACGTATTACCGTGGACAAATGGATCCAAAATCAGGAATGGAGAAGCAAGGCAGCGATCAGCGAGCTCAACCACAACACCAAGAAAACACGAAGCCTGGTTATGAGAACAACCGTGGGATGCAGACCTTTGAAGGTCTCGAACAGAAGTTCATGGACGATATAACAAGACTAGCAAAGGATCAAATCGAAGCAGAGGATAAAGAGATTGCCAGACATCGAGAGGTTAGCTTAATAGCTAGCACAAATTGGGAAAAGTTCTGCGCTGAAATACTCTAGTTTGGATTGTTATAATTTGTTGATTAGCTCTCTGTATTTACAGAAAATAAACACCATTAATACTCGGTATGAAGAACAGTTAGCTGCACTGAGAGCAAGGCACACAGGTAAGAGAGAAGACATGATGAGGAAAGAATCACAAGCTAGGCAGCAACAGTACAAGCAGCAAACCATGGGGATGGTGGATAATCAGTACCATCCAAACGCGGCTGGTCCGGTCAGTGTAATGCCATCTGGTGGTCATCCGCAAGGTTTCATTGGCAATGCTCAAGATCCAGCGGGTGTGGCGGATGCACCACCATCAAGATCCTATGGCTCAGATAGGTTTGAGACGTATGGAGGAGAGAGAGGAGGTAGGTTTCAGGGGGGAACCAGAGATCACGGGTTCGACTCTAGGGGTGGTCAGTACCCTGGTGGGGCTGGCTATGACAACACAGCCTCACGGTTCTACTGATGTGATATTCTTACTTGTTGAACAGTTGAACATATTGTGTTTTAGAGGATTGATGATGACTCCCACTTTTTTGCTTTTACTGACTATCCAGAATTTGAATATGAAATCAGGGACTCTTTTTTATTTATTTTGTATACATACGAGAAATGTATACAACAGTTAAGTCTTAAGTTGTGCTTTTAATTAATCCTAATATCAGCTATAACAATGTGTATAAGAAATGGATTTGTGTATAAAAAGTTACTGTGTTTATACATGTTACAACATCTTCTGCAGTCGACTGAATTTGATGTAGACTAAAGCAATGCCGTAACCTAAAATTACATTATGTTTTTTTTTTTGTTTTTTTTTATCAAGTTATTCGCTGATAAATTAGTAATTCTGTATATTCTCTGCCACAAAAGAAGAAGTTTTTGGTCTTTGTGAGGTACATCCTATTTTATAGTTTTATATGATTTAATTGTATGTAACACAATATATATTTCTTTTTGTCAAAATGTATTATTCTTCAAAATTTTCAGAAATCTCTCGAACCTTCCAAAAATAAGGTTTATATTTTCGAAAATGACTGACTTTCAAGGCTTGGAATACAGCTCACATTTTCTATCGGTTAGTTTTTTTTTTTACTTATAGGATTGCATATTTAATTTTTCACATAAGATGGTAGATGTGAGTACTCTGATATGACAATACGTTGATTAAATTTTATGTTGATCATTTTGTCTATCAACATGTTTTGGTTTTTTTCTCACCTTGTTGATATGATTTAGTTAAATCCTAGACAAAAACTTTTGAAAAACTGAGGAAAATTGTAGAACACTGATAATTTACTCATGTATCATCTTGTTGGGTTATTGCCTTATATTTTTGCCTTTAATTTATCTTGTACATTTTCTGATCATTTTTTGTTCCAATGAAGATTTTGATTTCATAAGGTTTTCTATAATGAGAAGTTGGTAACATAGAACAAGAAATATACATAAGATGTGAATAACGCAATGCCATAATTTTTTTATTTACTTTCCTTTCGTCAATTTCCTATTGAAATTTCATATTTGAAAAATTGAACCGTTTGACTTTAAAATAGCTAGTTGGACTTTACTTATTTTATTATATACTTCCCAAAACAAATTAGAATCTGAGATTAAAAACTTGACAAAAACACTTATAATGTAAATGTAGTAGTCCTCAACAATAATTGACCGCTTTAAACATTTATAAAATACATATCATCAATTCAATGAAAAGTTTAGCCGTTGAACAAAACAGACAATGGATTATTACATTACAGTATAAAATATCATTCTTTACACTATACAGTAAAACTTACTTTCAGAAAATAAAATTGACGAACACAAAAACGTATTAAAAAAATTGAGAAAATAGGTTACAGTTACACCATGCTTGTATTTGTATACTGCTTGTTTTAATTTACAATTTTGTAAAATAAATAAAGATAATCATATAAATTTCCCTCCTTCCACTATATCATCTTCGCAAGTGACGATACTTCCCAAAAAATAAGACAAAAAAAAAAAAAAATTCTCGGCCAATCTCTCTCTATATTTTTTTCCCCCTGCGTTGTAGATGCTGATTGTCTGAAAAATAATAATTTCGGTCGTCTTCTCCACATCTCTCTCTGCGAATCTTGTCTTTGCCAATCCTGTGCGGAGGAAGAGGAACAATGAGCGTGGCATCGTCGGAGGAATCTCCCATTTCAGCTCAGCGGATCGATTCGTTCAACGGCGAGCAGAGAGTCTACTTCGTCCCGTTGAGGTATCTCCTCTCCTCCTCTATCTATCGCACCATTCTCCATTTCGTCTCCTTCATCTTCCTTTTGATTGGAATATTCGGCGAATCTGAATCGCATCCGAGTCACTTCGGAGCTTGAATTGAATCTGTTAAGAGTATAAAAAATTGATTTGATCTAAGCGATTTTGGAGCTTATGGATCCTTTTCCGGATGCATTGGTGATGGATATTGTAAACCTGCTCCTTGTATTTTAAGCTTATTTCGATGTGTTCGTTTCCACAGCTAGCGGAAGAATCAAATGAATGCGATTTCGATTCACTATATGATTCGAGATTTGCTTATTAACACCAATGAAATAACCAAATCAGATACTTGATTAATTGACGCGATATTAAAACTTGTATTTCAGGTGGTGGAAAGATGCACAAGATTCAACGCCTTCTGAGTCAGTTGAAATTAGAGAGGTCTTGTATACGGCAACAAATGGGTCGTCTTATGGAGGTCCAATGAAGTTGATAAACAACATATTCAATTCCGATATTTTGTTCGATCTGAGGAGAGAAGGAGATGCTGCACCGAATGGTGAAACGGGAGAAGCAAGCGTATCAGGCAGGGACTTTGCATTGGTCTCAAGCGATATGTGGCTCCAGGCACTAAAATGGTAAGTCTTAGTTTCCTCTGTACATATCTGATGGTTTCTTCTAGAATGACATGAATCAATCGGTCACTTTCCTTGTCATTTGATTTTAGTGTTACATCCAGCGGAATTAAAATCTTTAAGCATGGTACCATAACCATTATATTCTTGCAATGTAGTTGATAACTTTTGTCTACATGCTTGGGTTTCCTTTTCCTGTACACTATACCATCTAAACAAACGAAGGTGATTTCCTTAATTTGTTTTTTTCTATGACTTCTTGGTTCCCAGGCATCATGATGATAAAAATACTGAGAGAGGTGTAAAAAGTTTCTCGTCTGGAGGAGTTGACAGAGGTGATGTTTATCCAGTACAACTCAGGCTCAGCGTTTTGCAGGAAACCAATTCACTGGCGGTTAAAATTTGCAAAAAGGTATCTTCAAACTTACAGCCTTTGTTGGTGCCACATTTTCTTGCTTCTATACCAGTGCAGTGATCGACTTCTTATTTGTAAGATGATCAAATCTAAATTTGATTATTTTTTCAGACTTGAACCATATTAGAATCGTCTTAGCTTTTCATTTTTTCTATCTGCAGATATTTTCTTAGTTTCTCAATTGTTGTTGTTGTTGTTTCTGGTTCCAAATCTTATGTCTTCTCTCATTCAGGACAATTCAGTTGAGTGCTTCAGAAGAGCATGCAAGATATTCAGTTTGGATTCTGAGCAGGTAATGTGTTCCCTGTATGATCTTTTACCTACTATATATACACGATATGCATGCCAGTCTATGCATACTCTATGTGGTACAGGCGACATTTATGATATTTAAACCGATTGCTTTTGGTTCTGTAGTTGCGCATTTGGGACATTTCTGGCCAAACTACATTGTTTTTCGAAAGTGATGCGAGCAATTCCAAGGATTGTCAACAACAAACAGATCAGGAAGTAAGTGTGACGCTGTTTGAGTGAATTTGGATATTGTGTCATCGTATGTTACCATTAAATTTCTTTCGCTTTATTTCAACTTGCCTTCCCTTTTTATCCTATTTTTTTTATGCGATATCTCTGATCCATCATTACTTTTGGTCGAAAAGATACTCCTAGAGCTGCAGATTTATGGGCTATCAGACTCCATCAAAATGAAGGACTCGAAAAAGGAAGATGGTTCCACACAGCAAACCAATGGGATTACCAACGGCATCAATGGTGGCACAACGTTCAGATTTGGACGGAGTAATTCTTTGAGCTTTTTGGGAAAAGCTGGAGAAGCTGGAACTTTGGGGTTGACAGGCTTGCAGAATCTAGGGAATACTTGTTTCATGAACAGTTCCCTTCAGTGCTTGGCCCACACACCAAAGCTTGTTGACTTCTTTCTTGGAGAGTACAGTAAAGAAATAAATCTTGATAACCCATTGGGAATGAAAGTATGTAAATCTATGGCTTGCTGTATAGATACATTTTATTTGCCTGTGGCTAAATAGTATATTCTCCTGCTTCTTGGTTAGCCTCACCGATCAAAATTTTCTTCTGGCAGGGTGAGATCGCCTTAGCTTTTGGTGACCTGTTAAGGAGTTTGTGGGCTCCAGGTGCATCAACAATTGCGCCAAGGACATTTAAAGCAAAACTTGCTCGATTTGCTCCGCAGTTTAGTGGCTTTAATCAGCATGATTCGCAGGTCAGGGAAAACACTTCAGTTTATAGAATCTGGATTAAGTGAGCCATCCTGATGTTTCATCCTGTCTCTCAGCATTATAGCCGCATATATTGGGATATTCAGGTTTCTTGATTTGGTTGCAGGAACTTCTAGCTTTCTTGCTGGATGGACTTCACGAGGACTTAAACCGTGTAAAGAACAAGCCTTATGTGGAAGCAAAAGATGGAGATGGCCGTCCAGACGAAGAAGTGGCGGATGAATATTGGCGAAATCATGTGGCTCGCAATGATTCAATAATTGTTGATGTGTGCCAAGTAATTATCTTCAGGTTCCTAAATTGTTTATATATCTTTGTCGACAATCACTGTGAGGATCGGGTTTGACTTGCACGTTAGAAAACTTTAAAATTTGACTTCTGCTTGAAAATGTCGGATGGCTCAAGCTGTATAGAATTCTGGGATCCAAGTCTTAAGTTTTAGGGTATCATTTTGATCTAAGCTGCATAGGTTTGAAATTTCTTTCGTCATATTGGTCAGTTCAACTTTATCTTCTTAGTTGAAGTTCTGTGTACATAATACTTCTTTGTTTTTATAAGAATTGCTTTGCTTTTGATATGTTGCTCTTTGCACTTCAACCATCCTAGATAATCCTCATATTCTTTGCTTCAGTGCATTTGCTAAGAAAAGATCATGTATCATCGATCACTAAGACAATATGCATTTCTGATTGCAGGGTCAATACAAGTCAACATTAGTTTGTCCTATTTGCAAAAAGGTTTCTATTATGTTTGATCCGTTCATGTACCTATCACTACCTTTGCCATGCACTTCAATGCGAACAATGGATTTAACAGTCATGAGTGCCGACGGGGTTAGTCTGCCTGTTTCATTGACTGTCAACGTTCCTAAGTTTGGAAAATTTGAAGATCTTCATAAGGCTCTTGTCACTGCCTGCTCTTTACCAGAGGATGAGACCTTACTGGTTGCTGAGGTATATTTTGATATCGTATATGCTATATTTGGTGCCATGAATATCGTTGTGGTGCTTAGGTGAAATATTTGTTAACACAGGCAATGGAAATTCTCTTAAAATGGTCTTCACTTGTATAGGTATTCAACAATCAGATTATTCGCTTACTGGAGGACCCTACCGATTCATTAACCTTGATCAGAGATGGTGACAAACTTGTCATATATCGGTTAAAGAAAGATGCAAACGATTCTCCTTTGATTGTGTTTATGCATCAGAAGCTGGAAGAGTAAGTATGCATAGTATTCAAATGTTAAGTAAGATTCTTATTAGGCCTAGTTCTTATCAATGCAATTTTCCCCAAGCCCCACATTCGTTGAGTAGTGGTTATGGACATATCATGTTTGTTTATGTTGGCGGCAACATGAATTAAGAGTTCACTACATGCACTTTCCGCAGCAATCAATATCTATAGCTCTTGCCTTTATATAATATATCTCTAACATGCCATGCCATTGTTCAGTAGTGTGGGTACCAAATATCTAATCGTTTCAATGTTTTTCAGGCAGATTATCAATGGGAAATCAATCCCAGATTGGAAGGCATTTGGAATCCCATTGGTCTCAAGGCTTTCTGATGTCGAGAATGGATCTGATGTTGAGAACCTCTACCTGAAATTGCTTGGTTCATTTAAGATGCCTACTGAATTCTTCACAGACAATCTTGAAAATTCGGCTGAAGAAGAAAATCTTGAAAACTCGGCTGAAGAAGAAAATCTTGAAAATTCGGTTGAAGAAGAAGCTACTGATAAAGCAGGTACCGAGGCTATTGATACAGCAGGTACCGAGGCTACTGATGAAGCAGGTACCGATGGTACTACTTCAGTTGAGGAAACAAATTCTACTGATGTGAAGGAGACTACAGAGTCTGTTCCAGACCCTGTGTTGAGGCTTTACCTAACCGACAACAAAGGAAGGTCAATAGAATCTGAAATACTGAAAGAAAAGCCTGTAAATATCAAAACCATGCGGCTGAACGTACTTGCACGTTGGCCAGTGAAAGATCTAGACGCTTATGATACTTGTCTGCTGAGCTCCTTACCTGAGGTTTCCAAATCAGGAACTCGGAGACCCCAGGAAACCGTTTCGCTTTACAAATGCCTTGAAGCATTCTTGACAGAGGAGCCTCTTGGTCCTGATGACATGTGGTGAGTTGAGAATCACAACTATTTCTCATATCTATTCTCAGTTTTTTTATGCGTGAAAAAATTATCTTTTGACAGTCGTACACCTAGTGAAGTATCGCACTGTATTATGCTATATTTCTGTCAATGGATTGATCTTGATTTTAGTCAATTGTTTTGTGTCATCTGACTTGCTCCTTACTGATTATCCGGGTTACTTTGATATTTGGTAGCTGAAATGATTGAAATTCTTTGTAGGTATTGTCCTGGCTGCAAAGAGCACCGGCAAGCCATTAAAAAGTTAGACCTCTGGAGGTTGCCAGAGATCCTGGTGATTCATCTGAAGAGGTTTTCTTATAGCCGATTTATGAAGAACAAGCTGGAGGCTTATGTGGACTTCCCGATAGATGGTCTTGATCTGTCAAGCTACATCTCCTACAAGAATGGTGAGACAACTTATCGGTACATGCTCTATGCGATTAGCAATCACTATGGAGGCATGGGAGGTGGTCATTACACGGCATATGTCCACGTAAGTCAAAACACATTTATAATTTTCCTGTCTCAGCGGAGTAGTACATACTATATGTATCTTCTCTCAAGTCTTCAAAAACGTTGACTGGCATTAACTTGTACTAACATGCTCATAGTTCTGTGTATAACTAACTCATTTGGGTTGAGTGTGTCGTTTTTTGGAATCTCTACTCATTTTCTTCTTTTTATTCTTTTGCAGCATGGAGGTGATAGGTGGTATGACTTTGATGATAGCCATGTCAACCCAATCAGCCAAGAAAAGATCAAGACCTCTGCTGCTTACGTTCTCTTCTATAAACGTTTGGTAGAAGACTAATGACCCAGAAGCGGAAAACACACAAGAAAGAGTTTGTGTTGCAGTTTTGGAATCTGTTAAAGGGATGCTTGATTCTCATCCACTACAAGATCAAGATCAACCCAGCTGTGTGTTGAGGCTTATAGAGAGAAAGAGAGAGAGAGAGAAGAGGAAACACCCGAGGGGACATGTTACGGGAAATTCATTTTTATTTTTGACAAAATTGGTGTCTGATTATTTCATTAACTATACTCAAATTACTCAAATTAGAGTAGAAGAATAGAGAAATACCCTGTGGGATGTTGTTCTAATTGTTGTTTAGTTCTTGTGTTTCGGTTTGGCTGTGGACCAAGAAGATTATAGGAAACATCTCCTTTTTATTTAACTCATTCTTTCAATTTCCTTTTGAAATATCTATTGTTTCGTTTTTTGGTACAACTCTGTTTACAGATTTTTCTCTTCACTGTCTTGTTGCGTATGGATTTTCCAGATAAGAAGCATGGCAATTACATCAAAAGTGAGTTTAATGTGTATATTGGTTTGATTTAACTTTAGTAAGCCATCAAAATGTGTTCTGAGTTCTGAGTCTTCTGACTAAAGAAAGATGGTAGTGAAAATAAAATACAGACCGATAAACCAACCGGTTTAAATCTTTAATTAAATAAATTTTGTAATTACCCACCAAAAATAATCGTCTGTAAGTTTGTAACTACCACATATGAATTAACGAGGGCGTGACTGTTAGCAACGGAGAAGACGAAGTGAGAGTTCTCTTGGCGTTGCTCAACCACCCAATGGAGCTACCTACCCTTCTTCTTCCCCTTTTAAACCATAATTTTCTCTCTACCTCAACCACGGCTCGATCATGGCCTTGTACTTGTCTCCTGGAACCTTCGCTCTTCTCTTCATATCCCTCTCTCTCTCGCTTTACTGCAGCATCGACCCATTCAACCACTGCGCAATCTCCGATTTTCCCAACTTCGTCGCTCATGAGGTCGTCTCTCCACGCCCCGATGAGGTTCTGTGGGAGAGAGATTCACTGAATTCGCTTCAGAAATCGGAGATTCTGTTTGAAAACCAAGTCCAGGGCCCCGAGAGCGTCGCATTTGATCCGCTAGGACGCGGTCCGTACACAGGCGTCGCTGATGGTAGGGTTTTGTTCTGGGACGGCGAGAAGTGGACTGATTTCGCTCACACCTCGAAGAATCGGTGAGTGGATGGAAAATGGACTCGATGAAACGAGCGAGTTCACTTGACGGATCTTTAACTTGCTTTTTGCTTGTAACATTTGTAGTTCGGCGATTTGTGATCGGAAGCCGTCTGCTTTGAGCTACTTGAGGAATGAACATATCTGTGGGCGTCCTCTGGGACTCCGTTTCGATAAGAGAACCGGCGATTTGTACATCGCCGACGCCTACATGGGACTTTTGAAAGTAGGACCTGAAGGTGGCTTGGCAACGCCGCTTGTTACTGAGGCTGAGGGCGTGCCTTTGGGGTTTACCAACGACCTTGACGTTGATGATGATGGAACTGTTTACTTTACTGATAGCAGCATCAATTACCAGAGGAGGTTTGTCTCTCTTGATTCCTTTTCCGGTTTATAGCTTCGTGGTTGCTTGCGTTCATAGAATAGCTGAATTGTTAAGATATGTGGTAGTTGAATGGTGATAGGATAAAGATGTTGCTCAGTTGATTTCTGCAAAACTGAGGTTGCTGCATTTGAATTTGAGCTAGTCTCAGTGTTTGTGTTGTCTCTCAATATCTACAAGTTCTAACTAATGTTTAACTTATCATTCTTGGATGTATACCAAATCTTGCTCTGATTTTTTTATTTGTTTCAGGAACTTCTTGCAGCTCGTCTTCTCTGGAGACAATAGTGGGAGAGTTCTAAAGTATGATCCAATAACGAAGAAAGCTGTTGTTCTAGTCTCGAATCTCCAGTTTCCAAATGGTGTGTCTATCAGCAAAGACGGTTCTTTCTTTGTGTTCTGCGAGGGAGATATTGGAAGGTGAGTAGTAGTAACTCTGCTACGACATCTTTGGTGGGCTTATCTTAGAGTGTAAATAGACCTTGAATCAGTTGCTTCACTGGTAGAACAAAGATTGATGAGAATTGAAAATATATATGTTTGTGTGTATGCATCAAAGGACTATATTGATCAATTACAAATTTACAACTATATAATCGTTTGTTTTTTCTTGGTTTGGATGCAGCCTAAGAAGATACTGGTTAAAAGGAGAGAAATCAGGAACATCAGATGTGTTTGCGATGTTACCAGGGCATCCAGATAACGTAAGGATAAACCAAAACGGTGAATTTTGGGTGGCGCTTCACTGCAAGCGCAACTATTACTCGTACATAATGGCAAGATACCCGAAGCTAAGGATGTTCATACTGAAACTCCCAATCACTGCAAGAACACACTACTTGTTCCAGATCGGGATGAGGCCGCACGGGTTGGTGGTTAAGTATAGCCCTGAAGGGAAGCTTGTGAAGGTATTGGAAGATAGTGCAGGGAAAGTTGTGAGATCAGTGAGTGAAGTGGAAGAGAAAGATGGGAAGCTTTGGATGGGGAGTGTGTTAATGAACTTTGTTGCTGTCTATGATCTCTGATTTCTTGACCTATACGTAAAACAACTTGTCAATGGCTTTCTAAATTTAGCACATTCCCAGAATAGAGCCAGACTTACTAAATCAAATGCTTCTGAAGATGAAGGTTCAGAAACCCAAATAATTTGAAGGGAGATTTGAATTATTCCAACCAAAAATATTGATCATCTTGTAATGTGACGAACTGAGCAAACTGAAATTCAACTTAAACTTACATCAATATTATATCAAATTCACTGAAATCAAACATAATTACAAATGGTTATATTTGGTTTCAGTTTTTATCAAACCACAAATCGAAATAACCGCTTTTGTTCTTATTGTTCTACTCTCCTATCAACTGTGCAAACCGGTTTGGAGGTCGGAGGTCGGAGGTCGTGGTTCAAGTGTTAAACCGGTCAATGGTCCGTCGAGCTCTTTAGGCGGAGCATAATTGGGTTAAATACGAACTTTCTAAACTTCACAGCTTCTTTCATACGATTTAAGGAAAAAGAGGGATTCAATTAAAACTTCTCCACAGAACATTCTCTTTCGCATAAGTGGTGTGCCATTAGTGTACACGGCGACCGTTTCTTCTTCTTCGCATTAATCGCTTGTCGCCGGAAAATTCGCCGGAGGAGAAGCAAGGGTTCGGTTTCGTTCCTCTTATTCTCTTACTCTCTTCTTCTCTTTCATTTTGTTAAATGGACATAACCCTAAATTGAGAAGGCTCTGCCTCGAGAAAATAGTTTATTGGATTCTGTTGATCTCGACTGTTCACTAGGGTTTATGCATGCTTACAGTTCATTCGATCACGAGTCTTCGCTGATTCCGAATTCTAATTTTTGGTTTGCTGCAGCATTGTGCTCTTTGGTAGTCGAAGTCTCGCGACGGGGAAATGGTGAGTTGAAATTTCGTTTTCTTCCTCGTATTGTTTTCTTCGATTCTCGAGAAAATCATCCTCGACTGATATTTACTCCTTGAGAGAAAAAAGGTACGAACTATGGAGTATGTGGGCTAATACAAGCTAATATCTATTGTACTTGAATTGCAGTCGGATATAAGGAAGTGGTTTATGAAAGCCCATGAAAAGGGAAATGGAAGTGCTCCAAAATCGACAGCTTCCAAGGCAGGTGCTGCTGTGACGAATGCTGCAGAGACTGCACCCAAAAAATCAGAGAAGGTGAGGTTTCTGCTCCATATGGATAGTATGTTGTATCTTAGTAAAACACTGTAGTAGGTACTGTAAGCAGGATTGAAGTTAGTGACTCTTCCTGTGTACGTGTGGCCCATTGTCATTGTGTTCTGTGAGGTTGCATGAAATTTAATACCCATATTGTTTGTTTTCAGAGCTACTTGAGAGTGCGTTATAGGCGACACAAATATCCTAGTTGCTCTTATAATCATAAATATTTGGTTTGTTTACTGGGATCAGTGTTATTTCTGTTAAACACTTGGAGCTGATTGACAGGCTAGTGAAGACCTGGAAACTGCTACTAGGAAAAAAACGAGCAAGTATTTTGCTAAAGACAAAACAAAAGCTAAAGATGAGAAAGAGGTGGAAGAAGTTCCTGCCAAGAGGAAACTTAAGGCTGATTCTGATGATTTAGTCAAGACCCGTCCAAGAAAGCTTGTCAAGGTTGATGATGACGATGATGATTTTGAGGTACCTAGTTCAAGGAAGACTCGTGATAGCACTCCAAGCAAAAAACTGAAGTCTGGGTCAGGTAGAGGAATCGCTAGTAAAACTGCTGATGTTGACGAGGATGATGATGGTGAAGATGCCCAAGAAAAGGAGACTCCTCTAAAATCAGCCGGAAGAGGCCGTGGCGGTAGAGCTGCATCAGGGGCCTCAACTGGTGGTAGGGGTAGAGGTGGAGGGCGAGGTGGGTTTATGAATTTTGGTGAAAGGAAAGACCCACCGCATAAAGGAGAAAAGGTCAGTACTTTGCTTGACCGAGAATCTTATCTTAACTTGACTATTATCCAGGGCCTTAATGTTTTGCTGACCTATCCCTGTTTTTCAGGATGTTCCTGAAGGCGCCCCTGATTGCTTAGCTGGATCTACATTTGTAATTAGTGGAACACTTGATAGGTATTTCCTTGTCTCATACTTCTTGCGTTTTCCCACTCTTGTTTTTCGTGTTACAGTTTCTTGTACCCTCTTGACATTGCAGTTTAGAAAGAGAAGAAGCGGAAGATCTGATAAAGCGGCATGGTGGTCGTGTTACAGGCTCTGTTAGCAAGAAAACGGTATTTCTTCATACCATTTATTTTCTTTTTTTGGTGTTGTTGGATTGAAGGTAATCCATAAAGTTACAATCCCTGTTTGCAGACTTACCTTTTGTGTGATGAAGACATCGGAGGAAGGAAATCCGAAAAAGCTAAAGAGCTGGGGTGTGTGCTTCTTGATTGCATATAATTACAGTACATTTTTAAGGTGTTTTTGGTCTTCTAGCATCCTGACTTATAATATTTTGTTCAGCACTAAGTTCCTTACAGAGGATGGCTTATTTGACATGATCCGTTCCTCTAAACCTGTCAAGAAATCTTCACCTGAAAAGACAAACAAAGGCACTGAAAAAGTCAGTGCACCGGCAAAGATAAGTCCTCTGAAAGAAGAGACGATAGGTATGCACCGTACTGCTACATAACATGTACTTTTGGTATATGTGTCTTTAGCTTACTAACCTGTTTCTAAACATTGCTATATTTTGGCTTCAATAAACGCTTGTACCATTTACGCAGTTGCCTTTTTTCTCAGTTTTCCTTACTGTTAATAGTAATCAAATATATCTATAGGCAAACCTTTGGCAAAAAAGAGTTCACCCGAGAAGGTTCCCCCACATTCTTCCCCGGCAAAGGGAAAAAAGAAGATTATCCAGACTTCATTACCATGGACGGAAAAATACAGACCGAAGGTTCCAGATGAGATTGTTGGGAATCAGACAATGGTATGTGATTAAAACTACTGTATGTTGCTTTTTGTCCACGGACATAAAAATGATGGATCCTTTATCAAATCAATTTCAGGTTACTCAGCTTCGCAACTGGCTGTCCCATTGGCATGATCAGTTTGGAGGTACTGGAAGTAAAGGAAAGGGGAAGAAATTAAATGATGCTGGTGCGAAGAAGGCTGTACTTTTGAGCGGAACACCTGGTATTGGTAAAACAACATCAGCAAAGTTGGTTAGTCAGATGCTTGGTTTCCAGGCAGTTGAGGTTAGCTCATATTTATTTCAATGACGTTGGTTAATGATCAATTTCTTGCACAGATCTTGCTTGAAAATATAAATTTTACTTTCTATTCAGGTCAATGCTAGTGACAGTCGTGGAAAGGCGGACTCGAAGATCGCCAAAGGAATTGGTGGTAGCAATGCTAATACTGTCAAGGAACTTGTCAATAACGAAGCCATGGCTGCTAACATGAATATGTATGTTGGTGATTGTTTTCATTCCCCCTAATAACGAAGTCATGGCTTGTATTATTTTCTTGACTTGGAGGAAGATTTCATCTTCAGGTCGTCAAAGCCCCCGAAGACTGTTCTAATAATGGATGAAGTAGATGGAATGTCTGCAGGTGACAGGGGAGGTGTTGCGGATCTTATTGCTAGTATTAAAATATCAAAGGTTCCTATCATCTGCATTTGTAATGACCGATACAGTCAGAAACTGAAGAGTTTAGTAAACTACTGTCTGCCCCTCAATTTCCGGAAGCCCACGAAACAACAGGTTGGATTTATATGATTGTATCTCTCCTTTCTGCATTTTCTTTTGATAGGATTATGCACAGGATTCCATGCAATGGACCAATGGTGGTCTCTTTGACATACTTTTTTGTACCATTATTAGTCCTAGTGCTCGTAGTTAACCTTTTCTATTTATTCACATGGGAGTATTGTGGATATACATCAAGTTTCACACCTGCTTAGTAGCCGACCTTTCGTTATAGGTTCCTATGTTCTTAAAAGAAAATCTAAAAACTTTTAGTTGCACTGAGGATCTGGGTGGTCGTATATCCTCTGTTTTATCATTAGAAGTGTCTGATCTCTTATGAATCCAACTTGTCATTCATTACAGATGGCAAAAAGGCTGACACATATTGCGAAGTCAGAAGGCCTTGAAGTTAATAGTGTAAGATTCTGAACTTATTTTTTTTACTTTAACTAGTTTCTGGTTGTCAATGCTAGCCATTTACATACAATCTCACATCCGGTTGGGACTATTGTTTATGTTAAAAATTTGGTTCTTGTCAGGCCCCTTTTAAAAATTAAATAAATGAGAATACAATTATTAGATTTGGTGTAGTATGCGTCCTGCAAGGTAAAGGGTTAAAACTGCCATTGCCCTTTTCTTTTTACAGCCTACTTCGGCGTTACTTGATCTCTTTGATTTTATGTTCTGGAATTCAAGTCCTTGGAACTTGAATTCTGTGTTGTCTGTGTCCACCCGTCCTGTATTCTAGTACTTCAGCTTGTTTCTGCTTGATCTCATAAGAACTTTCATGGTGCGCGTTATGTGTTACCAGTTTGTCCCCTGCACATCATATATCTTTCATTTTTTTGTCAGATTGCCCTGGAGGAACTCGCTGAGAGAGTGAATGGTGACATACGGTTGGCTGTAAACCAGCTCCAATATATGAGCCTGTCCATGTCAGTCATCAAGTACGATGATATCAGGCAGCGCCTGCTAAGCAGTGCAAAGGATGAAGATATTTCCCCTTTCACAGCTGTTGACAAGTAATGTCTCAAGTCGTTTAGTTTACTTAATCGGTGCACATAGTAGTGTATATGGAATGCTCTCTAGGTGTTTGACATTGTCAAAGTGTCTGAAGTTAACTCGTATAGCTGCTATTCTATGAAGAAGTTTTTTCCCTTGTTTTGTAGTAGAACGTACATTTTAAAGTACTCTGGAGATTCCACTATAGCTTAACTGTTAATGATCTACTTCCAGGTTGTTTGGTTATAATGGTGGGAAGCTGAGAATGGATGAACGGATTGACCTAAGCATGAGTGATCCTGATTTGGTTCCCCTTCTTATACAGGTCCCTTTTTGGATATTTGTGGGGTTGTTTAGTAATCTCCTGCGACCTTTGACATTAGTGATTTCTAGAACTTGTTTAATCCCACATGAGAATATACAGAGCATTGAATTTTGTACCTCAACCTTTTCGTTCTTTCTGGGCAGGAAAACTATATCAATTATAGGCCAAGTTCCACTGGTAAAGATGAGACAAAACGAATGGAGTCACTTGCCCGTGCCGCTGAATCTATTGCAGATGGAGATATTATCAACGTGCAGATTCGGAGATATAGGCAATGGCAACTCTCTCAAGCTTGCTGTGTTGCATCTTCTATACTCCCGTAAGTTGCTGCCAGTTCTTGAGAATAAGACTGATCGTTTTTTTACCAAATGTGCTATTTTTCTCTCTACACGAGGTTTGTGTTGCCGATGAATATGCCTTCCTATGCCCTAGTGTTTTATTTAGTTTCTATGCTTGCTTTCTAAACCTAAAGTTTCTCTTCGATGGAGATCAAATTTAATAAATCATATGCTGCCACGTATATTCATGTGTGTTTTGTCTTTGTATGAATTTCTGTTCCCAGGGGTAGAGAGTATGATGTGTTTTCTAATACTTGAGAACTAACGTGTAATTGTTTTGTTTGAATAGAGCTGCATTGCTGCATGGATCAAGGGAGGTATTCGAGCAGGTAATGGTTTTTAAGTGAAGCTCATTACACCATATAGATGTAACCTGGAAATTCTGCTATCATTCAGTGTGCCTCCTTTTTTCTGATTATGCGTCCACGTTCCACATAATGCCTTTTTCTGCATAAGATTTTGAGTCGGTTGTTTTATTTGAGCATGATTAGTTTTGTGTATGGTGGTATAGCTCTGTAGCTGCCTAAAATATCCTGATTCAGATTAACCATGCATAGCTATTGACACGATTATTGAATGCAGGGGGAGCGTAATTTCAATAGATTTGGTGGGTGGCTTGGCAAGAATTCTACTGCAGGAAAAAATAGAAGGTTGCTGGAGGATCTGCATGTTCATGTCCTTGCTTCCGGTGAATCAAGCTCTGGAAGGTTGTTTCACCTGTACATTTAGCTTTATCAGTTACTTCTTTCTGCTAGTGAATGCTTCCTTTTTTGTGATTTGCTACTTTTAGTAAATCTTACACTCTCCGTATTAACTACTACTTTGCCTTTTCTCATATATCATCCGTCTGTGAAGAGTCAACTTTGTTACCTCTTCTGTTTCTTTTTAATCAGTGTTATGTAATGATATATTTTCTTCTTCCAATTTTCTGACTATTGACAACATTGACCACAGGGAGATCCTTCGTCTTGATTATCTTCCTCTTCTCTTGAATCGCTTGACGAGTCCACTTCAGACCCTGCCTAAGGTTTGACTTACTAATATCTGTTACTTGTTTGTGAACTCACTATACACTTGTGTTATCTGCTACTTGATCATATATATGTAAAAATATTTACCCAGGATGAAGCTGTTTCAGAAGTAGTTGAGTTCATGAACTCATACTCTATCAGCCAGGAGGACTCTGATACGATAATGGAGCTGGCAAAATTTAAGGTATACACGATTTCCTTTATCATGGGACATCACTGCAACAGCTTCGACAATTGAATCTTTTCACTAATGTAGTACAATCTTTACGAAACAGGGACGTGCAAATCCATTGGAGGGTGTACCACCTGCAGTTAAAGCAGCTTTGACGAAAAAATATAACGAGACGAACAAAACCAGAATGGTACGTGCTGCTGACATGGTGCAGCTTCCGGGATTGAAAAAGGCACCAAGGAAGCGAATAGCTGCAATGCTTGAACCAACTGTTGAAAGTTTGAGAGATGAAGATGGCGAGCCGTTGGCAGAGAATGGAGAAGAAAATGAATCAGACGCTGAAGACTCAGGTACTGTGCATCTTTGTGAACCTGTATAGTAGATTCAAGTAACTGGACCTGTATAATCAATGACTTAGCCTCAGAAAGTCATTACAGAAATTACCATAAGACTTGGAACTACTTTGACCAGATGAGAGATCCTGACTGGGTTTCCTTTTTTTTTTTGCTTTGCTTTTGATATTCCAGAAGAAGCAACCAATGGAGGAAATCTGGAGTTAAATCTAAAAAATCTTAATGCTAAAGGTCGGTCTTGTTTCTCCTTATGATCCGTTGTGTTGTCTTGAAGAATTTGACAAAGTCTTAATTATCTGTGTTTTGGTTGCAGGGATCCAAGTTGAAGTGGATTTGAAAGGAGCTGGAAGCTCTGGCTCAAGAAAGGCAGCTGGTAAAGGCAGAGGCAGAGGCAAAGCAGCTGATGCGCCTGCTGAGAAGAAAGCTACAGGGAGAGGCGCTGGTGCCAAGAGAAAGCGATGAGAAGCCAATTCGTTTAGTTTTTTCAGGCAATCTTATCAAGAAATGTCTCTTTCTGGAATGTTCACGTTCGGCTACAACGGATTCTTTTTTTCTTTTTTTTTCCTGGATTGGCGGATGAATATGTATGATGTTTCTGGAAATTAAGAGCGGATTCTAGTTTGTATTTGATCGCAGAATGCCATTTGCCCTTTTATTAACTAAGATGAAAAAAAATGAAAAAAACTACAAGACAAAGACTTAACAAGTATTCTTCTAATAGCAGATGCATATAGCTCTTGATAAATGGAGGTTTTTGGTGAAGTAAAAGGTGAAAACTAGAGGCTGAATTCGTGTTTCAATTCAAACCATATATATATATTACAATAAATTGTGTTTGATTGGTCAAGCTTCGACAACACAAGTAATAACATCATCATTTGAGCAAAGATTGATGGAAATCTGTAATGTGAACAAACGACAATGTGAATTTACAAAAGACCAACCAACCAACCCACAAGAGTCTACACTTTCTTTTAGTTTTTTTTTGTTTTTGTTCAGTTTTGACATAATAACAACACAGAAGAAGGCGTCTCATCTCTGAAGAAGCAGCATGGCCTTCTTTTGGTCATATATATAACCTTTTTCTTTATTATTGAGAATCAGAAACTCTTTTACGTTACCAATGGACCTTCTTCCTATGCTCCCACCACACTTGAAAACTTCCGACTTCAGTATACATATTTATATATATCATAAACAGACAACATCTTCCTGTCTCTGCAAAGGCCAAAAATCAGCAGAACAAGATCTTAGCATTCTTTAGAGACATCTCAAGGTATAAGCCAAGCTAAATCACTAAATCAAAGAGGGTCAAAAGTTACCTTTGCCAACAAGATGCTGGCACTTTGCTTCTTAGCTTGAACCAGAACTAGCCGCACATGTTTCTTTCACACCTCTTTCATTCAAAGAATGATCACCACCCGCTTCTGATCTACTTTGCTCATTGTTTGGCTCAGGGCTGTGATTCTCTGAGCCGTTTGATACAGATGCAGTGCCGGTGGGTCTACTGTTTTCCCTCGTTTCTAGACGTTCCATCATGCGGGACACAGTGGCGATGCCGGCAGTAACCTCTCTTTTAACCTCAGAGCCAATATCTGCCATGGACGTGTTGCGATTAAAAAACCTGTCTTTCCAGCTCCTCGTGTTCTTTGATATCGATTCTTTGTATCTACAATGTGCATCCGGAATCACTTAGAAACTGATATAAATCACATACAAAACCAAACCTAGCTAGGCATAGAGCTGAGATACCTTGTTGAGACAGCGTTTAGTCGAGACTTTAGAGATTCTGAAAATGATTGGAGCTCTGATGGTCCAGCTCTATCTTGATCACTTGGGGAAGATTGAATCCTTCTGTTCGAATCAGATGCCGAAGGAGAAACCTGGCGGGGACGAGAAGAAGTTGCTGGCTGCATGTTCGACTGAAGAGAACCCTCGACTAAAGTATTGTTAGGGGAGAGACGAAGGTTTGTGGCTGTGTCACTCTCGTCTCTCTGAGATGGAGAGGAAGGCATGGGAGGATGAGGTGGAGGAGGAGAAGCATTAGGATGCGAAGAGAAGACCATGAACTGTGGATGACCTTGACTCGACGACCTGCTGCTTCTGTGGCCTTCCCTTCTCGCCCCATGCCTTGCTCTCCCCATAGCAGCAGCAGCAGCCAAGTGCTGAATGATTCGTTCTTCAATCTCTGCATTGTCCACCCCCACCGGGAGCTGCAATTTGTACAAAGACGGAGCTTGTTTAGAAAATTTTACAAACTGCAATCAAGTCGAAATGACATTAAGGAGAGTCGCATACATGTTGTAACTCAAAATCACCGAGAGTTGGATGACGAAATATGGTGGCGTTTCTAGATGGATTGAAACGGAAATTCCTTTCCTGCTCAACAGCCTCAAGCAACTCTTGACTGTAAACATAGAAAACACATATAGCTGAGACCCTTATTGAGGATGGCTCATGGTAAAGCTACCAATAAAAACATAATATGAGGAGATAAAATTAACCTTGTAGGGTCTTTGAGACTGATTGATTGCCAACACATTGGGCACTGTGAACTCCTTTGACACCTGAAAAAAATGAAATGCAATGCCACGGACCTGATAAGCTTGAAAGAGTGCAAAAACAGCGGTGAATGCACACGAGGTTTTAAGAGCTTACCACTCAAGAATGCATTGGAGATGATACTCATGCTTGCAACTAGTCAGCTGCGAGAGAAGAAGAGTTAAGGAAAAACAAAATAAATTGGAATCAATGTGAGTTATATTAAAAACATGAAATTTGGCTACAAAACATACAGTTGATGGATCGCTTTCGCAGAAGACTTCGAGACAAATGCTACATGCGTCATCACAAGGATCTTGGATTCCTCCTTCAACAAAAGCTGCTGCTGAAGTCAAATGCCCCTCAGACGTCGTCGTATCTTCAGCTCCCTGAAATTGAATTGTCAATTTTGCAAAAAATCCGAGAGAAATTATCACAATTCAACACGGTTTCGAATCCCAAAATTGAAAAAAACGACATTTTCGCAAGAAATAATGCAATCAGATAAAAAAAAAAAAAAAAAAAAAAAAAGTGTCTGCTGCAAAATCGGAAACCAGAATCAAATGATAAACCCTGCGTAACAACAAACAAGCTCATCTTTGTCTCGGAACAATCCAATTAATGGGATCCGATTCGATTCCCTCCAAGCACAATTGAAATTCAAACGGAGAAGGGAAATGAAAAACCCTAACCTCCATGGAAATCGCGATGGATCGGATGACGAGCTAAGCAGAAATGATAGAGATAACAAGGCTGATCAAGTCGATCGAAGAAAAATCTAGGGTTGAGAGAGAAATCAAAACCCTAGATTCGTGAGACCCCGAAGATAATGGAGAGAAAAAAAGGAGAGGGAGATGGAAGAAGAAGACAAAGACCCTTTCTTTTCCTTTCCTCTGCGCGTGGTCTCTATTGACTCTCACTCACGACGTTCATTTTTTTTCTATTTTTCATTACATATGTTTATATTTTTAATTAGGACACATTAACGAGAGACAACGACCTGTGATTTAGCTGGGTCCCATTTTATGACACGTGTTTCCTTCCCTTGTACTTCATCCTTCTCTGTCTGTTTTCTTTTCCGGTATGTACTTTTCGTTTTTCACTTCATCCCGACATTTTTCACTCTCTTGGTCGAGAAAAGTACGAGAAGAAAGAATAATCTTATGTGATGTTTATATATATAAAAAAAAAAGGAGAAACATCTGATTCTTTCTAAATATGAAAACACTACAGAAGTCAGAAGGTGGAAAGACAAAAAGTGAGTTAAAATTAAAAAGCGACAAAAAAAATAAAATAAAGAAGATAAAACGAGTGTGAGTCGATGTTACAGTTTTACAAACTACCGACGAACCCAAGGAAGACTACTGATTCTGATCTTCACGAAGGGATCGAGTCTTGAAGAGACTTTCTTAGACTCCAATGTAGCCGAGACGATGAAGGACGATTGCTAAAACGAGCATGCATATTGCAAATATCAACCCTCCTTTCCCGAGCAACCAATTCTTTGCTTTCTTCGCTTTCTCTATCCCTGTTTGAGCCCGATCCGCCCATCGCATCTGCACACAACATTATTTCACAAAATCAGACATGTTCTTTCATTACAAAAGATAGTGTTCTGCTAAGTTCGGAATGTTCTGCTTTTTATAAACCGGATGCGTACCATTTTCTCCAAGGCTTCAGGAGAAAGAGAAGCCATGGCTTCTTGAGCTTTTGCAGCATCTTCTTGAGATAGCTTCATTCCGAATTGTTCGCTCATGCTAGCCATCATTTCCGGATTCATGTTCTTAATCATAGACGTGAACATCTACCAAACATACAGAGAAATTACTTCATGAGAGAACAACATCTACAATCACATTAATGTGGTAAGATATAAACCGGAAAATGGACAAACCTGTCGCATCGCTGGATCTTTCATTTGGTTTCTCATCTGTTCCTGCAAGTCAGCAGGCGGAGCAGAAGGGAAGCTTCCTTCGAAACCGCTTCTAGGAGCCACAGAGGAATCACCCGAAGAGCTAGACGCACCAATAAAACTACTCCTTTCCCTTGGCTCCGATGCGTGTGATGTTGAAGCGGGAGCGTTTGCTTTCAGTGACGATGCCATGTTGAACATCCTCTCACGCTCTTCTGTCGACATCTTACCCATCATGTCGGACGCGAGTTTGAGCATGTCGGCCGTGGGTGCAAACCCGTTTTCCGAAGGTGTCCCAGTCGGAGCGAAAGGGTTGTCTCCTTTGAAGGAAGAGGCTGTTTGGACCATTTTTTGAATCTCTTCGGGAGACATTTTGCCAATCATGCTCGAGGCGGTTTTGAACATGTCTGGTGACATGTCTCCAGCTTTGCCTCCGCTCAGAGAAGCAAGTGTGTTGGGATCAGTTGTTGAAATGAAGTTCTGGAACGTTCTGCAGGCCAAAGAAAGAATAAAATTATCCAAACCGTGATAATTAGGAGAAATATAGATGAAACAAGACATCTATGTGTATACAGTAGTTTGGAATGGTGTTGAACCTGATTGCTTCTGGGTCATCTCTGAGAGCCTGCAATCCATCAACATCAGTCTTTATGCCACCACTGTCGCTTTCTCGTTGTGTCCCAGTAACCTCTTTAGACTGCTTTTTATTTTCTCCAGAAGTAGCAGCATTTTCTTCTGTTATTTCTTCAATCACCACACCTAATACCCAAACAAAGATAGCAATTTTCAGGTGCTTCACCCTTCATGGAAGAAGCAAAGAAACGTCTGCAGCTAAAGATACACTGTTTATTTCGAATAATTCCATAAGAGAAAAGCTTTTACCTCTTGCTGATTTCTTGCCAGGGCCCTCAACCGCCAATCTTTCCTTAGTCTCTCTGCATAAAAAGAGATAAAAAGTTAAATTCAGTATTTTTATAAGAAAATGTCGATATCCAAACCTGTGAAACAAGCAGAACTGAAAAGCAATGAAAATTACCAGTAATGGAATATAAAAAACCATACCTTAACACATCGGCAATTGTCTCATCTTCAGGGAAAACTTCAAGGGCCTTGCTTAGATCGGAGACGGCATCCTTAAAGTCAATGAGCAAACATATGTTCAGGACACATTTACAGTACACACACATATATTGACAAGGAAATCTCAAGAAACTTCCATAAGCAACAGCGGAACTCACTTCAAACTGGCCCAGATCTCTGTAAGCTTGACCCCTTCTGTATAGGGCTTTGACATTCGTTGCATCATATGCCAAAACCTAAATTAATGCAAAAATGTAATTTTATAAGAAGAATGCCAAGACAGGATTGAGTAGACCTTAAGGCGCTGTATCACAAGGTGTGTAGCATACCTCAGAACCTTCCTTTATGCACTCATCATGCTGATTCGTCTTCAAATAGCATGACATTAGATTGAGCGAACAAGCCAACAAAAGTGCTCCACCTTTAGAAGACGGAATCTCCTTCAGATTGTTCTTCGCCTGAGATATGGTCCACGAGAGTTGTAAGAGAAGCGGGAAACAAAAAATTGCATACTAACTATATATAAAACTTTTCTCAGTAACAAAGCAACTGGAAAATCAAGTAGCATGACAAAAGACACTTATGCAGGCTTACACGCAAATACTTCTCTGCAGCATCACTGAAATTTCCTCGGCTGTGAAGCTCATTTCCCTGGCAGAAAATAACAGTAACTGAGGTTAACATCAAGCTTTAGACAACATCCATTCTGAAGAGACAAAAGTACAAGAAACTAAAGGTTCGCTCTCTCTAGGCAAAGCCAAGATTACCTGTTTTTTAAGCATCTGAGCTGCGTTTATCTGATAAGTGAACTGAGCATCAGCCTGGGCACGCATAGCTGCTAAATCTTCAGGAGAAGCTTTTGCCATCTTCTCGCCAATCTCAGCCATCTCCTCCGGCCTGGTATGCTTGAGCTGCTCCGCAGCTTGTTTCAAATCTTCAGGCCTCATGTTCTTCATGCTCTCGGTTGCCATCTTCATCAAATCTGGATTTGACATCATCTGTAACAACAGTGGCATAAACTCATCAAACAGAACAAAACAAAACAGAGTGAAAATCACCTAGAACCGCTATCAAAAATTAAATATCATAATATATAAAAAAAAAAAAAAAATTTGCTTCTCTCAGGAGAACAGAGTTGCAGAATATTGAACAGACACATTGTATTCCACAGAGAATTTGGAAACGCCACATTGATTGAAATTACGAGCAAAAGCAACAACAAGAGCGTTAACTGATTAATCACAGATTCACAATCACATCAATCATATAAAAAAACAATATGAAAGTTCCATCAATCATATTCACAATGGAACGATCAAACAATTTGAATGAATGGTTTTTTCAGAATCTACGAAAAAAATTAATGGAAATTTTTTAGAAACCTGCTGTTGGATCCTAGCGAAATCAGCAGGCGTCATGCGGCTCATCTGGTCTTGAGCTAGCCGAATCATCTCAGGGTCCATCATCCCGTTAAACATCTTTCTCTCGAAGCTTCGACGCAGTTCTCTGTGATCAGATCGGGAAAAGAAAAAACACCGCTGATTCAAATCGAAACTCGCCGGAACAGGATCGAGACTGAAACACGAGGGAATAATTCGAAAACGGAGAGATTGAGAATCGGAGAATCGAGGAGAATTGTTTGCTTGCCGACGTAGTTTCCAATAGAGAATTTTGTTGTTTATAGTTTCCAATTGCAAAATCCAATCGCTCATCAACCTCCTCGATTGACCGACCGGAATATGCCTAGAGTAGTGTACAATGACGTATTCACCCTTCCACTCCAAAGAGGCAATGACGTGCCATATTAAATTAGTTTTGTTTAATTGTATTAATTAGCGTACGATAACTATGATCAATTAATGTGCATGTCCTTGTCCATGTTGGAAAGCGATGTGAAGAAACACGTATCGTGTTTTTTTATGTCTTAAAACCGAAACGAATCTATTGTTTAACCTTCTTCTTCTTTTAATAGAAAAGTCATAAAATTCGGCCCATCAAAGCCCCGTAACGAATTATAATATTTTTGATGTGTTGAGACAAAGCCCACGTAGCCCCAAGTTCCGAGTGGTCGAGACAACCTAGAATTTGGCGCCAAGTCAAGCAAGGATAAAAGAGAGGATCTAATTTCCCTTTTTCAGACTCGTTTGATCATTTGCTGACCAAAAGTAAAAATGTTTGAAATCTTGTTTTTTCAAAACCTAATCGGTTAAGATCACCAACATGGTTTCTGATATATTTACATCATTTTGACTATACATTTTCATCACCTAGTTATCTTTTGATATGATCTATTGGATTGTAGATTTTTCACCTCCAACTTATATCTTGATAGCTGACTTTCACACACCAACTTCAAGAAAATGTTAAAACTTAGTAGATAGCTCTCATTAGCTTGTAATCTTCCAAATTTGTTGGAATCATTATTATTCTCTTAGTTTTATCGTTTGTACAAGAAATATGTTTACAAATATAACTCCCATAAAATATTATTTTTTCAAGAAAAGTTAAGGATGGTGGAAGGTAACAGAAAGAAGAAGCTTTGATGGTTGTCGGGACGTGGAGTGATCTCACGTGGCAGTTTCACTCTGATTGGTTCCTTAATCGTCGGCCCACGTGTCATGCCACTTGTCAGCAGAACCTCTCTCTCTTACAGCAGCAAGTTGTACGATTGCCGTTTTCATTATTAGGATGCGTCACATCACTTCTCATCCCCACCTCTTCTTCAGGAAACCCCCCGACTCTTTCGTATAGCTACTATGACTTCAATACGAATTAAACCAGTGGTTTATTTCGGTTCGTTTCATCAGTTTTACGTACGTCAGAGTTGGAATTTCTGTAATCAGCACGTTATATGAATTCTTGATAAGTTTGATTCACGAACGAGCGAGGGGACGATCGATATGATGTCATACTTGACAGTGATGAGATCAAAACCTTATTTCTATAAGCTTTTTTTTTGTTTTGTTTGAATATAGCAAGATATCAACTACAAAGGCTGAATTGCTGATGTATAGTTAGCAAACTTTGTTTCTTGGTTACAGGTTTGTTAGAGATTGAAGTGCAATGATTAAGATTCAGATTTTTTGACGATCAAATATGATTATATTCGCTTCTGCATGGTGTGAAAGGAATCCAACAACAAAGGTTCTGATTGGTGGAATTGGTGGTCTCTCGCTCTAAAACTAAAACCAAAACCATTTTGCATCTTTATCCACTTCTTCACATCTTTTCGTCTTTATCTGCATTTTTATCTTGTTTTTTTGCTCTTCTTTACATCCTAAAACAAGTTTAGCATGTTTTCAGTTATACTTTTCTCAACTCTAATCGTGATTCGTTTTTGTTGTGGTGTGTACTTTTTTATGAAAAAGAGTTCGCCCTTTTGAAACTACTTTTCTTTTAGCGGAAATATCCTTTGTACTTGTCAAATAGCCCGTGGTGCAATGTTTTTGAAACATAATTCACCGTTAAGGTCCTTGAGGATAAAAAATAAATAATCATAACAGCTTGGAAAACAGCTAAATTGAACCAATACACCCAAAACCAACAAGTAATAAATTTGACTATGAGTTTTTTTTTTTTTCAAATAGATTTGACTATGAGACTATGAGTTATGAGCAAGAATATAAAACTATGGATGCAAATGCTTGTATTTTTGGAAGAATCAAATCTTTTTACTATTTGTTTAAAAACTGAGGGCAAAGGAATTTCCATTCATTTTTGGGACGAAAAGTAAAGTAGAACAAAATTGAAAAGAAAACGTTCCACTCATTAACTTTCAATTTATCATAATATCATATTTCCTGTGATAACCATTTGGACTGATGACTCTTTCCAGTTTCCACCAATATAATCGGTCCAATGTATTCGCAGATTTTGTGCAAGATTTACAAATTATTGTCTTTTTCCTAATGTAGAGAAAGAAAAATTCACACTCCCAAAATGACATTCACAAAAACTTTAAAAGCGCTATAGGCGTAATATAGATTTAAAGTAGTGATAATTTTCGCAAAAACCTTTGTATATACTATATACAGTACATTGATGTATGAAAATATAATTGTAAGAAATTTAATTTATTTACAAGGACAATACATATTCTATCAATTAAAGTGAATAAATACGGAGGAAGTTGGGTCGGGTGGTCCAAAGTTGGCAACTAAATGTAAACGGTGAAGCGCATGTGCATGCATGCGATATTACATTTAGAGAACCACAGTTATTTCCAAATTCATAAGAGACACAGCTGGAGATTATGGAATTTAGAGAAGATTTATAAACTACAATCCACCATAAAACATTTCAAGTCACCTTTTATAAAAAATATAAAAAATGTTCGAATCACAACTTACACATTCACATAATAAAAACGTACAGTTCTACGATTTCATTCAGCCAGATAAATCGACTAAAATTGAAAGGAAAATGAGAAAAAGATTTATATCCAACAACCTCACTCAAAGCAGAAATTATTGACTTTGCCTTTCTAGTTTTACCAACGACGTTGACTCTTTCTTTGTCCCAGTATTACCCATGACTCTTTCTTTGTCCCATACACACCTGATATGTTTTAAGTTTTGACAAACAAAATACAACCTGATATGGCGTTCCGAAAGAATACTATAGATCTTATTTTACCTAAACTTTAATATTTTGGTATTCGGATTTTGAGAAACCGTACATTTTGGAATATTATCGGCTATCTAGTACATCCGATCTAAAGATTAAATAGAGGATTCGATCTCACTACCTCTGAAGTATCTGAACTTAAGCACAAACCTTCTACCAATTTGTGCCAAAGAAATTATTTATCTTTATGTCATATCTTTCTATCTTATAGAGGGTACAAATTCTACAAGCTGTACGTATCTTTATTAATCTTACAAACTGAATGAAATATACAGCTTGTTTACAATAAACTAAGGTAGAAACTTGTAAAAATTAAGTTTGTTGTTTGAAATACAACTATAAATGCATGCATGGGACGCATATCTCTTATAGTCCGTTATAAAAATATATTCAAACAACCTTTCTAAGATGATGACAGAATTATGATACACATACTGGTGGGCTCGGTAGCGAAGCCGACGTTGGTCGGTCGGAGAGATGGGGCACATATCTCGGGTGATATAAATAATTAAGAGAGTACGACCATTCATAGAATTAAAGTGGTTAAGAAAGAAGATATTTACAAAAATATCTAATTTCTAAATCGGTTTTAGCAAACATACCTTCAAAATCAATAGGTTATGTCTCAAGCAAAGCCCGATCCGTTGCTCTTGGTGTTCATCATCTCTGAAAATGGTGTTCCTATCCCTTCCAATTCCATCTAAAACTCACATTTTGCTTACTTCGCGCGAACTGTATATGTCGGCGGCTTACTGAACCTTGCAAGACAAGAAACAATTTTTTTTCTTTTTAAGTTATTATGGGTTAGTTTAGTTTTATTTATTTATCCTGTGGTGAGGTTTGGATTGTTGTAAAAAAGCGTTCTATAAGTTTTACTGCTTTCTCCTGATCCTGAACAGTAAAGAAAAACAAGCCAATAACCAATAAAAGGTATATGCATCAAATAATAAGAAAATGGACTATGATTGGAAATATGAACAGTTATAAATGTTGTAATACAGAAATTACTTTCAATGTCACTGCAGTTGTCTGAAAAAACTCTGCCAAAGAGGGGAAATAAAGGAGAAAACAAATTGTGTAACAGTTGCCATACCTCTGTCACTTACTCCCCTTCAGGGTAATACACACACGTATATCTCTTTGATATTCAAACTCTCGCTTCAATGTTTCACTCTATCTCTTTTAGCTTCATCTCCCGATCTGAGAACGCTTTGGCGGATTCAATTGCGAAGATAGCCAAAAGTCAACTTGTGACTTCGGTTCTCGAAACCATGTCCCGTTTGTAACCGGTTATCAAATTTTAATTAAGTAATGTTGTTCAAAAAAAAAAAAAAAAAAAACAATATTGTATAAGAAAATATTATAATTCCACAGTTACAAAACTCTTTAAGCCGCAGTTCTTTTTATTTTACTCACTGTGAATTATTAGACCTCGAATTTTAATTTTGACAAACAAGAAATCACTACAAAGTTATTGTAATCAAGAAAGTATCTTTATGGATATAAGCACTATTTTATAACTAGAATAACTTTCGTTTGTAATATAAATTGTTATCCAACTGTCTCTGATAGTGAAGAGCCGAGCATATACTCGATATATATGTTAAATATATATTTTTTTTTTAAACAGATTTTCAATGCTTAAAATAAATAAATTCTTAGAAAACAAATTCAACTGAATACTAGTGACCACTTGAATAGTTAATGTGTTGAAATAAAATAAAAATTATGTACTGGATTATATTGCATTGACAATGAAAGGCGAGAGAGAAGAGGGACAGTTGAATTTGAAAGAAACCTCGAATTTGGACTTTTTCTGCGTATATATCCCCACTATTGCTTGCGGACACATTTTCACCATACCTCCTTATTCACCTTCTCTCATAGTCTGGTGATGTCATAATCTCAATATCTATAGCACAGCAGCTTTTTTCTTTTTGGAATACAATTCTGCATGCATTTAACAAAATACTCCTTGATAGATATTGGCTGTCTTTTAGTCAAATAAAACTCAAACTATGTACATACTTTTGGTACATGAAGTCGCTTAAGGTTTTCCTTAACGGCATCAACTGGATATCGAACCATTTCAAACAACGGTATAATTTCTGTTCTCCTTAATTTCCATGCTCTAATTCCGTTCGGGTATTCGATTTACTCACGTTTCTCCATTTAATGTATTTTAGTTTCCTAACCCATGCACGTACGAATAATAAACCATATCATTCTTATACGATCCTAGATTTTAATCAAAATCTTGTATGTAAATAGACCATTATATTCTTTCTGGACCAAATTATAGGTGATAATCGTTATATATACTGGAATATAAAATCTAGTGTGTTTAGGATAGTACTATTCGAAGAATTCTTAGTATGGAAAAACCACAATGGAGAAAACAGAAGTAAAATACGAACAATCCACAATAAGTAAAAGGTGGCAGGAATGAATGACCATGATCCGGCTTCGGTCATGAGTACGATATCAAAGTCAGCCGTAATTTTTTTGCAGCATGTGTGGTAGATTTTTTGTTTAAAAAATAACTTGTACAATATTTAAATGAGCATTTGTTAAACTTCATGTAGATGGGGCCCCAACTGTTCTTGCAGACAAAGGCCTTTAACAGAGGACTAGTGTTATATGGATTCTCTTCTCTTAATTCCCAGAACTACCCTCTATTTCTCAATTTCTTTGTTCTTGAAAATCCAGTCCAAAAAAAAAAACAAAGAAAATTTCCCAAGCCTCCTAATTTCCGCATAACCCTCAATTTCCCTGTCCATTAAGAATTAGTCAAACCAAAATCTTCTTTCGTGATAAGAACCCTTTTGTTTTGTTTGAACTCATCTTGCTAAGATTACTATAAAGACAAACACCAATACAAAGTTTATCTCTTTATCCATATGTTTTTGCAGAGGATAAAATTTAAGAATTTCGTTTTTAAAGAACTAGCAGTTCAAATATTTTCTTACACAGAAAGAAAAATTGATGGTTACACAATATTTTTATGAATTATTTCACCCCTCTTTTGTTGAGTCGGAGGACAGTTATGTCAATTACTGCCAAGTGCCAACCATCCAAACAGAGCCATTTACGGCAAAGTTTAATAATGAAAAAAAAACATTTATATTTTGCCAAAATAGGAAAGAAAAAAACACACACAAAGTTCCATAATATTTTTCCATTTTCAACCAAGAAAGAAAATATAGATATGTCTACAATCTTGGGCTAGAGCAGAGTATTTATATCACCCACGAGCCTTTCCTTCTTCCTCCTCCTTCATCACATCACCTCTCTTTCTCTTTCTTTCTGTTTTCTTTCCGGAGACATTCATCTGATCTCATCATCACCATCTATCACAATTACACTCAAACAAAGCCTTGATCAAGAAAGAAAGAAAGAAAAAATGATCCAAGAAAATACGACACACTTATTAGTGTCTTCTCAGTGAAAATCATATTGTATATTTTTAATGGTCAGATCAAACAAGCAAGAACCACGCGTCTCTGCTACATACATCCGATCTCTCGTGAAGCAACAACAACTTGCTTCTTCCACCACCACAACCATGACCACCCCCACCACAACCACAACCGCAGATAGCAACGGCGGCAAAACGCAAACGCAAACTCAGATGCAGACGCACAAGAAACAAGTGAGAAGACGACTCCACACAAGCCGTCCTTACCAAGAACGTCTCCTCAACATGGCCGAAGCTCGTCGCGAGATCGTCACCGCCTTAAAACAACACCGAGCTTCCATGAGACAAGCCTCCAGGATTCCACCGCCTCCACCGCCCCCACCTCCTCAGATTCCTTTCTCTGCACCGCCTCCTCCACCTCCTCCGGATCCATTTTCTTGGACAAATCCGCATCTCAATTTCCTCCTCCCGAACCAACCGTTAGGGCTAAACCTCAATTTCCATGATTTCAACGACTTCATCCAAACCTCTTCAACAACTTCATCATCCTCATCATCATCTTCATCGTCTTCTAATTCATCTTCATCATCCTCATCCATTTTTCCGACGAATCCGCATATCTACTCCTCCCCTTCACCACCACCACCTCCCACCTTCGCCGCCACTTCTGATTCACTACCTCATCAACCACCGGCTGGACAGCAGAGGATGATGGAGTTGGAGAACAACGTGGTGACGTCAGCCTGGTGGTCAGAGCTGATGATGAAGACGGTGGAGCCGGAGATGATAAAGTCGGAGGAAGAAGTCGTCCTAGTCGAAGATGACGTCTTCCCCAAGTTTAGTGACGCCATGGACTTCCCTTCGTGGCTAAACCCAACAGATGAAGAATTGTTTCATCCTTACAATCTCACAACTCATTACTCCTCTCTTCACAATCCTCCTTTGTCCTGGTAATTCATTTTTAACTTCCTTATTTAATTTTAGGTTTAAAGTTATTTTGATCGGTGTTCTAACTCCTGAATCACCGGCGGCGAATATTGCGGCGGTTCTGCATAAACTTCAGTGACTGAGCTGAGGCAGAACACAGAAAATATAAACCTTTTCGCATCTTCTTTTTTAAAAATTATTTAAATCAGGATTAAAAAAATGGAAGAAGAGGAGTGAAATTTGTGGAATGAGAAGGATCCACATAGGTTTATTGCATGATCTGAAGCTGTCCATTTTGTTGTGTTTGGTCCAATGATAATATCGCCGACATGTATAAAACACTATCCTTACCATCATTTTTTCCTGAACTGTCCCGAAACCGTCTTTGACGTCATCCTATAATATATTGTTACAATAATATATTCATGTTTGTGTTATCATCATTGCTTCTATTATTAACACTTTGGTTGCTAGCTACATTAGTTAACTTATTTTCTTTAGTTTTGTTCTTGTGGTAACTTGTTTATCTAAGTGTAACATGTTGATGTGTGAAATTATTTTACAGTATGGAGATTGGAGAAATTGAAGGCATGGATGGAGACGATTGGCTTGCTTGAACCACAAAAGATTGATTACTGTTTTTTTTTTCAGACATGATGAATCAACTCTTTGGTTCTTTTCTTATTTTTATTTGTTCTCTTTCTAATATTTCTTTTTTTTTGTTTGGAGACTTAAGGAAACACTTTGAATCTTTTAAATAACAACAAGCCTGCGGAGAGAAATGTCCGATTTGGCAAAGTCACATGGATTGAAATGAAAACATTTCTTTTTTCTTTGGTTGAAGACCTATTATTATATTTTAAATGTTTCGATTTAACTTAGTATTTACACTTTTGCTAGGTAGATATCAGAAAAGACCTTATTGTTTGAAGATAATATCAAGAAGATTGTAATGTTATGTGTTACACAAAAGAAGAAGAAAGTTTCCAAAATTTTCAGTAGATTCTTGCTCTAACATATGAATTAGAGACTTTTGTCTAAACTTCGTTATTATCTTCTTCATATGCATCATTCACTTCATCAATATCCATCTCATCATCATCATCTGTTACCAAATCATCACCATAATTCTCAAATCCAACACTCAAACTTTCATCTCCTGAGCCACTATCAAGCAACTCTCTCTCTTCCATCTCCAAAGTATCATTATAAGTCGGAATATCTCTCTTCCTTCCTCTGTAACCAGTAAACCTCAGCAACTTCTCTTTCCAAAGCACCAAAGGACACTTCTCAATAAGCTCAGTCCCGTCGTAACCTTCTGTCAAGAACACACTGAATCTCTTCCCTCTCTCAGAAACATAAAAGATACCACAATGCTTCAAGAAAATCCTCATCAGCTTCTGCGGCATCACAAACTCCCTCCTGAAATGAGTCAAATGATCCGTCACCAATCTCTTCTCAAGTGTAAAGCTAAGCACTTCGTGCATAACCGCAATCGCCCGCTTGTCGAACTCCTTCGAACCAGCTTCGAGTCCACTCCCATCAGCGTAAGGAGACAAGTAAGACCGTTTCTGAAAATGCTCGATCTTCCCTCTGTACCTATACATTTTCTTGTACGACGGAGGGAACTTCATTGGGAAAGCCAACGAAAGCAGACCTGGCTTGTGATCATCGCTTTCCTCTGTTAAACCAAAACTCTTCTTCTCCAACTCTGTAATAGCCCAAGCTGGATTCCATGAAACAAGCTCAAGATACTCTTCTCCATCCTCAAGTTTCACAACTCTAAACAGCTCAGGAAACTTGTGCACCCAGTTTATCCTGAAATCAAGAGGCAACCCAAAATCCCTCCTGAAATGAACAATCTTATCCAAAGGAAGCTTCTTATCAACAGACATCATCAAACACCTGGTCACATGTTCCGCAGCTTTGCTTCCGTTCTCCTCAAGCAACCTATCATGCTCCTCCAACAAGCCCTCCGCTTCCTCTGTCAATCCACACCACAAGACTCCTCTCTGGTCTTTATACAACTCGAACAGCTTCGGAGACTTTCTGATGAAATCGCTGATCTTGTGCGGTTTAGGCAAATTGATCTGCCTCCTGTACTGCTCCAAGGACCTGACCGTCATTATCATATCTCGCTCACTCTTCAACGTCTCCATCAAGAACATCAATTTGGAAACTATTTTCCATTTCTCTGTCGCTACTTCGAGCTCGCGGACTCTCTTCTCCTTGCTCCGATCTTGAACACGCTTGCTAGTCGTCATTAGCCTCACACATACCCGCCTGAAAGGTGACTCTCCGGGTAAAACGTTTCTCTCAGGCATTTTCGCAAACACGTTGTGCGCATTCCCGTTGAATTGCAGCCGACTTCGCAACCTTCCCATCAAAACCTCACCTTTCGGCACCTGAACAACCATTAAGAGCAACCCCAATGAGAATCAATACCTTAAACTATACGGCGGCGAAATCAAAGGTAGCTGATGAGCGGGAAGCCATGAGACGACGGAGGTCCGACGGCGACGAGAAGAGAAGGCAAGAGAGTAAGTTGTTATCTTATGGGCCCAATAAAGCCCATTAAGTTAATCTTAAATGATAAGTCCTTGTAGTATGATACGTCGTCGTCTGAGGACCCAGTTGATAAAGAGAACGAAGAAAAGATAGAGGAAGGACCCAAATTCCTTCACAAATGTAGCTTTCATAAACGTGACAAACAATACTATGATTGGATGTTGACCAAACACATGTCTATTAGGCTATTAGGCTATATAAATGATTTTAAAGAAATTTATATATGGCAAAAGGACTCGAAATGCACCAACCTATCCACTTTAAGAATTTGCCATGAATTTCACTTTTTGCTTTGCATACTAGCACAGTAACACTATTTTCAAAACCAACAGTTTGTTTAGGTCATTACTTTCAATTAGTCAGATCATATATATCAACACATCAGTTGTTTCCTTTTAAAATGTCAAGGCTCGTAAATTTTATTTTTAAACTAATCAATTGACAATATTAGTAAATGAGTTAAGGTATTAACACACTTTATCGATTGATAAAAACTCTGTAAAACTAAAATATTTCCAAATGCATGGTTCAATACACATTTACTCATAGTATAATGTAACATCGTCTCATCTAGTGTACATAACTGTAAGGTTGTTATTAGAGGCCAAATTTTGTTTGTTAGTGAAGAAAAGTTAAACAACACATGCATGTGAAACTATAAACAAGAGGAATTATGGCACGTGTGGGATAATAAAACATGACTAGTTCTTCTTCACCGCGTTATCATCTTGTTCAACGCGCATACTACCTGCGACCTTCTTCTTCTTCGTCTTCTTCGTCTTCTTCTCATACTCTCTACTTATCACACACACGTATAAATACGCTAACAAGCCGCCACTATCACTATATACTCTTTTGTCAACTCCTAAATCCACCTGAATTAATACTCATAAACCCTAATAACCAAATACACACAAAATACTTATTTTATCTACTCATCTCTCTCTCTCACTCACTCACTCTGCATTTGGTTTACATATGGATATCAATGCATCGCCCAAGTACACAGGTGTACGGAAGAGGAAGTGGGGGAAATGGGTGGCCGAGATTCGTCTCCCCAACAGTCGCGAGAGGATCTGGCTCGGCTCCTTCGACTCAGCTGAGAAGGCGGCGCGTGCTTTCGACGCTGCTCTTTACTGCCTCCGTGGCCCCGGAGCACGTTTTAACTTCCCTGAGAATCCCCCGGAGATACCCGGCGGACGTTCTCTGACGCCGCAGCAGATTCAGGTCGTAGCTAACCGCTTCGCCTGCGAGGAAAAACCACCTCAAAACATACAACAGCCGTCGTCTTCGTCGCCGTCGACACGTGGGGATAAGACGGAGGAAGGAGTGATAATTTCGACACGTGAGGAAATAAGTGGTGGTAGTGGTGGGCCGACGTTAGGACAAGTTGGAGAAAATAATAACAACGAGGACATGTACAATTACAACAGCATTGATACGACGACGTGTTGGCCGTTTATGTGGGAGGAGAATCTTGTGGTTCCTACAACGTCGGACGAGTTCGGTTTTTTCATGGACGATTCGACGAATTTGTATTTCCCGTCGGCACAACAACAACAACAACATGAGCTCTCATCTGATTTTTACTACGATGGAGCATCTGTTGAAGAAGATTACTCTCATTACAATATTAACCTTTGGAATTTCTAAGATCCATTTTTACTAGCGATCTTGGACCAAAATTAACCTTTGAGATGTCAAGATTTCAACTAGCTGGACCAGAATTTCCAGCGAAACTGAAGAGGTGAGTCATTGGTTGAAGCCAATCGAACTTAATGTCACAAGTTAAGCTAGCCTCTTAGTTTATTGCGGTAGAGTAAGCTATAGTTCATTATTATTTTTTTTTTCTATTTATTAAAACCAATTTTTTCACGTGTTTTTTTTTTTTTGTATTTATGTGCTCTGTACTATTATCTTGCACATTAATTCCACTGTAATTTTCTTTGTAAGATTTGCTTGTGTTTTTGTAACAAGCCAATCTTGAACCCCTATCTTTTGGTCTTAATATGTTTTCCAATGTTTTATCTATAAGGTTGCATATGTATGTGTGTAGGCGTTATTTCAAAATTAAGTTGGTCATGTACGTTTTGTGTGGGTGAAATGTCGTTTTATAAAAACTTTTGTGTTGACAAACAAATAAACTTGCATAAACTTTTGTAAAAAAAATATAATGATGCTTCATCGGCTGAAAGTTCTACTTGAGAAAGAAATTTTACACTCAGTGGACCTATAGATCTAATCTAGCAATAGACTTTCATAGGCACCGAAACTTTTTTTTGTGGAAAGACATCCAACGAGTAATTTGGGCGGTCGAGCTTTCTTTGGAAAATGTGTGCTTCGTTAAACTTAAAGGTAACCGATGATCCGAAGCTTAATTAGCCCGATGCGATGAGGTTAGTATGCACAACTTTACTCAAGATATGTGGATAGCTTGGAGTTAGGTGAAACACTATTTACTCAAGAAATTTATGGGCAGAAAATTATGCATGCATATACATACATTCTTTTTCTTTTTAATTTGTTCAAAATACCCTTTGATCTTCATACCATTACTGGAAATTAGAAGCAAATTCCGTTAAGCGCATCCATCTCATACCACGCTACTCGGGAAAATGTTCTTCTTAGCATGGTAATTAACTAGTATTCTCACATTACCATATGGATTACGCATTTTGTATATTCAGATTTGAGTGATGTACTTATCGATCTTAATTCATGTAGTCTTTACCTTCAGCATGAACCGTTAAGCCACTTGAGTTTCTTCAGCTTAACTTAATTAACCACCATATCACTTAATTAGTCTGATTCTATTGAACTCTTGGCGAGTATAAAAACATGCAAGCACCTCATTATGATCTAATGATCTCATGGAATCACATCTGAGATCGACCCGCTAATCTTTACTATATAAAAATAGTGCGGATTGATCAGGATTCAACTATTGACTCTAAAACTGAAGAGCTATGTATAAAACATTTTACCAAAAAATAACAAAAAAAAGACTATGCTGGATTCAAGATAAGCTTCAACTCTGGATTCAGTGAGCCTACCCAAAAGACAAACTCCAGGATCTTACGGCAAGGCTCTCTTTGCTTGTTAAATTATAATTGGCTTCATGCATGCACTATTTTTGTCTTGGCATTTCTAGCTAGAAAATTGGCTTGTAGAAACTTGAACTATTTCCCATTTATTATGAAACCTATAAATAACAAACACGTACGTAATAATTAATGCGGTGTTTTAAAAGTTTTTAACTTATCATGGTGGACCATTAGTGATCAACAAAACTGGAAGATTATATTATAATCCTTATTTTGTTGCCTATGAGAGATGGACATGTGCAGTCGTCCATATATAACAATTTTGTTCATCGATCAATCGATCAAATGACATCTCATTGAATGTATGTACTACATTTGACTCCAAGTTGGTTAGGGAATTAAACATCAAGCTTCTAGAACTTTTTTTAATCTCTTAAATAATTATGTAAGAAAAAACTAAATACCCAAATTTTCTCTAAATTTCTTGACGAGCATTACAAACAAAGAAATGCTAGCTATTAGTCTATTACTTAGCAGGACAAAATTACAGGTACGTTAACTCATATCCAACTAATAAATCCAAAAATAAACAAAAGATAATAACACATAACAAGAACCAAACAAGGAAACAGGAACTAACGAAAAGTCAGCCTGCATTCAGTATATGCAATTTCTTAATCAATAAAATTTCATATTAATCATCTCTATAATTATTACCTTTCGCTATCTTTATTCTCTAATAGCAAACGAAAAACTTTCTTTTTTTTGCTTTGTGAATTGAAATAATGGCTCCATCGTTCCTAAGCGTAGCAAGCTTCGTTGAGGCAATACTTCGCCGGAGATTCTCTTCTGCGGGTCTCTCTCTACAAACCCTATGCATCGACTCAGAAACCACCATACAGTTCTGGGGCCCACCACCGGAAAACAAACAGAAACCGTCGCTCCTCCTCCTCCACGGCTTTGGCCCTTCCGCTGTATGGCAATGGAACCGTCAGGTAAAGCCACTCTCTCAATCCTTCCGTCTCTACATTCCCGACCTCGTGTTCTTCGGCGGCTCCACTACTTCCTCCGCTTCCTCCGACAAGAACCGTTCGGAGATGTTTCAGGCGTCGAGCATGGGGAAATTGATGGAGAAGCTCGGTGTCGAGAGATTTAGTGTTGTAGGGACGAGCTACGGGGGGTTTGTGGCGTATAACATGGCGAAAATGTTGCCGGACAAAGTGGAGAAAGTGGTTCTTGCGAGCTCCGGAGTTAATATGCGGCGGAGTGACAACGAGGCGTTCATAGCGAGAGCTAAGTGCGCCGACATCGCGGAGGTGATGCTTCCTTCTTCGGGGACAGATCTCCGGAGGTTCTCTGGGATGATTTCTTCTAGGCGACTCGATTATGTCCCCAATTTTCTCTTGAACGACTTTTGCCAGGTATTTTTACGTGTTAACTTTTTATATTTTAGTGAAAATCCTTGTTTAATTACTCCATCGGTTTAACAAACCGATCTTTTCATGACTTTCTTTGAAAAAAAAAAAAAAAAAAAATCATTTATGCCATTTATTTCTACAATTTTCTCTTTTATAAGATCAAATTTGATTCTCTGATAAACATTTCGCATGGAAACAAATATATACAAAAGGTACTTCTTATTTTTTAAAGTAGTGGAGTATAAAGATGCACTCCACTAATTTATCTTTGAGTCATAGATACAAGAAGGAAAATAAAATTGTCACTGTCATGTGGTTATAGTAAAAGCATGCATAGAATTGGTAGAAAAAAAAGGAAACAAAAAGAACGGTAGCCTTGTAGCTCGGTAAAGTAGGACAAATCTTTCTAACTTTTATATATATACAATTATATTATATCGTATATTCGTAATTGAACGAAGAGTTTTGGTTGCATGATTGATACATAATACTTTTTTAAAATGGGGAAATACACAGAAAATGTATTCGGAGAAGAGAGAGGAAAAAGCAGAACTTCTGGAGGGACTAAGTATTGGAAAGGACGACCAAACAAACGTTTCTCCAATTCAACAGGTTAGCAAATCGCTATCACCATTATTATTTTTTGGTATTACGCTAGCACCTACATTAATCTTTAACTCCGTATGAAATTAACAATGGTTCTTTTTCTAGTGTTACTTTGACTAAAAGAATAGTATTATATATGTAATTTGCATCATACGAGACTAGCACATTATGTTGAAGTTTACACAGTGATGTATCTTTGAATAATAAAGGTACCATTTGATAATCTCTCATGGAAAATATTGTGTTTTTATAAGCTTTACCATTGATTTTTTGTTGATTTTATTAAAAGGTTTTGGTGGTAGTCTTATACAAGCATTATTCTTGAAATATTTTGTGAACCGTAATTTAAAAGTCGAAATAAATAAGATATTCATATTACGTTGTCAATTAACACTGCAGGATGTACTGCTGATATGGGGGGAGCAAGATCAGGTTTTTCCTTTGAAAATGGCCCATGACCTCAAAGAGTAAGACCCTTCATTATTCCTTTAATCGGTTATACGGTTCTTGAATATTTACGGCCTCGTTTCATTTAACTTCTTAATTTGTCAAATTAATGTTCTCGATTGAGTTTCTAAATGTTTTCGTGACATTGAGGTTTAAGAAAAACAAGTTGCGACACTACACATATGAGTGTCCAGTTCGGGTTTTGCTTGGTCTAAAGAATTTAAAAACAAAGACCGCGGTTATGATGTATATCTTTTGTAGTGTTTGCGCTGAAAATTGTTGTTTCAAGTTTTAAAGTTTTAAACAGTTCGGTTTGTTTCAAGTTTTGTATTGATTCTAGTCTAGGTTTCGTTTTATAACCTTATTTACACAACTCGAGAAAACTGTTCTACGCATCATCTGGATTTTATGTAAGTAGCTATAGTTTATTGGATGACCAATACATATGCTGAAAATTTTGAAGAGATACGATTTGAGAACTAATTTGTAACGTAGGTACAAATGAGTTATTCATATATGGTTTTACACAGTTTTATAAGCAGAAATAGTGAGTAATTATGTTTGTGTATTTTCCAGGGTGTTGGGGAAGAAGGCGACGCTGAAAGTGATACAAAAGACATCACATATACCTCAAACGGAAAAGCCCAAAGAATTCAATGACATTATCATGTCTTTCTTGTTACCTCCCTCTCCTTCAATATAACTGTAGCATCCATATTAAACTAAGACGACTTTTTTACTTTCTGATTTCGCCAATGCTAAAAGTGTTTACGAAAGTTTCAAATAGATTTGAGTAATATTGTAAACAGTATATTAAAGCATGTTATGAATTTAATGAAGTTAGATCAATATAGGTGAACAAAAAAAAACCATAATAGGATAAAAGGATTATCTAACATGAATGCATGTCTTCGTGAACGTTTATATATAATTCCTCCCTTTTGTCTGGTCAGAACTCTACTTCCAAATCGACTAAAACATTTTTTGAGAAATTGAGAAAAATTCATGTTTAGGCAAATGTCTTTTTAATTCCAGGTGATCTAAGTTGTCGAAGAGCCTAACTAATTAATTTTGTGGTGAGCGCAAGTTTTTTGGTAAAGATTATTTCTAAAACCCAATATCGATCGGGTATATAATAGGAAGAAGCCCAAGACCTGAGTAGTTCGACTAAATTAGACAGAGCAAGAGGATCAAGCTCGATCCACGTGGATGATTTTCATCTACAACTCTCAAATCTTTTCCACAAGAAGATTCATCCAGTAATATATTCCTTAGACAGTACTATTAATTAGCATTATAGACAAAGGCATTGGTGAGCGAAAATGTGTGTTTTAGACTCAAGAAATGTACGAATTAGGCAAAGCCAACGTTGAAAGTTGAAACAGACATAGTTTTGGCCAAGAGCTTCCTTCCTTCACAAACTGTTGTTGAAGTAAAGTTGTTTGTGAAAAGGACATGAGCAACCAAAGTATGTAATTTGCCTCTACTCCTTTAGGTATATAGATGTAAATGAAAAAAGGCAAATAAGATATGGATTATGGATAACATAATGGATTAAGGCAATATGATTGGCCACGTGGAGCAAATGGAATGAAGGGGTTAGGCAACGCCACGTGATCGGACGGACAACACGGTGGGGGCAATGGCAACAACATTAAGTGGGGTAAGTGGTTCGGACACGATAGACTGAAAATATTAATTGAAAAGGGAAAAGTGAGATGAAAGTGGGTCTATCAATGAGGACCCATGACAATGATCCTGATCAAGACGAGAAGATCCTATGTTGATACGCGGTTTTTTATTGAATTTGAATGCTTTACGCAACCTACCCTTACTAGTCTTCTTTTCTTTTGTTTGCAAAGTATTTTTTGTCTTTTCGTTCTTGTATATAAATAGATATACGGATGTTTATGTCCTTTTTGTTGCAAAAGAATAATATTTGGCGAAAGAGTAAGTATTTGATACTTTGATTAGTTGTTACCAAACCGTTGCTGTTTTACGCAAACCGTTTTTTCGCGCTAGAATCAGGGCCGGCCCGGAGCTAAAGCCGGTAAAGTATGGGCTTTAGGCACCAAAATTTGCAAAGTTGTTTAGGGCGCCAAAATTATAAAAACATTAGAGGCATTATAACTAACTATGTATCTAGCGTATTGGTTGGGTTGGTCGTTTATGCAGCCAGGCATTCCGGTTCGAATCCTCCCCCTCACATGATTTCCATTCTTTTAGCAAATAAAATCTAATATGGATTAAATATATATCTTTTTGATGATATTAAATTCCTTTTCATATTAATAAATTAAGTAAGATAAACTAGATAAGCAATTTAATTTTAAAATAAAGAAACCTAATTAGTAGTTTCTAATTGTTTTTTCGTCGTCTCTTGCCTCAAACGACGTTTCATCCTTCTCTTTTCCATAGTCAAATTTAACAAAGTTTCAGCGATTTCTGTCACTATTTATGTTGTCTTCTTTGAATTCTCATTTTTTTCTATTAGCAAATTTTGTGTGTTTTAGGAGCTTAATAAACTCTGAAATATGAAGTTTTTGATTTTTGAATGGGTTATATTGTTTAATCATCCTCTCTCATGCTTGGAGAAGTGAAGGATTCAGTTAACTTATAAACTACACTTGATTTTAAAAAACATTGGCCATGTTTATTTGTTTTTGTATTGCTCTGCTTTGTTCTTCTCACTAAGCAAAACAAATTTACTCACAAATTTTCATGGATTTGTAGCAAATGTTGGCAGGAAACAGAACCAGACAATTTTTTTGATCAAATGTCAAAAACCAAAAAAAAAATTGTGATCAAAGGGCATCATATTTTATATTCGCTTTAAGCGCCAGGAGCCATCGGGCCGGCACTGGCTATAATTATGTATTTGTGTTGGATAAAACAACGTAGCCTACGTACTTTATTATTCTGCATACTACTTCTACGTTGCCAGATTGTAAAAAACAAGCTCGCGCCTTTTATATGGACATAGACAACAAATAGCTTCACACGCATGTAGGTTTCACATAGCCGCGGCTATATATGCTAAATCCTTTATAACGTTTTCAAGCTGGTTAAACTTGTACATATAACGATTTAATCCGTATAAAGGTGATATGTCATTTCAAATCAAGAACATCTAGAAGACAAAGAGAAAAATGAATTCCATTTTAAATACTATACATTCGATTATATATTCAAACCTAACAGATTCGTCAAACAACTCTTACATTAATAAACTGCGAGACTTTTCAAAACACAATAATAATACTATGGCGGATGGATCAAACATTTGTAGTTAACGTTTCAAACTTTCAATACTTCTTTCTATTGCGTTTATACTAATTTATACGTTTTCAAGCGAACTCTATATGGACATGGAGGTAATTAGATGCAATAATAGTCATTTTACTTAAGATTCATTTGTTATTTTGTATTTTTACCTGTGTGGTGTTTATAGTTTTGGTTTTGGTTTAACAAAAAAAATTACACACTTTCATTTTTGTTTATCCGCTCGAATCGAAGACAACATACGAATGAAAAGAAGAATAAAGGTTACTAATAGAACCTATGCTAGAAGAGGCAAACCACGAATCATGGAGGAGAAAAGAGGAAAATTAAAACAAGACGATCGAGAACATTATAAACACATTATCGAGTATTTAGACTCACTAGTTCGAATTGAATTTCGAGTTGTCGAGCTCTTCTCGTCCAATTTTATGGGATTTATATAACACTTTTAGTATTTGTATTTTGTATGATGCAATATTTTAAGAAATGTAAATAAATTTTTCATTTAATCATCGTTTTAAATTCTGTTTTTTATAAACAAGTTTATCTCACAATTCATAATTATTGAATAGCTTAGTTTAGATGTCGATTTTTACAGGATAATCGTTGTCAATTATTGTAGTATAATCTTTTTTTTAACATCTTGTTGTAGTATAATCATGGCGATTTCTCTGTGACTATCTGCAACATTATTATTACTAATGAGAAATTGCGTTCTACGTATAAAGTGAAAATGACAAAATCTTGAAAAGATTTGAACATATATAGTGGACGAATCTAGAAGAAGATAAACATAAAAATCTTCTAAAAGTGGTAACTGGTAAGAGCGAACATTTGACAATTAATTTGAATACAACGACCTATTCGGCTACTCCTTTTTCCTCAATACCCAAGAAAATTTTCTTTTTGTTTTAAATGAAATAAAAATCCAGCGGAGGAGGAAATACTGTCGGCTGGACAAAACTTTGGTTTCTCGCTTTTGTGGGTCCCACCTTACATTTGTGGATAAGCATCATCGTTTCTCTCAGCACATCAAAAAATAAAGATGACCAATCTCGTCATCGCCACGTCACATTCATCCCAGTTCCTATCCAGCCGCAACGGTTACGACATCGCCACGTGTCGAAGCTCTATGGCTCTATCTTCCCGCTAAAAATAAATAAGTAGAGTATAACACAATATACTGATTTACCAATCATTATTTGCAAATAATTCTTCAACTTCTTCAGTATCTCTAAGTCACCCCAAAACTCTCATATGTCACTGATTTTTCCTTTAAACTTTTCAAACTAAACGTGAAAATTGGAAAATATTTTAGTTCAAAATATTATTATTATTATTATTTTTTTTAAAAAATACTTTATTTATCCTTTTTGGCTTCCCTTCTAAAAAACAAGTTTTGTGAGTTAAAAAAGATAAACAGAATCAAAAGAACGGCCCTTAGAGCTTACAAAAACACTAGTAGAATAAAGTACAATTTAAATCTGGAATCCGCCAAACCAGTAGGATAGAAAGGAGTTAGTTGTGTTTCTTGAGGAGGTGTTTATGGGGAGAGTAGTATCCAATGCATACAGCTTCCTGCGCATAAGAGTTTGGATCTCTCGAGTTACCTGAGCCGCGGGCTTGATCACAGCTCTGTGTAGACAAGAGTTCCTCTCTGTCCAAATGTCATAAATAGTTGCTTGAACCAATAATTTGCAGATAATTGTAACCTTTGCATTACTAGAGGCTGAGCCAACCCACAGTTGAATAGAGTCGAGATCGTTTGGAGGGAGGATGTTTGAAGTAACAAAGAAAGATGTCCACACCTGAGCAGCGAACGGACAGTTGAAGAAAAGATGGGATCGAGACTCTGGAACGGTGCTGCAAAGAAGGCATACCGGCGGGACATCTAGCCCCCAACTGATGAGCCGGTCCCTTGTGGGAAGTCTATCTCGTGCAATAACCCAGTGTATGAAAGCGTGTTTCTTAATTCTCTGAGCAAACCACACAGAATCGGCCCACGTAACAGTCGGACCTGAGGGATGCAGAGCGCTCCAGGTCTTTGAAGAGGAGAAAGGTCCCGATGAATCTTCATTGAGATCACGCCACTCATAATAATCCGCATCAGACGTGAGAGAGGGGATCAAAGGCAGAGCAGCTCGAAGCAGGACCGTAATTGGATGCCTTCCGCGGGGAAGATTCCAACTCCTGTTCCTGACAGCCTCGGCCACCGTGGCTAAACGATTTATACCTATGACTCTTGGACCGTTTGCACCCGCAAGATCAAGTAACGGGCCTAAACCAGTCCAATCGTCAAACCAGAACCTAGCTGTCAATCCAGAACCGACGTTGCAAACAAGGAAGGGCCTCGCTAATGGTTGGAGACGAAGGAGTCTCTTCCACAGCCAACTCCCTGGAGAGTCCAACCTAGTGTCCCAGAAAACTTTCCCTCTCAAAAGAACCGACTGAACCCAAGACACCCGAAGAGAGCCACTCCCTGCAAAGAGCAACCAGATGAGTTTGAGACCGAAGACTTTATTTCAAGCCTCTAATTTCCTCAGTCCCAAGCCACCTTCCTCCTTTGGAGTGCATATAGAATCCCAAGAGACCTTTGCCCCTCGAGCTGAATCCGGAGCTCCTGACCACAAGAAGGCACTACACATCCTTTCAACTTCTCGCAGGCATTGCTTCGGGAGGGGAAAAACCACTGCCCAAAAGTTCACCATTCCTGATATAACAGACTGTATCAGCTGTAGACGCCCAGCAAAAGACAGAAGCTTAACGAGCCAGGATGAGATCCTCTGTCGTACTCTGTCTAGGAGAGGCTGATAGTCGGCCGGTCTCATCTTATGGGGTAGAAGTGGGAGCCCCAAATATCTCACAGGTAAAGCTCCAGGGGTGAAGCCAAACCTAAACGCCAGGGTCCTCGTAACCACAATATTGTTGCCGTCAAGGAACAAGTACGACTTCGCTAGGTTGAGCCGTAGCCCAGAAGCCGAATAGAACTCCCTTAGCACCTGCATCAGTCCCTGTAAAGAGGATTCTGAGCCATCAAAGAAAAGTAGAACATCGTCTGCAAAGCTCAAATGTGTGACCAAAACTCCACACAAAGCGGATGTGGTTGGAACCGATTCGCCAAGCAAGCCTTATCCAGATCCTTTGATAGAATATCCATGACCAAGTCAAAAAGAGAAGAGGAGATTGGATCGCCCTGCCTCAACCCCTTCTTCCCTGGGAAAAAACCAACTAGTTCACCATTGAAATTGACCGAGAAGGTGGGTGTGGTGACACATTCCTTAATCCATCCAATGAAAACGTTCGGCAACTCAAGAGCCGCCAAGGTATTGAGAAGAAAGCCCCAATGAATACTGTCATAGACTTTAGATAAATCTACTTGAAGACAACCTCTCGTTATGGACCCCTCCTTCTGAAAGTCCGCCACTAATTCAGAGGCTAGTAGAACTTTTTCACACAAAAGTCGGCCTTTAATAAAACTAACCTGATTTCCCTGAACCGTCTTATCAAGGAAAAGATGTAGCTTAGCTGCTAGAAGGTGCGAGATAACTTTGTAAACCGTGTTACAGCACGAAACCGGCCTTTGGAAATATTGCGAAATATTGTTTGGACTCTGGAGTGATTTTCTTAAAAAAAGCTTTCTGTTTTCGTTTACCCTTTGTTATGAAATTATTTTACTTTTGTTGAAAACAAATAAACAAATTAAATTAGTACTATTGCTATATTGGAAAGTATAATAAATATTTTGAGATCCAAAGTAAATCTAAGAACTTTCATACCAAACAAAAATCTAGTCTCAAATATATTTATTTTTCTTTCGATTCGCAATAACATTTTACGCCCAAAAAAGAAGCTTATCTCTTCAAAATAATCAACACAAACCTTAAGATGATGATTAGGTGATGCGCACGCATAGTTTTGTGATTACGCTAATATACCGCATTATGGGTTTCAAAAGTAAATAAGAAAGGTATGTTGACCAAATTGTAAATAAAGAAAATGAGGTGAGAAATGAGAATTACATGCAGAGTGCGTGGATGAGGATAAGGTTAAGCAACAGTTTCTTCTGTCTCCCCTCTCTCTCCCCTCTCTCTCCTTTCCCTCTTAAACTTCCTTATCCTTTTCTTCTTCCTCACTTTTTTTCATTTTAAAATTTTAAAAGATAAGAAAGTAATAACAACGTGATAAATAATAATTGTTTTTTGTTTTTGTATTATTTAATGTTAACCATCAGAGCACACAGAGGGACACAAGATCACAATATATAGATCTCATCTTCTCTCCTTTCTCTTTTCCTCTGTGTCTCTATTGTGAGTTAAATAAAAATTCCAAGATTTTCTTCAAAGTGTTTTAAATGTCAATTGCGATGGACAGAGTTGAGTCTTATGTGTTTAATTTCTCCGGCAGTAACTTGGATCAATCGTCTTCTGAATCTTTCTCTTCTCCTTCATCTTCGGCGTCTTCTTCCATTGGGAGGAATAGCGACGACGACGAAGAGTCTCACGGCTCTGTAAAATCGTCAGACGACGTTGGAGATGACACCGGAGAGAATGAAGCTGAGTCTCCGTACAAGGGTCCTCTTGATCTGATGGAATCTCTCGAAGAAGTCTTACCCGTCAGGTAGATCTCTCTAAAAACTTCTAAATTTGGTATTTTCATATAATTTTACAAATTTGGGAACTTTAGACATATAATTACAGACTTTCTTGTCTGATTGTTATTTTTTGTCTGAATGTGGTTTGTGTAGGAAAGGGATATCGAAATATTACAATGGAAAGTCAAAGTCTTTCACGAATTTAGCACAGGAGGTAGCGACGGCGTTGACTTCTTCATCGTCTATGAAAGACTTGGCGAAGCCTGAGAATCCTTACAGTCGTCGTCGAAGGAATCTTCTCTGCCATCAGATTTGGGAGAACAGCAAGACGACTCCACGTGGCGGCATCTCGAAGAAACCCATCATTAGCTCGAGCAGGAGCGCTTTGACGCTTGCCATGGCGGTTGCCGCTGGAGTCATGGCCGGAGAGGGATCTTCCTCCGGCGGAGAATCGTCGCGGGGATCAAGTCCGACGACATCGGGATCGCCTCCGAGGCAGAGACATCATGGTCAGATGCTTCCTCCTCTGTATCCTAGGAGTCAAGGGTCTTTTGGTAATTTGACTTCGTCTCAGTCTTCGTCGGGTTTTTGTGCCTGGAGATCGTATTCGGTGGCTGATTTTCCGAGGTGTTTCCCGGCGACGGCGGGTAGTATTGGATCTAATGACTCGTAGGAACGATAACATTTGTTTTGTTGAATTTTAATATTTTGAAGTTAACCACTTTTAGTTTTTTGGAGTAACATCCGCAGGAATGTATAGTAGAGTTTCAAAGTTCTAAATGGATCAACATCTTTTTCATTTCGGGTTTTGTCTTTTCTCAATTAAATCTCATCGAATCTGTTATAATTCAACATTCTTCTCTGTTTTTGTTCTTATCTAATTTTAAAAATGCTAAAACCATGAGAAATATCTATATTTGTTTAAAAAACGACAAGCAGTAATTATTATAGATCCAAAAGATAAGGTTGTATGTTTGGTGAGAAGAAGTGGATAGGGAGTCTGATCAACCAACGTTCCCTAATGAAGTACATCTCTACGAAGACGCATTTGTGTCCACTCTTCATAGGCTAAGTTTGGGAGTAAGTGGATCAACCTTTACCCATTCCTTGTTACTTTTTTTTTCTCTCTTTTTGGGAATTGATTTATTACCAAATTGGAAGTGGATTTGGTGGTGATATATTGTCGTGGAGTTTTAAGGAGGGAATATATCGAGGATGTTGGTGTGACAAACCACACAATTAGCTTTACAAAAATGAAACTCGTCAAACATAAACGAATGAAGAACAAATTGGGGGAAAATAGTAGTTTTCCTAAAAGCTTGTTTAAGATACGCTAAGGTTAAGATTATTGATTATGCATGTATATTGTGTAACCTCAATCATGAACATCATAAGGTTCATAATCTCTATATGGTAAGCTTTAAATACAAAAGTGCAAAATGTCAAAGACCAGAATATACAAAACATCTTTCATTGTTTCTTCTCAAGACTCCAAAACAGATGGAGCACAACCATTAGCTGTTTCCACTTGTCTCAGATTTATGAAGCTGGAGAAGTAATGAATTTGAGACGACGAAGATGGAGCTCACTGCCATTAGTCCACCTGAATGGAAATTAGTGCTAAGTTATTTAACCATGATATATGATTGGATTGTGTCAGTCTACAGAATGGAAGCGAAAAAAAATGTTTTGTAACTGGAATTGGGCTCACTTACCGGATAAGGAAGGTGTCATGGCGAAATCATAGTGAGGAAGCAAGACACCTGCAGCTATAGGGATCGAGATGACGTTGTACGCAATTGCCCACGCTAGATTCTGATATACTTTCGACATTGTTGCCTGTGCAAGACTCAGTGCATCCACAACCTATGACAAACAACACACGAGTAATGAGCTTGTATAACTTCGACTTAAAGCTGAGCAAGTCTCAGGTTTGGTTCTTGTCCCTTGAGTGAGAGCAAGTGACTCATGAAGTGAATGATAGTAAGGAATATGGAAAAGTTTACATGTGAAAGTTTATTGCGGACAAGTATGACCGATGCTGCATTTGATGCAGCGTTTTCTTGTGCCTCGATCTTTAGAGCTATTCCTACATCAGCTTGAGCCAACGAGGGAGCATCGTTTATGCCATCTCCCACCTTTGAAAAAAACCACAAAATATTCTTAAGCAAAGAAAACAAGAAAACTAGATATTATGAAGTTGGTATGGGCAATCTCTAGGATTTACAGGACACATGAAGAACCTGGTGAGATTAACTTCACAGACTTTTTGTGGGAAACAAGTTGGAAAAAGAAAAAAACAAGCATTCTTGCAATTCAGTTGAAGGTCATACCATGGCAACACGATGTCCAGAGGATTGAAGATTAGATATAAACTCGAGTTTCTTTTCAGGAGACAAAGAATAGTTGGTTGATTCACTCTCAATCCCAACATTCTTTGCCACTGTTGCCACTGCCCCTTCCCTATCCCCTGATAAGAGGACTGTTTTGATGCCCTTCTCCTGAAGCCTTTTATAAGACAGACAACATAAACCTTAAAACTTCAGAGAGATCTTCCATGGCTGCTTAGTTTTATTAAAATAGGAAGGGTTAAAAAGGAGGGGAAATTCACCTGGCTACAGTAAATTCAGCATCTTGGCGCAAGCAGTCAGATATTGCAATAGCACCAATAATCCCTTCTCCTTCGCGTCCAACGTAAACAACGGTCTTTGAATACATAGACGTCGATGATGTGCTTGATAGTTTATGATCCAGATAGCTTTCCAGCTTAACCACATCCGAGGAGTCGTTCTTTCTTTGGAAACGACCTGAAACCCATTCAAGTGCACCCACTGCAACCAAACGTCCATCTATTTCTGCCAAAGTCCCAAAGCCTGGTTCTGTCAATTGGCCTCTTGTTTCTGGAGTTTCCAGATTCAGCGCGTCAGCCTCGTTTACAATAGCCTTTGCTATTGGGTGTGTTGCTGTCTTCTCCACCGCAGCAGCCAATTTAAGAACCTCTTGTTCTTCGTATCTTAAAGAAGCAACACCAGAGACGACAGGTCTTCCTTCAGTAAGAGTCCCTGTCTGCAAAATACCAATTGTGGAAACAATAAGAAAGAGATAGTGGAGACTGCAACGGGTGAAGGGGATCATCGAAGGCAAAAACGATTAGCAACAGTACCTTGTCTAAAGCCACACAATCTATGGAAGCCAGACGTTCTAAGACATCTCCTCCTCTGATAAGATATCCCCGCTTTGCTCCTGGACATTGGACATTTCACCAGGTTACCTTCTGACAGTTTGAACAATCTCGAATTTCTTGTTACTAGAGACGAAATTTTCTAGCAATATATGTTCAACAACCCCTATAAAGATAAATGATTGCCACAATGACTGTAATATGTTGGATAACATACCAAGAGATGTGCCAATGAGTATGGCAGTTGGTGTTGCAAGGCCCAGTGCACAGGGGCAGGAAACTACCTGGTAAACAATATAAAACGAGTTGATTATTTGGACGATATGATGTTTGTTCTCCAAAAAATTTCGTTCTCTCTGTTATCCTACGTTCCCTTCGGTAACTCACATTATCCCCATGATCACTATTTTTCTTCTCTCAGTAACAACCCATGTTTTGACATGAAAGATATAGCTTTGATATTCATGGCTCACTCACCAAGACATCCACGGCCAGCTTTAGGCTGAGTGCCAGAGGATCTCCATCAGGTCCAGCAATATCATTGAGTAAAACGTCTGGGAATATGTTTGAACCAACGTAATACCTGAAGCATGAAAACAACAGGGCTTTCACTTGCTAAAACAAATATATGATTTTTCTTGAAATTTCAGATGTCAATTCCGGTAGAAACATGAGAATAAGGATCATACCAGAAGGCAAACGTCACTGCAGATAAAGACATTATAGTATAGACGAATGGTCCAGCTATTGCATCTGCCAGCCTCTGTACAGGAGCTGCATTACCTTGTGCATCCTCAACCTAAAAGTTCAGTATTTCATAAGGCATGCATATTCCAATTTCCACACATAGCATCTTCTTAATCGAAACAATCTTAGAAATGGAGAACTCCTTCACATGTTAGTAGCTGAACCAGATTTCAGACAGGAAAGTATTTGGATGAAATAAAGTTCTACTATAGAGAAACCGGGGGTTCTGACTTAAGTTCATCCATACTTTCCAGTTTGAAATCAGGTTCAACTACAAATATGTGAATGATTTCTATTTGTAGGATTGTGAGTCATTCATGATATTAAAGGCTGCATTTTTCTTATCACATGATGACTCGAAGAGCTCGACGTTTCACATTGTGACTAATGGAATTAACTCACAGAATGTAACTTTTACAGACACTAACCATTCTGACGATTTTGGATATTGTTGAGTTGGAACCAGTAGAAGAAGCTTTAATCCTTAGAGGGCCATCCTGAAATAGGTAAAGCAAAACTCAGTTATTAAAAAAGAATTATCACTATATGTAAATTAAACTTAACAACTGAGCTCAGTTAGTGCAGATAGACAGCAATCTACCCACCTCAGTTACGTGGTTCACATTATGAACTAAAGTAATATGTAATGTTTGCTAGAGGATCTTATCCCAAAGTGAGAGGTGTGTTATCAATTGAAGCATTAAAAGAATGACACCATAAGCAGCCTTTTAAAAATATAGCTGTGTTTAGGTTGCTTATACCTACCCAGTTTATTGTTCCCGCTGAAACTGAGCAACCTTCTTCTTTAAACACAGGAAGGGACTCTCCTGTCAGCATAGATTCATCCACAACACTTCTTCCAGCTAGCACACTCCCCTATGCTCCAAAAAACAATTCAACTTGATCATTACGACAAATCAAAACTTACAGCGACTTTCATAACTTTCTTTCGGAAACCCATACAGTTATTGTTTTGCTAAGATCAGGTATGTGCAGCATGGATAAGCAACTACGAAAATCGTAAGATGTCAGAAAGACGGAAACACTTACATCAACAGGAAACGTTTCACCAGGCAAAACCAACAGCGAGTCTCCAACACGAATCTCATCAACTGGGACATTGATGCAAATTGAATCAGAGGAAAGCACAGAATCAGCTGCGGTGTTATTGTCTGATGAAGTAATCACAAGTCTTGATTGAGTGGAAATGAGTGACTGCAAAAGCACGTTTCAAGTAAAAAAAAGCAGGAAAAGGTCTACAAGTTAATCCTGGGAGGAGAACCAAGAAATGTCCAACTTACCAACAGTTCATTCATATCACTAGATGCTTTAAGCTTTGCTCTTTCTTCCAAAGAACGACCAAGAAGCACAAAGCCAAGCAGCATGACCTGCATGCTAAATGACAAGCGCTATCAATCAGAAATTCACTATTGAAAATGTAATGCAGTAGAAGTAAAAATAAAAAGTTTCGTCATAGTCCCTAGTGGATGTATTAGAGAAACTCACCGGTTCCTCGAAGAATGAAGCATCCCACTCCAGTTCTGGATTAACAAGTGAGATCTACAAAATTGAAAATGCAGAGAGCTGCAGTTCTTCATAATAGGATACTCACCAGTCGCAAATAAACCACATAGTACAAGAGCTCACCAAACTGATGGAAAATGCAGCCATGGATCCCAATCCAACTAACGAGTTCATATTAGGCGATCTTTTCCAGAAAGCCTTTATGCCATCAAACAGCAATTCTACAATATACATCCAACAGCAGTTCTTATAATACCAATTACTCAAGCTTTATGCATTAACTGGTACGCATACTTAAATAAAAATTTCAAAATGAGATTTAACAAAAGCAAACCTCTTCCTGGTCCCAACAAAGCTCCAACTGCCAATCCACCTTTCACGTAAGAGTTGTGTAGCAAGTCCCAGAACCCTCCTAGTAACATCAGGTGCCCGAGAAAATCAGAAACTCCATATGTATTAAGCAAATAACATTGAGCAGCACAAATTTGAATTAGTATTCAATTCTCTAACAAGTGAAGAGACTATGCGAAACAATGTACCATGAGCAATGTGAATTCCCAAGGAATGAAGAATATGCGAAGTGTGAGACCCGCAACACAGAGCCACCAATGTCCATGCAAACGCCACACGGTTCCTGCTCTTAACGAGCAACTCCTCTTTCTTACTCACCATCTCCTTCCACTTCTTCACGTTCTCCGCCACTCCCATCCCCGAGACTCTCCTCTTAGCCTCGAAGCCACTCTCGGTCAATCTCTTGGCTAAGCTCTCAGCCGCATCCGCCGCCACCTCGACCTCCGGTTTAAGCCTCACAGCCGCGGTTTCGGTAAGCATGTTAACCGCGGCAGACGCGACTCGTTCGTCGGACATCAGAACCGATTTAACCCGGGCGACGCAGCCCCCACACATCATCCCGCTCACATCGAGAAGAATTAGCGTATCGCTCGTAACAGATTTCACAGATTCGATTGAAGATTCCGTAGATTCGAACGACTGAGTACTGATCTCGACTGAGTTTGATACTAAGAAACCAGGTGCTGAACAGTACCGCCGGGTACGAGAGCGGCGCTGTCTAGGAAAGCATCGCTTCGCGTATTTAACGTCGAGGAGGAACTTACTGGGATGAATACGCAGACTCGACGGCGGAGTAAGAGGAAACTGGAGAAGATTGCTCGCCATTTTTCTCCGGCGAGACAACGACGATAGTCACGATACAAGTAAAATTGAAATCTAGTGGTGCTATAGTTTAACAAGTATCGTCAGTAATTAACACGTCGGATTTTGCATATATCCAAATTCCAAATCACAAGTGTTTAGCGCTTTTTTTTCTTCTCGTCCACAGAACTGTTTAGCCGCTTTGGTGGAATTTTTTAAAAGCCAAACAAGTGGTGCCAGGTTGTCACTAAAGTCAGAAGGATAAAACGCAGCGTTTTGAAAGGTTCTCTTATTAGGTAAGACCTTCTCGATCAGCTAGAGGGTTACGGCCTCTGGGACACAAGCGATTTTAACAACGCCACGTGTTATCTGCCTGAAATATTATTATTTTTGGATGTAACTTTATCTCTTCTTCCTCCTTTCTACGGAAAATCTCAGAGCTCTACTGCAATGGAGGCGAGTGCGAACGAACCAGCTATGAAAAGCTTGAAATCCTCTCCGTCAGTACAGATACCGAACTTTTTCGTATCGCTCTCCTCGGCATTTTCGCAAACACCTCTTGTGCGTATGAACAAACCCAATTTGCTACTTCTACCACCAGCTTCAGACTCCGTCAAGTTGATTCAAGACTTCCAGAGGTCTCTGACCTCTGCTACTGAGAAATTCGCAGGGTTTATCCACTCGCTCGCGTCTAAGAACCCTCTCTTTCAGCAAGCGGCTCGCTTGTCTTCCGAATTTCACGTTCTGTGCGACGAGGTAACTTCTCTTTCCCTTCTTATGCAAATTGACAGCCTTATGTGAAAAATATATACACGGGAAGAATGTTTTGGCGAGAAACTTGCTTCTTCTGATTACATGAAGAAGATAATTTTGTGTTTCCGATAAACCTTTCTCTTGCGGTTGGTGAAAACATTCCTGAGCTCTGAAAAATGGTTCATTTTGAAACTGCTAGTAACTATGTTGTATAGATAGATCACTTAGCAATTGTTGGACAACCTTTTACATTGTTAAATCTGAGTTATGTGTAGTTAGTCTGTGGAAATGTCCTCAAGTTGGGACTTTTTTGGCTCTAATCTTCATTTAATATCTTATCTGTGTATGCATTGAGAAACTAAGAAACTCGATTTCAAGATATGCCGGAGCATATGTTTTTGTATCTCTTGATTTTGGTTTATGATTGTTAAAGATGAAGAGCCTTTTGTTTCTCTTTACAGATCCGTTTGAGAAACGCTACAAGGGTGAGGTTTGCAATGTCTCATCACGGATTTGCAGCGGTGCTGCCTGGAGATTCAGTAGCAGGAATGGTGGTTGCAAACGGGTTGATAAACTTCCTCAACATATACAACACCATCCTTGTTGTCCGTCTAGTACTCACCTGGTTCCCAAGTGCTCCTCCTGCCATTGTTAGCCCCCTCAGGTAAAATAAAAGTCTCTTTAGTGTTTTGAGATCAACTTGAATGGATCTGATCAAGAACTTTGCGTTTCTTTAGTTGATTGCTAATTACGTGTATGTGTTACCATTGTATCAGCACTTTATGTGATCCGTACTTGAACATATTCCGGGGTATCATACCACCTCTCGGAGGATTGGATTTATCTCCCATTTTGGCGTTCCTTGTTCTCAACGCCTTCACCAGCACTGCTATGGCGCTTCCTTGCGAGCTCCCACCAGCTGAAGGAGCGGCTTCTCCATCTTCTAGTGAGACAAAGTGGATGAGAAGGAGAAGATTGAGCAATCACAAGGACCCTAGACCAAGCTCCTCTTCTATGAACTGAACATTTCTTAAAACATATCTCCTCTTTTCTACGCTTTGAATGCGAATATACCTTTTGAGTGATTTCATTCTTCTGCATCTTTAAATTTCTGAGTTTTTGTGTAAATTTTTCTTTAGAACATGAATAAAAGAAGTTGCCTCTCTGATATATATAAGAAGACTTTGTAAGATTTTGCGAAATTTCAGAGAAAAATGTGAGATTTTTCTTCTTCATTTGTGTCCTGGAATAAACTTGCAAGCAGGTTATAATCAGAGGCTCTTACACTTCAAGACGAACACAAGAAGGATGAGGATGATAAGCAAGCCACCAAAAGAACCACAAAGCCTGTGAATCCAGTAAGGATCAAACCTGGTCAAGCTCTGGTCACAATACAGGGACAAGCCAACGGCCAAAACCAGCAAAAAGAAGAGCATAGAGAGCCAAAACATGAAACCGAAGAGTTCTTCTTCCTCTTCTAGATCTTCCTCTGATAATCTGTCGATGTAGAGAGGCGAGAGCACGGCTAACACTGACAAGCTTATGGCCAGAAACTTCCTGGACGAAGTAAACTTCCCCATCATCGGGCTGGATGATCCTGTTTCCATCGGAAATAAATTGGTAACTTTCTTAGTTTCTTTACAATCCTTGCTCGGTGTTCATATGGTTAAAAGAGAACGAAAATGGTTTGGTTCTTGGTAAGGAATCTGAGCACAAGTTGCAGGATAGTTTCAAGATGCGGTTTAGATATTATGGTTAACAGTTTACACAGAAAGAGAAGAGAGAGAGGAATCTTTTGTTTATGGTGACCAGTGACCACACATTGATAAAACTATTCCATGGAATCATATGCTTTTCTTTTTCTTTAATCAATAATTCTCTCTGTTTATACAAAGCTGAGCCCATGAAGACATATTGTAAGAAAATTCAAAGACTTGGCAAAACTATATACATCGCCAAAAACTTGCTTATGAACCTCTGCAGAGCTATATACATCGCCAAAACTTGCCCACTCATCAACAGAACTTGGCATCTATACTTTGGTAAGTGTCATCAAGATGAGCAAAAACCGAAGTCATTTTCAATCCAGAGATGCGAACTTTTGTTCTTGAAAGCTTTTCAAGAAACTCATCCTCCACCTACAACAAATAATACCATCATATAAGTACTCTTCGCAAACATATATGTAAGCTTAATCACAAGTTTCTCTACTATATCTTACGTGCGTCCATCCATATAGCTTAAGCGATTCAAGTGACGAGCAGCAATTCAAGATCCGTGCTAGTTCTTCCGCTGTCAGTTTTCGACACCACGAGAGGTCCAAATAACGCAACCTCTTACAAGATTTTGCAAGCGAAATCGCAGTATCTTGACCGACCTGTTAAACAACACAACTCCTTTAAACACACTAGAGCAAAGGGATAAGAATTTTGGGTAGTAAAAACACTCACGTCTCGGACATTGTTAAGGCAGAGTTGGTCAAGAGAACCTCCACAGACTTCAAGAAACGCAGCAACAGCTTCATCACTATCAAAAGACGCCCATAGAATTGATATTAAGAATAGTCAATGTGATATAAAAAAACAATATACTGTAAAGTCAAGGCTTGAGCAAACCTAAACCGGGTTTTCGTAAGATTGACAGAGTTCAAACATCTGCAACCATCAGTAACATATTCCAACGACTTATCAGTCAAATCATACAGCTCCGAGATGTCAAGAGCTTCCAGCTTTGGACAATATCTCCCAATAGTCCAAATTGCGTTATCAGTCACATCACTGAACATAATAGAGAACAACAACAAAACTGTTATCAGTTTTAAAAAACTTGGAATAGTTTATTTTGGTCATTTGTGGAAACTTACTTGCAAGAAGCGAGAGAGAGTCCAGTGAGGTTCGCGCCACGGTGAACAAGAAACTCGATCACTCCATCGTTAACGCTTTCAAGCCTCGCAACAGAGAGATAGCTCAAACCGCTAAACTCTCTCAAGCTCCTCTTGAAAACAGCGTTAGACGGTTTCATCCCTTGGCATCCTCCAATGTTAAGCCCTCTGAGAGTCGAACCGAAGCAATCAGCGAGGATCTTCACAGCTCGGGAAGAGAGGAAAGAACAGTCTGAGAGGTTGATAAACCGAAGCAGAGGAGCTGAGATCGAAACCAACTCCAACGCATTGTCCGTTAAACAGAACGCTCCTTGAAGCGTGAGCGAAGTCAGCGACGGGAATCCGCTCGGCGACCGGTTCAAGAACTCGGTGATGGTGTGCTCCGTCATGGCTCTCCCGCAGAGGTTGAGATTCAACACCTTCAGTGTGGATCCATCGCAGCCGCAGAGGATCTCGGTCAGGTCTTCCTCGAGTAAATCGACGCAGTTCCTCGCGTAAACCTCGGAGGGAGAGTCCTCTATCAGAAGATTCATAAATTTTTTGTCGAGTTTGCCTAAATCGCTAGCAAGATTCGAGATTTGCGTCCTCAGGTGGTCAGGGACGAGGTTTAGAGACTCGATCGCATCGGAGTTCTTGGCGAGGAGTCTCGTGGTGAGCTCCATTAGCGTCGGAGCTTTCCTCTGTTCCGTCAGATTCAGCTCGATGCCAACGCTTGATGTGTTGTTTTCACCGCTCGACCTTCTCTTCCTGATTGCTTTCTTAGCTTCGTGAAACTGAAGCCGACTCTCTCCTTTTCTTTTCACTTCTTCTTCTTCGTCGTATTCCTCTGTTTCTTCTTGTTTCTTACTCTGTTTCTGAGGAATCTTAACAGAGTGCAAACTGTAAGCGTAATCCCTAGCGGCTTCTTTTCTTTGTATCTTTTGCCTCTCCTCATACCGTCTATCTGAAGCCTCCCGATCAAGTCTCCACTTTTCCTCCTTCTCCTCGTTCTGTTTCCGAATCATCTCCGCTACTTCGCAGAGTGCATCCAAACGCGTAGTATCGTGTGAAGGGGCTTCTTCGTCTTCGGAATCTGATTCAATGATCATCGCGTGATTCTCGTGAGAACCGTCGAGGAGATTGGATGAAGGGTCTTCGTCGTCGTCTGCGTCTATCATCGCGGGGTTTTCCCGAGAACCAACGGCAAAATCGGAAGAGCTCATCAGGACGAATCGAGTGGAGTCGAGGTTTTGGGAGTTACAGAGAGAGGGTTTTGGCCTTTTGGGTGAAAGGGAATTAATGAATGAAGGATCACGGAAATTTGGAAAGTCAATAGTTTGATGTTTTTATACTTTTTTGTTTTTGACTCTGTGGACTAGTCAGCGCTTCCTTATTGGTTCCTTTTTTCTGTATTAAAAAAAGAGTAATAATTAAACGAATTTGTTGTTCGATTTTCTTTTCTGTTTGACAAATATTTACAGGCCGAAAAAACGAGGCCTTCTCCAAGTGAAATGGGCTAATTAGGGGAAATAGGCCCATATTGACCATTTTCTTTTCCAAGGTACATATGTAGCCAAATGTGTAAAATGACGGAAACACAAGAAAATAAAATTACATGTAATGAACTAAAGTTTCTAGCATTGTTATTTGTTCATCATGAAATTTTCATACGGCCAACAATATAAAATGAGTTATTTCAAGGAGCAGTGAAAAACATACTTCAGCGACTTCGTACCGAGACTGGTGATGGTAAAAAGTTTGGCAGAAAATTTGGTGCAATCACTGATAAGTGATAACCATCGTTGTGTGGTTGTAAATAATATATAGTTTATAGTATATTTTACTTTCATTTGTTACTATTAATATTTAAAAAAAAAAACAAAGACTATCATGCGGATATGATTTTGGTAATTATGTGTTGTCAACTTACGAAATATAGCTAAATTAAATTCATGCGCATCAAGTCGTTTGGCATTTTCCTCACCAGTATAGTTCACCTCTATAAAAACAAAAATGGAGATTTCATTGTAGATTGATATATTAAAAACCTTAATTTATTTTCTTCGATATCAACTTGGTTATGGACTTATAGAGTGGTATCAACTATATCAAGCTACTTATTACTATTATTTTTTCACTTAATTTGGCCTATGTAGTTTGGATTTCATAAAAGAAAGAAAAAAATCAAAGGAAATCTTCTTCATATGATTTGTTCATTTGTCTCTTTGTATATAACTATATATACAACTAAGTTAAGGATCGATATCCACATCTCACATATACATAAATTGGTCTTTTTCAGTTTCTCTTCTTTATTTCTGTATAGAGGACTGAATTTGGGAGGTAGGGACCAAGTCATAGAACTTTGGATGCTTTTTAAATCCAAAATCCACTATGGCAACAATAGTGCAAGTAGATGCTATTCCAAATTTGAATTGTTTTTAGAAAATACAATTTCCCGTGTAATATATCCGTTAATTTCTTACATGTATAGAAAGAAAAGAAAAAACATAAATCTCACTTTGTAACAAATATCAGCTGATTATATTCAATCTTTTTTTGTTTACTATTGATAGATTTTTATATCACGATGGCATATATAATCGTATTAGTTTCTTAGAGCTTACGGATTCCTATTTTCTTTGAATTTCTCTTGCGCTATTGAATTTACGATATACATGTGTGTGTGTTTGTCTATGTATAGTGCATACATACCGTGTTGGACATATCACATCACATCATTGTAATGTCGCTGTGGAGAGATAGAGATATGAAAACTGGAAGGTATGTGAATCAAAATTGAATGTGGAATGGTCCTTCCTAAAGAATAGCTGTAATTGAACTCTATATGACCTCGTTTTCTAGTGGACCATTATACATTTTATATTTACATAAATACTATTTCATTTTCTATAATTGTGGCAGTAAAGTTGTAGATTGAGAGTTTTGTGAGTTCATAGTAATTCGTATTCAAAATGTTCTTTTAATTATTACTGTCTACTTTTTTTTTTGAACATCCTTTCATTAAAATAAATTCGAACCGAACCCGGTTTACTTTACGCGTGTTGCAAAGAAAATGATACAAACGAAGAAAGTGCAAGTTTTGCGATCGAATCTGCTTGGAGATTGTTAGATTTCGGCGTGAAGACGAAGGCGATCGAGACAAATGAGCAAGCCAGAAGATAGATGTCTTGGAGGACTCCGTGGATCTCGGCTAAAATTCATGTGACCACTATAACAATGTCGATCCTTAATTTTCTAAGATTAATGCTAGTAAATATAGACATCGAAGAATTTAAAGTTGGGCTATCTATTATCTATGGAGTTACAATATGTATCTTTTGCTTTTCTTATCTAGTTGCTATTCTCAATTGAGTAGACATAAATTTGGTTACCAATATAGTAATATATATATGTAACGGCAAGTCCGAGGACCAAAATCGAAAGTATCTTTATGATAATTGTCTTCTCATCGTTGTTCGATTGTGCTCTAATCTTTTTACTTTAAGATTTCCAAATTTCTTTTCACTTTTTCTCTTTGAAATTTTCATTTCTTGGACACTAAAACTTTATCTTTCTTTCTTTTCATCTTATCGGGGAATCATAATAGATATTCCTTTGGTTAATCAATTTATTCGCACTACAAAGCAAATTAACATTCACATGCAAAAAGCATCTTCATTCACGTGTCAAACGGAACGTAATCCATAAATTCAGTTCTCGCACTCGCAGTGACAAAATTAAAATCATTAACCATGACCAACTCTATAAATGTCCATTTCACCAGACCATTGTTATATAATTCAGTTTGAATTTACATACTCTTCCATTACCCCCTAGAATCAGGATTTAAGCTCAAAATGTTAGTTATCTAACTTCAGTTACAGAGGACCATCGACATTTCAAATAATAAATATATACTAGTAACTAGTTGTATCATTAGTTGCAAAAATATGTGTGTTACTATATACGTTGAAAACATAGATGATACTCGTTATAACATTTTCTGTTTAGGGAAGTTTATCTTTTATCGATTTAATGACAATTATAGGTCATGTTTTTGAATCAAACCCTTAAACTATAAGACAAACTATATGTACCTTTCAGCTATTCAAGTTCGTATTACAGACTACCTTTCCTTGATTTAGTCAGTCAAAACGAAGCTATAAAATAGTAGCAACTGTAAGAACATTTTTGGCCTGTAGTGCCCAATAAGCAAGAAATAAAGTAATTAAAAGTTGAAAAACACGTTCGTGCATGCATGGCACGATTATCAGAGAACGTACTAGGAATCGATTGCATGGGAAACTCTTATCCATCGTTTTTTATTCTAATGTTTTGCCTCTACCAATGAAATCATCATCTTATAATTGCGTTACCTAAAGCTGCAAATAAACATATAAAAACTAAAATCTCATCTTTTGTGGAAGAAAAACAAACAGAAAAGCAACGAGAAAATAAAAGTTGCTTCAAGAAAAGAAAAGAAAAAAGAAGATAGTGTATTATATTAATGTTGCGGAAATCGAGTAGATTTTGGTTCGGTACCCAAAATTTTGAAAATCTTTGTTTCGTTTTAGTTTTTTCGTACGAAGATTAATCCATTGATAAGCGACAAGGTTTCACATTTTTTCATTAACAAAGGGCACTTTCTTTGTTGAACACAGATTGTAGTTCTCTATATATAAGATTAAGAAAGTGTGTCATTACGTCACAAAAAGATGATATCCTCTTTCACGAAATTAGAATTTCAGTTTATTATTAGTGGGATTTTATCTGGATTATATAAATATGCTACGATGTTTAGCTATATTTAATGGATGGATGATTGAATGATCATCTTTTGTATATTTGCGAACGAGTGAAATTTAACATACAATATCCTTTTTCATCACGGAAGAGCAAAATTCGATTTGGTGTTGATCTAGTTGCTTATATGTTGAATTGAACTCAAGATTAATGTTATAGTGATCTTCCTATACCTGGTTTGATTCTGATCAAACAATTTTGATGAAATTAATTATTTTCAAATCAAATATGCATACACAAAGCAAAGTTCATTTTAGCTGATCTTTATGCATACAGATACAAACAAATTACAACTGAAATCATTTCTTTTGATATCTTCAAACTAGCTTTACGTTGTCTTTATGGGCATGTGAGCTTTTTTCCAAAAGAAAAAAAAAAATGGAAAATAGAAGACAAAAGAATGAGAATCTCTTAAGAGGAACACACGAAAATATATATGATTATCAACAAAAGAAAAGAAAAATATGTGTGGAAATGTTTTCTTTTTGTTATATATATGTTGAAAGGTTGGTGAAGCTCAAAACCTTTATCATTCTTTTGTGGTAAGAAGAGAAAGAATCTGATGCCCCAAATCTATAAGCCTTATCACCTTTTCTTTCTCCCGAAAATTGGCAAATGAAAAAGATAATTTGGACTAACGAGTTAAAGTAAACCTTCCGAGACTCAATGGTGTCCATTTTTCTCGTTCCCTCTTTCCAAACGTTTATTCAAAAACTGTTTAATAAAGGGGACTAAACGATTGCTTAAACGGCCTTAAGGTGCCCGATGAATTTCTACCATGGTAATGACAAGTTACACAATTAATTATAGTGGATATAAAATTTTAGGAGTGTAGGCGACGTCAAAGCAGTCTAGACGCGACTTAACCATTTCGTCCATCTAATACAGATTTCTTGTACCTAGTTATCTATAACCCAAATATATGTCCAACTAATCTTGTAACAAAAATATTTCCAATAATAATATTTTACATGTAGTACAATAAATACTTGAAATTTAAATCGTTTCAAAAATTACTGATCTTAACTTTTATATTCTTAATCATTTTTTTTTAAAATCCAATGCAGTTATTGTCAAACATTTGTTTAATTTCATTTACCAAACATAGTTTGAACCATTAACATGCAGTATACTACAGACACTAAGTTATATGTGTCTTGTCTCAACTTTGAAACATTTAAATAAATACTTTATCTCCATTTCCATTTTAATCGATCAGCTATAGTTCAGTGTCATCTTCACATATACATCAATATCTCTCGCGCGCGTGCTATAACATGGCATTGATATGGACATCATCTAATTTTCCTGCAGTCGACATCTCTTAATATATAATATTAGGTCCAATATCATATTTGCTAGATTTCGCTATCACATTGCCGAATTGAACAAGTTACAACAGATTGTCTCAATACTCCATATATGAATATGAACGTTGACTGGAAAGTCTATGACATGTCGCAGTTGTCTAAATAGAATTTGGAAGAAAACAAATAAAACAAGAAACTCACGTTTATTACTGTAAGCACGTAAATTATTCGAACGGTCCAAATCGAATAGTCGATAAGACATAAGAATTTAATAGGAATTATCCAAAATAGGGTCATATTCACAATAGTATCATGGACTGGCTCCAATACGGATGATGGATGATTCATTTAATTGATTCATTTCATTAATCGTTGGGACAGCATGTGAATAATAATCTTCTTAATTTCAATGTCTATCAACTCTCTCCTTTCTTATCATTGATCGAAGTCATGGCCATAAGATATACAAGTTTATGCGGAAATGGACCAAATAGTTTCCAAGTGTAAAGCGTCTACTAGAAAACCATTGCGTGAAGACAATTTCATGCACTAGCATATTTGGTATTGATCTTCCAAATATCACGAAAGATCATTCTAAAACTAAGGTGTCAATAAGGACTAGCTAGAAATCAAGAATCCTTAGATTTCAAGATTTTTATATTTAACCAAAAAGAACGTTTTTCTTGTGAAGGGAACTCCATAATTGGACAAGACTTAAAGGCCACTTTTGAACAAAAGAAACTAGAAAGAAAAATATATATATAAAAAATTATACTATTGAACCCACAAAACTCAAGTATATAAAGGTAAAATAAACAAAAGAAATGTCAAAGAGCTCTACTGAAAATCTTTTGACCCGGTGAAAGGATAGCCATGGGATCAAACATAGCTTTCCTATCAACGAATCTCGACCATTGGTTTCCAAAATGGCGAATCCATTCCTCTCGAGACTTGTAATGAGGAAGATAGAGTTTGAAGTCGATTCCGTTTTTCACACACCAATGAACAATCTCTTGATTTTGAGCTACCATTTTCTCGACCGATGAAGCCTTTGCACACGTTGGCACAAACCGAAGCAATGCCACGATGTAGAATATCTCTCCTTCCGGTAAAACAACTGATGACCGATCATCCCACCTGATATAAAAAATTCGACCGAATTATTACTTAGTCTTTCATATTTAATTATAATACCAGTAAATAGCACAAAAAGACATTTTAAGATCATCATTCATGCCAATGCGGCAATGCCCAATGGCAAGGGTAAAATGAAGTTACGCAAACACTTTGGCCCTTTGCTATAATCCTCTAGATTAGTTTCATTTCTTACGTATGCGAGTTAGTACCAACAAATCTCGTTTTCCACATAAAGTAAAAAGTTAGAGACGAAACTACCCTCAAATCCAGACATAAGTGAACTACAAAAGTACAAAGGTAAATGAAATCAACTGTAGCTCATAGAGGGTCCCAGAAGCGTATCTTTGTCCCCACAAATTTTCACTTATTTTTTGTTTATTTTAAAACTCTTTCCCTATATGACACTAAGAGTATCTCCAACCCCATGCTAAATATGACATATATGCTATTTTGCCATAATTTTTGCTCCAACCCAATTGCATATGCTATTGCAAAATAGCATCATGCTATTTTTGCTTCTATATTTGGCATGAGATTATGCAATATGCTATTTTGCCATTGAACTTTTTTATTTATAAAATAGTCCTTCAATTTGTAATTACTTTTAATTTAACAGTTTAATTATATTGATTATGATTTATTTAAATAAATAAACAATACTCATAACTTTTTCAAAATATAAATAATATTTATTTCATAGAAATATAAAAACATAACCATAATAAACTTCAAATTTTATTTTTAAAAATACTGAAATTCAAAAAACATAAAACAATAGGTTAAAATCTTTGTTTTCTATAATTTTTATGTAATATGATGTATTTTGTTTTAATATTATAATAATAAAAAATAAAAAAATATAATTCTGGTTGTTTTTGCAAAAAAAGAAAAACAAATGATTCACTTTGTAAAATTTGAAGAAATCAAGTAGTTTTAACAATTAATAATAAGTTGGAAAAAAATTATAGCATGATATATGGCATGAGGGGTTGGAGAGAAACCCAATGCTATTGCTATATTTTTGCCATTTGCAATAACATATGGCATGAGGGGTTGGAGATGGTCTAACCTAAACGACGGTTACAGTAGAAGTCCGTCACCCACCCAACCATAATACCATGTGTTCTAAAACTCGTTAGGCGGTACTAGGGCGCTCCGTTTCCTTCTAGCGATTTTTTTAAAAGTCGGAAATAAATTGGAGAGTACTCAGAAATTAATTTTAAGTATATTTTTATATATTTCCAACATTTTTAATTTTTTATATATAATACATCAACATGAAAATCATATACTACATTATTACCAAATAACATTCTTTTTTTATATATAATACATCAATATAAAAGTCATATATTACATTTTTAAGGTTTCATATTGAATGAACAGTTTCTTTACACACTTTGGGCGAACTAGAGCTAATTGTGAACAAAAATCAAACTTTAGTCCACCAGATTTTAACATTTACTTACTGGTTTTTATAATAATATAAATGTCAAAGTACGGTCAACGGTTGACCATATTTTTACTCGGTTTTTAAAAAGTCGGAACGGCAACCTCCTTCTGACGGTTTTAGGACCGAGTACTCGGCAACTCGGCCGACTTTTAGAACACTAATAATATCTAGTTAAGTTTGGTCTCGTATACTCAGTTTTTTCCTCTTTTTTCATTTATATTGTGTTAATAAAAAAATTACAAATTCCCAGATTTCGTTTACAGAGAACCTCTCGCTAAATTCCATAAATTTTGTACTAAAAACTGTACGGTTAAAAAAAACGGCCGAGGGGTTGGGAAAAATAAGACACGTGTGCCACATCCTCGATAATGGTTGGTCACACGTCTTGCGACTTGTGGAGCCATTTAGCACGACTAATCATCACACGTGATAAACACGTGCCAGAAAAACTAACTAGACCGATCTTTCTATAGGATCTACCGAACTAGATGTCTAGTTGTCGAACCCAAAAAAGATGTTGTCCCAGCCAAAAAGAGAAGAGAGTTAAGAGTAATTAATGTTCACCTGCTTCGCAAGAGTGGATAGATCAGCATGGGCCCACCGACTCCGTTCTTGACAAGTTCCTTGAAAACCGTCCGATCGAAATCTCCGATGTCACGCTTCGACACGAAGAGGTTAAGCCAAGGGTGCGGCGTTTCCCACGTGCCGGTCACCTTCGCGATCTCTTCGGACCGTTTTACCCTCAGTAAGAAGTCAACGTAAGGCAGATCTACCTCGAACCTGAATCCCTCCTCATATCTTAGCCGTCCGATCAACCTCTCCACTCTCTTTCATACACAAAATGTCATAAACAAAGAGTGCAGTCAGGGGTATTTCGGTACATTTCTTTCATATTACAGATTTCAGATAAAACGATGGCCAGATCTCGGGGACCGATGCTACTCAAAACGTTTACATGCTATCATTACACTTTCACCCTCACGTCCATACCGCATGACCAATGAACACATCACACGTAGGGTTTTCGACAAGGTCCTAACTTAAATAATTGAGTTAAAGAAAAAGGCAAGTGATCTAAAAATGTGGAATGCATGAAAGAGACAACAACAAAAGCAAAAAAGAAAGAAAGAAAGAAAGAAAAAAAGAAAAAAAGAAGACAAATGTCATTTTCGTAATAACGTGTTTTAAGATGAGGGCACTTGAGAGAAAAGGAATCACATATTTTTTCATGTCAGAAAATCCAAAATGGAAGATACATTACCCAATGTATGGTCAGTTTCATATTATGCAGTCAGACAAGAGACTGTATAATTCCCTTTCCCACCCTATTATATTTCCTTAATTAATAATTAAAATATTGTATATCTTTCACTGTTTTTGAATTTTATGTTGTAATCATGGAGGTCGTGAAAACTCAAAAGCGGTCCTCTACTATATACGTGTCGTATGAATGTTAGTGAAAAAAAAAAACCGGGTCCGCTGATTTCGATTCGACGGTCCACTTCACAATTACCTAAGGTCGATTTTGGTCAAACAAGGTTTCTAGAACATCCGACAATTCAGCCACCGCAAAATTCTGATAAATTTTTATATACAGTTCTTGAAAGTTACCTTGTCGACGGTTGAGTTTGAGTCCGAGTTCCGATAGTGAAGAGCCAGCTCGAGGCAGTAGAGAACCGACCCGGATGATTGTGGTAGTCGGGCCGGGTCAAAATCGTGGTCTGGATGGAGCGGAACCGTAGGCCATCCGTTGACCGGGTCATCACCGTTGACGAATACGAATCCTTCCACGTAGTCGAACGATGACTCGTCCTTCTGACTCACCAGCCACTCGGCGTCCCGAGTGAACTCGTCGAACTCGGCGTATACTACTCTTATCCATCTCACCTAATACAATCATGATAAATTTTCATATTTAATTACTCAAGTAAAATCAAAGTCACTTAATAAAAGATAACAAAATACGTATTGGGTGAAATTCTGGTTTTTCGATTGGATTATAAAAAGATTAAGAAAATAATTTAAATTTTTGGGTTTAAGTATTCACCATATCTGGAGCTGGCTGTAGCAAAACCCTAGCTCTGGTGATGATACCAAACTGACCAAGACCACCTAAAACAGAGAAGAAGAGCTCCGAATTCTCCATCTCCGAGCAAGTTACGACGTCTCCCTTTCCGGTGACAACGTCTAACTCCGTTACATTTTCCGTCTGCGGTCCGTAACGGAACGCTTGTCCACTCACGCCGGCATTCGACAACGTCCCGCCTACCGTTAACCCGAGATAATCCGTCCACGACCTTGGCGCCAAACCGTACTCCGAAACGCATCGTTTCAATACATTTTCCCATAATGCCCCTCCGGAGACATCGACAAACGCCGTCCCTCGACCACCGCCGCCGCCGGATAAAAAACCAACCTCGAAATGATTCTCCGCCGTGGAACGCATATCGACGACAAGTCCTCCTTCCGTCATGGCTTGACCGTTGATAGAATGGCCGTTTCCACGCGCCGCCACCGTGAGTTTATCGGAACTCAGAGCTGCTTTCACCACTCTGGCGATATCCTCTGACCCCACCGGCCTCACCACGGCAAGAGGCTTCACAGAGTTCATGCCGCCAAAATCCTTCCCGGCGATATCCGCCGCGTCGTCGCCGCATAAGATTTCCCCCTGTAAGTTGAGTGAGTCGGAGACGCCGTCGGTATGTTTTCCGGCGTCGGCGTCGTTGTCCAAGAAGTATGGCTCTATGTAAGCTATCATTTTGCTGTGTGTGTGTGTGTGTTTGCTATTTGAGTGAGACTCTATTGTAGATGGAAGCTTTTAGCTTTTGGAACCAAACCTCTTTTTGTTTGTCTGTGGTGAGAGAAGCTGTGGCTTAGCTATAAATAGCGACTGAGTTAGCTTTAGGATTATTCTTATTTTATCTGTTTAGTTGTGCTGAATTATTTAATTTCATCCGGCCGTTGAAATCAATATCTTTAATAACGTCCTTTTATGTTATTTAAAACGAAGATATTGGATTAGAAAATGTATCTTAAAATTGTCAACACTGAGTTATGTGAAGATAACTAAAGGAGGAAAAAACAAAACAAACAAAAGAAAAAGATTCAACGATTCTTAAAAGAATGGTTAAAGGATCCTCAAAATCTGTCCCGTACCCAAAAAGAAAAAGAATTAAAAAGCAGAAAAATCTAAGAAATTTATTGTGTAAGAAAGTTGGTCTGTATGCTTACGGCATTATAGAAAGATGACGTACTTAATGTTTTTTGGGATATTTTGAGAGAAGCCAAGAAAAATAGTTTCTACCACCATAAACTCAATGACTTAGTTGAATTTTGCATTAATGTTTCTGGAAATATCATCTTTAGGTATGACCAGAATATAGCCTGAGTGTCTTTTTTCCGATGAAACCTTATGGGCTAACATATTTGGTATAAATAAGATTTGTAATCTCCTAAAGTTAAAATTTGTTTAATCCAACAAAAATTAAACACGAAAGTATGGACTATGGAGAAGACACTTTTATCTAAAATATTTGATGACAACCTTTTGATAACAAAGTAAACTAAATTATTGAGATTGACGATGATTGTGTCATTCCCATCCCGAAATTTTAGCAATGGTTGATAATGTTAAGGATCTGTGATCATTAGTAATTGATGATAATTAGTTTAGCTTGGAAGTACTTTTTTCAAATAAACCTGTCTGCACATAAACACGATTTCACATAATTTTGAGTTTACTATTCACTTATGGATACTTTCAAATGCTCATAGGAAAATATGTTAATTACAATCATTCATTAATACACCAGAAGTTAAAACGTTAGCCACCACGTCAAAGACGGACAAATAGCGAGCGTAGAAGTTTTCATATAACTAAACTTAGCTAACTAGAGAGAACATAAAAGACAACTGATACGAATCGTCTCTGGAAAGTTGTGATTAAAACTTGTACTTTGAAACGTCTACAAAATCTCATGGACAGAAAGAGACTAATCTATGAAACATGAGAAAGATAAAATCAAATGCTTCTTTAGATTTTAGAGTTTCAATTGAAAAGTATCTCTTATACATGATACATCCATGAGTTTATTAACGTATTCTAATATTGAGAAAATGGCAACATAGTGACGATACACATGGTGAAAAACTGAAAATGCTATAATGCCCAAGCAAGCAACTATATATAAAGATTTTGTTGTTCCGGAAACCATAGATTTTGGATTACTGAGTAACATTTATCACTGTATGCTATTTTCTCATTCATTTCTGACGCCTAAAGTAAACGTTAATAAATGACCCATACGCAGAATTGACGACATTCGTCTCTCTATTCACAATCACAACCTTCAATTATTGTCGGTTTTTAGTTGTTTTAATAAATCGTGGGGCAGGCAAATTTACTTTATCATATGAATTTAGCTGACTTATGTAGGTGTATTAAAAGGGAAAAATATAAAGTCCAACTCAACATTAAATATAAAGATCTAGAAGACTAGAAGGACAATTCCCAAATTCCGCCCGAACTAGATAAATTGTTTCCGGAATCTTGTCCCGTAAAGCTTAACATCATTAATAAACCTAGTAGATAGATAAATCTTGGTTTTGTGAGATAGTCACTTCTGCTTCTTTTTGTTAAAGAGAGTATTTTGAGAGTGATTAACAAGTCTAGTGCAAGTTATGAAAGATTTTCAAAAATGGCATCCTTTTCTAGTTATCTTAATTAGCCATAAAAAGTTGTGCTGGCATTTGTGTTATTTCTATCACAAAGACGTTCACTCAAATCTCTTTTGATATATCCGATCAATGTGTAAAAGTGTAGTAAACACGTAACAAACTATGGATTCTGAAACCCATTAATTTTAAAATGGTTTAAAAGTAAAATCGTTTTAAATCCCAAAGTAAACGAAGTAGAATAAAATCTTGCCTTAAAAAACAAGATCCCCTTACTAATGAGCACGCATAATTTTTGTTTGTCAACGTGTACTCTAACAATTTGACTTGATATATTTTTACGATATCATGTTTGACTAAATAATTAATATCTGTTTAAATATTTTCAATAACATAAATAGAGTATGTCGTCTCATATGAAAATACATAAATAGTATTTTAACGTTAGCCGATCACGTCAAATGTATTTGTGTTTCGTTTTTAATTAGAACGTTAAACTTAAATGTGCCTTCTCTACAGCAAAAGGTCAAATGCACTTCTGGTTAGGAACCCCACGATCGTTAGTGTTATATCAGAAGTCAATAAGTCATGTATTTGTATTATAGATTCAGTACGGCATCGATGGTTTGTTTAATTCGTGCATTCGTTTAATTAGTATGTTTTTTATTTCACTATTTTATTTTGAAGTCAAACCGCTTAAGGTTTATCTGATTTTGATTCATAGAGACTTAGCGACTTAAGCAACTAGACGAATTGCTAAATGACCATAGTACATTGTTACATTGTTGTAGCTAAAACATCATCAGATTTTATACGTGGATTATTCATCGGGTAATTATACATCGAAGATGAAATAACTTGAAGTGAGGAAAGAAGAGTATAGTTAAGAAACGAATTTGCTAGCGATTGAATGCAATAGAGAGAGTAACACCAAGGACTAGCCATGCCCCAATGACGTATCCCAATATTCTTGTTGGTCCTTCATCTTCTGGTTCCTGTCCATTTCTCACAAACACTTTATTATATATACCGAACCAACCTAAATCAAATAGCAAGTTAATTACAAATGTATATATTTTTAGTTAAATCTAGACCAAAAATATATTTGATTATACTAAAAGGTATATGAAATGATCTGTTCATATTTTAGCCAAATTTGTTTTTGATCCAAGAACGAACAAAACGCAAACAGAAAATTTAACAAAGGAAATCAAACTAAATACAGTTTTGGTTCTGGTTCGATATAGATTTCTAATCTAAATGCTGATAAAACCAAAAACTGAGAAAACCGAACCGGTCCGGAGCCAATGTAGTTCTCAACAATCAGACCGAAACAAAACAGAGAGCGGTGCATACCTGAGGAGGCGGTTCTTCCCTGGATGGTTCCATGATGTCAACTTCAAAGGGCCACACGTACCGCTCTGCTTTCTCACTTCTTGCTATGCTCCAATCGTACATTCTTCTCTCTTCCACCGTCGACAAGATCGTATATGATTCCTAAAACTTATCCGATCAATTACGACTCCATATGGTAAAAAAAATTCAAAATGTTTTTTTTTTGTTGGGTTGATAGATAATACTGACTTTGACAAGCTCCATCTTGTTCTTGAGTTGTTCTTCGTCTAGGCCTTGTTCCATTAGCTCCTTTACTCTTTCTTGGTATCCAATTCTAACCTGATAATGACAAATAGAGTTTTCATTTTGAACTTTTTATACTTGTTGGGTCAAACATTTTGAACTATTTGCTACTTAATTTGAGATTCAAAGTAACGGCTAATTTGAATAACATTTTTGTATACTTGGCATAATCAGGACTACTCTCTGTATAGTATGAGCCATCAAAACACTAACAAATCCTGAATCTTGAAGTTATATATTAAAGCCTTCTAGCGATTAAAATTGAGGATGTAAAACTAAAAACTGACCTGATCATAAGAACATTTTCTGGGAAGTCCAAGCCTTCCGTAGTGATCCACATCTGTTATCGCTGCATTCTAATCCAAACCGCCGTCAATTCTTCCTCGTCGGAAAAAATACAAAAAAAAAATCAAAACGAAAGGAAGAGAGAGAGAGTGAGAGAGGGATTACGAAGGCCACGGAGAGCACGTTCGACGTTGAGAGCTGAGATCAAAGATGGAGACTCTTTCGGTGCTTCGTCCACGGCTGTGCTAGATCCACCTTCAGTTTCTGCATCCGACGACGTCTCACCGGAATTTCTCGCCGGCGAACAGATAATCCGCTTCTTGAAACTTGGCTTACACGGGAAAGAGCACGTGCTTGGTACGTGATGGAGGACGGATTCGCCGGGAATGTGCACTAACGACGGTTGAGTTATCGTCGATAAGGAAGCCATGGCGCTAAGGTTTTACTCTGTAACAGAATATTTCGAATTTCTTCTATCCTTAAATTTTGTTTGATAACGAATTCAAAATTATGTCAACCATAGAAAATTTTCAATAAGGATAAATATTGATTATAATAAGTAAATATATTTAATGCTGTACCTTGAGCAGACACCAAAGTCGTTGTAGTATAGTGGTAAGTATTCCCGCCTGTCACGCGGGTGACCCGGGTTCGATCCCCGGCAACGGCGCTTCTTTTTAAAATTTCTTGTTTGCCAAATTAGTTTCTGAAACGCTGTCGTTTATCTTATTTCACTTTCTACATCTTCGTCAAACGAAGTCGTATCATAAAACAGATTCATGTTTAATGAACACAGTTGTAACCATTTCCACAAAATGTTTTGACACATGATACAACAGTTCTACTTCTACAATCGAAGTCCGCAAATATATAAACACCTTAGTGCTCATGCTTCGATCTGTACAAGAGTCAAATCTCATAATTTCTTTTGTCTCTAATATTTTAAAAGAATGGAGTCTTGAGAAAGAAAAAAAAAACAAAAGATAAACCAAACTGATCAAGCAGACTTGAAATCAGTCTTAAGTCTTTTTCTTATTTGTTGTTTTTATCAGAGCTCTCGCCGGACTTCCAAACCACATCGTTAAGTGTGGTCGACAGCTTCTTGTAGAACTGCAAAAGAATGTAGATGAACAGATATAAGCTACAGTCCTATAAATAACAATTTCGCAGATTCTTAAAAATTGGATATTAGTACCTTATGGAACTCTAATGTATCCCCTTTAGTTTTCCGGACTTCAACCATATGAAGCGAAGGTGATACTTGAAATATCTACAAAACATTACAGATAAGATCACTTCTTAAATTCCAATTCAGATTCAGATACTAATTTTATAAAAGTAAAGAGTATTTGAGTGTATAATGTAATACCTCAGTCGCCACTTTTAGGTTTCCCTTCCTTCCGGCAGTCACGTTTTCAAGTCTCATCTGTGTACAAAAAGTAGCCCGCTTTAGCGAAAGCGACGCAGAGACAAATAAACAAATGTCAATTAACAAAAGCTGTTAGGATTTCACACGCACGAATGGTTTACCTTATAGTTCTTCTTCTGGATATCGAAACCAAGAGGCTTAGAAGCTTCTTCAATCTTCTGGACCAATTCATTAGCAGCACCTGTAGCTGCAAATCTCGTTTCCCTCCTGAATCCCTGTAAGTTAAAACGGTATAGACTTCATAAGTGGAAATATAATGTGGCAAGACTAAACCCTCAAAACTGTCTAAAAGAGTGTTTGCTCAAGGAGGATTTAAGCAAGTAAGGATTGTTGTTAGTCTAAGAGACACACCTCTTCTTCTTCAAACAAATTGCCGAGATCCAGAGCTCTGGCCATTGATATAAGCTCAAAGGCATTCATAGAAGTTGGTTGCTCCTCTTTCTTCTCTGTGACATGATGCTCCTGTTCAGTAAACACACGACTGTTATTGACAGTTATTTCAAGTAAATACAAAAGAAAACAGACAGTTTAATACAGTATCATCTTTACAGATCTCAGATTATAGAAATGTGACTCACTTCTGAATCTTTGAAAACAGCTTCCACATCATCCAAGTTTGCTTCTTCTTTCTCCTCGAAAACGGCTGGCTTGTAATTTTTCTTGAACCACGCATCTTGCAGAATCTCTGGAATTGTGATACGCTGTCATGTCAACGCACAGTCAATTAGTTCCATCGTTGAAATCAAGGAAGAGTGGCATTCATACAATCTTCCATGTTTTACAATATCAAGTTTTACATGCAAAAGACAAAGATAAAACTCATAAAGAGTCAAAGAGGAAATCTAGAAACACTTCAATTACGTTTTGATCTGTTCATTATGGTCCAAGAAATTACTTGGGACAGTTTAATAAATTCTCCAAGTCAATAATCATGCTTTCACAATTTGCGATTAAATTTACACACAAATAAATGATGCTCTCTAAATATTTTAAACTATTTTTTTAAAAATCAAACCTAATGATGAAAAAGGAGTAGACTGAAATATCTTACAGTCACAGGGTTTGGATCCAAGATTCGGACGATCAAGTTCTTAGCACCAGAAGAAAGCCAAGGAGGACAGTTATATTCAGCATTTGTTATCTGAAACATGACCAAAATTACAATACATTAAAGAGGAATCACAAATAACAATAATGAAAGATGAAGCTCAAGAAAATCTACAAATGTCCTACCTTCTTATACAGCGTCATGAGATTAGAATCCTCAAAAGGCAAATACCCAGCAAGAAGCACAAAGAGTATCACTCCACAGGACCACAAATCTGCGGTTGCCCCGTCATAGCCTTGATCATTAAGAACCTTAAACAAGAGCAACATCGAAGCTATTAGAAACATGGTGCAAAAAACCGCATGAGAAGCCACATGACTAAGCATACCTCAGGAGCAGCATAGTTTGGAGTTCCACATGCAGTGTGAAGAAGACCATCTCCCTGCCAAAACCAAGATAAGTCTCATAAGCTGAGATATACAGGACCGGGAAATTTCATACACAGAAGAACAGTCAAGGCTTGTGCTACACAGGATAAATAATTTGGCTATAATTTCGAATACCTTTAGCAAGAATCACTGCTACTGTGTAATCCAAAATCTTATTAAATATATAATCAATATACATCATTACTGATACAAGTGATTACCCTGACTTGTCGGGACAAGGCACTCAATCCAAAATCAGAGACTTTGAGATTTCCTTGAGCATCAAGAAGCAAGTTTTCCGGCTGCAGTGAGAGAAGAATAAAGAAGATAGATCGTAAGTGTCGATTAGCTGCACTTGAAAATGAAAAGGGTCCAAGATTTATCCTACCTTTAAGTCTCTGTGGTACACTCCCCTGCTGTGGCAGTAATCAACTGCATTGATAAGCTGCTGGAAATATCTCCGTGCTCCGTCTTCTTTCAAGCGACCATCATGCACCTGCGCAAGTTTAGACTTAATGAAAATGTTGCATATCAGATATAAACAAAAAACATCTCAGCTGTAAAAACATTTATAACCGGAGCTTAGCATGAGGCATTTGATACATGATTCAAACACCAAGCGATATATCAGATACAAGTTATATGAATCCCTTGGGAGGGATAAGGAAAACTGAAAACTCACAATTTTGTCAAAAAGCTCTCCACCAATGCCGAATTCCAGGACAATGTATATCTTGGTCTTGCTCGCCAAAACCTGGAACAGTATCAATTATTTCCTTACAAAGTCAGCTTTCGATAGATTTGCTTCGCTTAGAAACATAAGCAAGCCAAAAAGAATATAAAGACACATACCTCATACAGACGCACAACATTTGGATGGTTAATCAGCTTCATAGTAGAAATCTCTCTCCTTATCTGTAAAAGAAAACGAGGAAGACACACATTATAAATGAACAGAATTTACTTCTAGATATGAACACTGGCAAATCAATAGGAGTGTTACCTGTTCAGACATCTTATTCTTGAGAACTTTCTCTTTGTCGAGGATTTTAAGAGCCACGGATTCTCCAGTCTCAGTGTCCTTAGCAAACCTCACTTTAGCGAAAGTGCCTTGCCCAATCGTTTTCCCAACCTCATATTTCCCAATCCGACGCTGAACCTTTGGCCGATTCATCATCACCTCCTCTTGATCTCCACAAGCTCTGCTTTTCTGGATAAAAAAATGTAATTCTCGCTATTAAAGAGTCTCAGAACCCAAACAGAATGTTTTCTTCTCTCAATTCACAGAAAGAGGACAAAGAAACGGTCGAGAAATGAAAGAAGAAAAAAACAGTAAAATATGACACGAAATTCGAGAAAGCGTCAAAACAGGTGAAATCCACGAGGTGAATGACAAATCCAGCAGAAACTTTTCCACGGAATCTCCGGTCGTCTTTTTCGGTACTCCAAGTAAGCGCCCAAATGAGAATCATGACGCAGATAATAGCCAGCAAATTGTTCAAGCACACACGTATCTACATATCCAAATTCTCCACTAACCAATAAAATATACAATTGAACTACTTAGCTCAGAAATTCGTCATCATCATCACCATCACCATCATATATAAGATTAAGATTATGTGCACTTTATACAAAAAAAATATCAAAGCGTAAGCAAGTGATCAAACTCTCCAAGTTACCGACTCGCTCACTGAAATCGAAGCGAAAGATGAGAAATCGCAACTCACCTGCAAAATTGGCCGGAGTTATCCCGAGTAAGGACAGTAGTAGAGGTGGAAAACTGATGCCGGAGCTAAAAAGGTGTCAGGAATATTCGAAATTAATCTATGGAGCAGAATTCGCTTATCGGAGGAGAAAAATTTGGGCAGGGGAGAGAGAGAAAGCGATAGAGAATGGTGGTGGAAGAGACGAGAGATACGATGATTGTAATTTTGGAGCTAACAGACAAACAATTTAATTTTCATGTGGGGACGAGGACAATGATGCTTTCTTCTCATTTTCGTATGTGGACAATACAATTTCATAATTTCTTTCCTTATTCATTAGTCTTTTCTTTCTTCTCCTTAATTTTCTTTAACAAATTAATTGTGTGTTTGCCTTTTTTTGGTCAATTAATTAAGTGACACGAGATTAATACTTTGATTTGAATAAGCACTAGATAGGGACCTGATAAAAGGTTTTTTTAATTTTCTTTCTTTGTTTCTACATTTCATATGTGAAAGGAGAAAGTAATCAATGATTCTTTTTCCAAAAAGCATATGCTTAATGATCGAAAATTGTTGTGAATAATATACAGTCTAATATGTAAATTGCCTATCAAAAGTTTGAATCATTTTTGAATTTATGGCAAATGTGTACATGTTTCTCATTGTATATTTAATTACTTATAGATATGAATATGGAAGAATTCAATGTTGTATGAATTTTTAGATAAAGATAGAAAATGAGTAATATATCTTGACCAAATGATTACATTTCTAAAACAATTTCACAGGAGATCATACAAAAATTATGCTCATATCTGATTTACCTTGTTTACAATTTCAACATTGTTATGTAATTCAGTACTAAATTGCAAAATATGTATCAGATTTTAATTTATATATCACAAAATATTCTACTAAATATATTTTAGCAAATAAAATAAAATATTAGTGTAACTTGACATCTTACAAGTTTCAAAAGACAAAAAAACAGTAGTGGAAAGAAAAATAAGAAAAGACAAGTGTTTAGCTCACTATTTTATCTTCAAAGGCCCACTTAAGCCCATCCATACACTGGGCTCTCTTTATAAGCTCCTGCAGAAGCGTAGTAAATCAGTGTAGCAAATTTTCTCGTAATTCCAAAAAAGCTTAGAAGGAAAATGGCGGATCAGCTCACCGATGACCAGATCTCAGAGTTCAAGGAAGCGTTTAGCCTCTTCGATAAGGATGGAGATGGTATGTTATTTCCTCAGATCTCCGTATACTCTTCGATCTTTGAGCTCCATAATTATTTTTCGACGATCTTCAGTTTTCTGTACAATTCGTGTTTGTTTCACTTGAATTCGTGAACGATCTAGTTTTGGCCTGTGAATATCAATGACTCGCGCGATTTTTTGTTTGCTTTATCGCTGGATCGCTTCGTGTTTTCTATGGTTGATTCTGATTCACTTCTCGTATTTCACTAGTCGGTGCTAATCTTAGATATGAACAATCGAGACTATATTTTTTTTCCTGATATTTATTCTAAGTAATCTTATCTGCACTTGTTCACGTCCTGGGACTCGTGTTGGATCTCACCAGTTTGAAAATTTTCATGAGATTTCCTAATGTTGTATCCATATTTTGTGACTGAGCTTGAGTGAGTTGTTAATTGAGGGATACATTGTGAAATGCTTCTGTATCTAAGTAGAGCTAAATATATAATTTCGTGCATAGTTTGATTATGCGAAAACGCAGGAGAGACATTGAATGTATTATGTGCTCTGGTTATTGAAATTCTTGCAAATTTCTGTTGTATTGCACCATTCTTAGAATACTGTGCATTTTTTGCCTTTACACGATTGAGATGTGGGCTCAATAGAGCTAATTGGCTAGGGTTTTTAACCTGTTTATGTAAAGAGATTTTGTGAAAAAAGATTCTCTCTTTATTACATACCAAGGATACACATAGGATTTTGGTTTCCTAATACAATGCACATAAGGAAACTTGGAATGAACACAGAATATTTCATTTACCTTTACACTTAAAGATGCCTTGAGAAGATTGTTCATTTCTGGTGTGCGTAAATGATGTTTCTTTGTTAATACAATGCACGTAAAGGAAAAATGCAATAACTAGTAGAAATAGCTGATTATGTATTTGGGAACTCTTGTCTCTGAAGTTTATACCTGGATATGGTTGTGGTTGCAGGTTGCATCACCACCAAGGAGCTCGGAACCGTGATGAGGTCTCTGGGGCAAAACCCAACAGAAGCCGAGCTGCAAGACATGATCAACGAGGTTGACGCAGACGGGAACGGGACCATTGACTTCCCGGAGTTCCTGAACCTGATGGCGAGGAAAATGAAGGACACTGATTCAGAGGAAGAGCTCAAGGAAGCCTTCAGGGTGTTTGATAAAGACCAGAACGGTTTCATATCTGCAGCAGAGCTTCGACATGTGATGACAAACCTCGGTGAGAAGCTTAGCGATGAGGAAGTTGATGAGATGATCCGCGAGGCTGATGTTGACGGAGACGGTCAGATCAACTATGATGAGTTCGTTAAAGTCATGATGGCTAAGTGAGAGCATCTTTATCCCTTCTTCATAACTCCATAAAAAGGGAAAAGGATTTATGATGATTTCTCTTAGAGTGGATCTTTATCATTTACTTTGTTCTGGTTGCCTTCTTTAGGACATGTTATTTGCTTCCTTCCCCTTTTATTTGCTTGCTTTGTTTAGTGTTATGTGATGTATGAACACATATTTTGCTTACCCTTTGACAATTGATATCATCCCTTTTTTTATTTGTTTGTGTTGCTCTTTCTCAATGATTGTTCTACAGTTAGCTCATCCGAATTTAAATGGTTGATTAGCTCATCCAACAACTGTTATTAATAAGATCAATTGTTCTTCTTACTGAAAAATTGTTCCAAATTTGACCAAAACATCCCAACTTTTTCAATAAAAAGCACAAATTTTCCTGCTTGTTAAACAGCATATTTTAATTTCCATTCACTTCTAAAATCTTTTTGTACAGAAAAATGTAATGTTTGCTTCCTCCTCAACCTTTGGTTAGCTTTTCTTACACTTTAATTTGGTTCCATCTCTAAAGCAAAACAAGTCTACACGAATTTGCAAAATCTCCCACCTTCCCCAATCTGGTCTCTCTGCACACCACCAACAACACACTCTGCCTCAAACCAAACTTAGACTTGATGCATAGCTTTGGTTTCTCAGGCATTCCCTTCAAAAACAACGGACTTCTCATCGGGACGATATGATTCGGGATATTGAGTCTGGAGGAAGTTGAGAAAGAAGAGCCAAATGTATTATTGGCATCACTGTTATTAGAAACACCAATCGCTTTCCATCCATCAGCTATGAGTTGCATAGTCTTCCTCGTGGGAACAACATTCTTCTCTTCCATATCTTTCAGAAGCTCTTCCGCTTTCCATGGCTGCTTCGCTTCCCCGAACCCCCAAATAAGAGTCTCGTAAGTAGTCAAGTTAGGCGATAAACCAACGATTCCACACATCCTGTTATACACCTGCAACGCTTTCTTCATCTCACCCGCGCTGCACCAGCCGCTTATGATCGTTGTGTAGATCACCACGTTTGGACGAACGCCGAATTTCCTCATCTGATTCAAGATTTGCTCAGCCTTTTCGGGATCTCCAGCTCGAGCATACCCTTTGGCAAGGATGCTAAATGCATGAATGTCTGGATCTATTCCTCCTTCCAACATATCTCCGTAGATCTCTTCGCATCTTTTCATATCTCCTACAGAGCTCCATGCATTCATTAGAGTGCTAAATGTTACCACATCAGGTTTTACTCCGAAATCTTCCATCAGGTCCACTACCTGTAATATAACCATGCGCGTATACATATCAAGAAATGGATGTGAAGGGGAAGCATTGAACAGTTAACGAACTAAAGCATACCTCGCCAACTCCATCCATGTCGTTGATCTCAAGGAAGCCTTTGATTAGAGAGTTAAAAACAAAGAGATTTGGATGGACTCCAAGTTCTTTCATTCTATAGAAGAACCTCAAAGCTTCTTCCATGTTGCCCTCTTCACAGTAGCCATTCATTATGATGCCGCAGGTACGGACATTCGGTTTGACTTTGTTGTGTAACATTCTTGGGATGATCATATCCTCAGCTGTACATGTTGACCCGACCCGTGCATACGCTCTTGCCAGTGTGTTAAACGTGACTACATCAGGTTTTACTCCATAAGACTGCATTTTAAATACAATGTTCCATGCTTCTTCAATCCTCTTCTGGTTACACCAGGCCTGGACAAGTATGTTACATGTTCTGTCATTTGGTTGGAGCATCTCTTCACGTAACATCATCTCAAGAAGTCTTGACGATTCCTCCAGCTTACCGATTTTTCCATATCCTTTGATGAGAGTGTTGAATGTGCTTGCTGTGGGTTTGCATCCACTTTCTTTCATTTTTCTAAACATCTTCATTGCTTGGTTGAGATTTCCTGACTCGGAAGAGGCGTTGATGATGGCGTTGAAGAGAATGGCGTCAGGTTTGAGGCCGTTTTTCTCGACTTTGGAGATGAGGGAGAGGAGAGAGTGGAAATGCTTTTGACGGGTCAATGCGGTTACGAGAGTGGTGTATGTGATGATGCTCGGCTTGTGGCCTTCCTCAATAAGTGTGTTGAAAATGGAATGAGCCTCCTGAGGTCTCCCTCGTTCTATCAAGCCGTTCATCAGTTTGGTTCTTGAACGAACATCGCCACAAGTAGTTCCACCTGAACATATCACACAAGGATTTGACCTCAGTTTCACTGTCACAGCCTGCGAAGGAAAAACATAAGTTATCTCAAACCTCTCTTCATATGATAACCATTTCTATTCGGATCTAAATATCTTAGCACAATCTTAATCTGAAATTGGCGATAGGAAAGACATTTGATATTTGAATCTATTTTCCATGTAACAGGACTGCTCTGTAAGTGTGAGAGCACTCTAAACATAACCAAGTCAGGAATCTAGGTGATTATTTGCAGATGATTAAACTCTTCTACTCAATCATCCTACAGATCTCAGAATAGATAAATGACTTACTTCGGAATCTTTAAAAACAGCTTCAACATCAGCCAAACTTGCTTCTTTCGTCTCTTCAAACACGGCTGGCTTGTAATCTTTCTTGAACCAGGCATCTTCCAAAATATCTGGAATTGTGATCCGCTGGCATATTAACACACATTCAATTAGTTCCACCATTGATACCAAGCACTAGTGGCGTTAACTTATGCGCAGACTTTTATCCAGAGAACTAACAATTTCAGGAGGGCCACAAAACGTTTAAACCTAAGACAAATGATAGATCTACTAGTAGTAGCTCATTTCAGGTTGTGGAATGGAAAGTAAGGAATGAGTCAGCAAGAATGGAAACATCGAGATAATATGCAGAGTTAAGCTTCCTAATTATACTTGATACAACACAATGTACACTTTAGACCAACAGTACGCATAATTTTCCAAAATATCTTACCGTCATAGGATTTGGATCCAGAATTCGGATGAGCAAGTTCTTAGCACCAGGAGAGAGCCAAGAAGGGCAACTTAATTCAGCAGATGAGATCTGAAAAAAAACGACAAAAGCGCAACATTGAAACAATAAATCACAGATTGTGGTGAGGAAGAAGCCTCAAAATATATTACAAAACTTCTTACCTTTAGATTAGAATCCTCGAAAGGCAAATATCCAGTAAGTAGTACAAAGAGTATCACTCCACAGGACCACAAGTCTGCAGCTGCTCCGTCATAGCCTTGATCATTAAGAACCTTGGGACAATGGCAGAAAGGAAGCTATTAAAAACATGGTGCAACAACTGCATAACGAGCCACATGACTAAGCATACCTCAGGAGCAGCATAGCTTGGAGTTCCACATTCGGTCTGACGAATGCCATCTCCCTGCGAAACAAAGTAATTCTGATAAGCTGAGAATCTAGAAAGATCAGTGTTACCAATCTTATTAGATATATGTTCATATAATCACTGAAGTTCAGGCACATTCATAAGAAGAAGACAGCGGCAAAATCAGTAGGAACTAAGAAAATCGATTCAGTGGTTACCTCGACTTGTCGACACAAGGCACTCAATCCAAAATCAGAGACTTTCAAATTTCCTTGAACATCAAGAAGCAAATTTCCCGGCTGCATTGAGAAAAGTAAAGACAACAGGCATCAGTTAGCTGCACTGCAAACTTGGGCCCAAGATTTACCAATAAGAATGTCTCATACCTTTAAGTCTCTGTGGTACATTCCCCTGCTGTGGCAGTAATCAACTGCATTGATAAGCTGCTGAAAGTATCTCCGTGCTTCCTCTTCTTTCATGCGCCCATCATTTTTCTTCACAAGTTCAAATTTAAGGCATTGGTTGAAATCCAAAATAGTATATTTTTATCTGTAACATTCAGGAACTTCTAAGCTGAGCATTTAGTGCATAGTTCAAACACCAAAACATACATCAGAAGGGGAAAACTCACAATTTTGTCAAAAAGCTCTCCACCACTAACGAACTCTAGGACAATATATATCTTCGCCTTGCTAGCCAAAACCTGGAATAATATCAATTACTCCTTAGAGTTTAGCTTTCAACAGATTTGCATCGATCCAAAGAGCTCTTAATTCTTTACTAAAAAAAGGAAAATAGAGACAGTTCGAGAAAAGTTGTGGCATGGGGATATACCTCATACAGTTGCACTACATTTGGATGGTTTATCAGCTTCACAGTAGAAATTTCTCTCTTTATCTGTAAAAGCAAACGGGAAAGACTCAAATCAAGACGGATCTATCTGAGAATGTTGCTTTTAGAAAATGGATGACGATTAGGAAAGAGAATTACTTGTTCAGCCAACTTATGCTTGAGAACCTTCTCTTTATCAAGGATCATCAGAGTCACGGGTTTTCCTGTCTCAGAATCCCGAGCAAACCTCACTTTCGCAAAAGTACGTTCCCCAAGTGTTCTTCCAACCTCATATTTTCCAACCCAACGCTTGGCCTTTGGCTCACTCATCACTCAGAGAGTTCGCCGCTTAATTTTCACACGCTGTTAAAGGATAATGTACCTCGCTTTAGAATCCGACAGAACAGTAAACAGAGTGTTTCTTTTCTCAAATAAATGCGCGAACAAAGTGAACAAACTGTCCAAATCACTGAATCACTCTTGGAAAGGAAGCTAAACATGGAAAAGCGCAACGGAGCTTCAGGAATACACACCTGCGAATTGGCCGGAGTGTCCCAAGAGAGGAAGCAACTAGAGTTGAAACTTGAAATCGCATGCAGCCTTTCCACAGCTCAAAATTTTCCAGGGGAATTCAAAAGAGAGATGTAACAAGTGTGTGCGTGTGTGAATGTCCGGCAAGAAAGGAAATCTCGGTGACAATGCAGAGCAGAGGAGGTCGAGCATCACGTGGAGAAAGCAATTGGGAAGAGGCTCTCATCGCTTCTGCAACTTGAGCCGTCTCAATTACTCGTCCGATGCTTCTTCCTCCTCCATACTCCATCGTGTGGCTCCCTTTATCTCTCTTTATCTTTCTCTTATCCAAAATCCAGATTACCATCTCAAAATTAAAATGAACAAATTGCGACGACGTGGATTCATGAGCGAGTCTAATTTCTTTTCATTGTACAGTACTGTGATTGGTTAGCTTTTTTAAGCTAGAAAAATGGTCCCCAAAATTTATTTCTCTCTCTTTTTTTGCTTTAATTGAAAATTAGTTTCTTAACCTTTTAATTTGGTTCAATATCTTTCTTTGGTAACTAGCAGTAGCACATAAGCTTGCTATAGCCATTATTAGGGAATGTTTTCTTTAGTTTTTCGCGAGGGAAAAATAACAATCGTGTTTTCTTTGTTACAATGAGAAGCTTTGTACATGAAGCACCAAACCAGGCAAGAAAGAGAGGTTAATAATAAACTCGGAAATGTTGAGCACTCACTATCAACAAAGAAGAGTTTTCACAGAAATGGGAGATAAAGTAGGAAAAGAAAGAAAAAACAAATGTGCCACTGGATTTGGGTTTTTATGGTGTTACCGTGTGAGCGGTTTGTAGAGGACAACAGTTATGTACTTGGACTCGAACCTGTGGGTTAAACCCAAAGCTACAATGGATTGAGGAGTCCACCCTTGCTCTATGAACACATGGTTAAGCACCACATGTTGAGGCTTTGTGGCTACGGCCGTTTCTTCAGTCGTGCCAAGAAGTGTTAGATGAAGCTGAGGTGGCACCACGAGCGGCTCTTTCGCGTAATCTTCCGGGGTTGGGAGGGCTTGACCGTAGCTATGATCAGGTGACGGTGGCGCTTCAAACTCCACTATGCTTTCTGGATTTTCTGGCACATAGTTCTGCATCATGATTGAAATATACTGTTACACAAGTGTAGATTAATTGATAGGTTTAACATGAAAAAAGAGGTGTGTTACTAGACTTACATGAACATCGAGAATGTTACAGACATTGCCCATTTCGTCAGATATAAAGGGTAGATCTGGGATGTATTTGGATTCACCATCGACTATGACCTTGTAGTGGTATATGCCAGATGGAAGGACAAAGAGAATTGAGTGGTCTTTTCCAGATTTCTGCAGCTTCTTCCTGGGGGAATGTAAATGTCTATATGTTTAGTAAATATATATATATAGAGAGAGAGCTCGTGAGCAAGTTCCTGAGAAGTATATCAACTTATACCTTGATCTCCAACTGTCCCATGATCCTTCCACAGCCACATCATTACCTCCTTGGTTCCATGTAATGATGGTAGGGATGCCTTGCTCTCCGGGATTATCAAAAACTCTTTGAGATTGGTTCCATTGAATTTGATTAGGCGAAGGAGGAGCGTTTGCCCTCTGCACTGGAGCTGATGGAACCTGACATATGCGCATAAAAAATGAGCCGTGAGATTTTTTAAACCAAGTACGAGAAGAAGTTGCGAATGTTAAGACACTATGTCTACCATCTGACACGAAATGCAGCCATTAGGTACACATGTTATGCCTAAACAATGGAAGAAGTGACGCATAGTTGAGCCAATGGTGTTAGATGTAACGTGGAATAACAATGTGAGCTGAAAAGAAAAGGAGCTGAATAATGAACACAGCAAACAAATAATCAATAGAATGAGAAATTTTACTAACAATATAGTCAAGACATAATTAGCAATAAAAATCCTACTATATTCCCACCAAACAACCAGGTCAATTGTAAAGGTTTTACTTCACTGCTGTCTAGAATCATTCACATATTAAGTACATGAGAAGAACAAAGAGAAAACCACAACCTCTAATTCGTTCAAGTGAATTCAAGCTCTGCGTCTTTGAATGCAAAATGGGCTAAGAAATGAACAAGCTTGCCTTCCCACTCAAAATGAAAGCAACAGAACACACAAAAGACTCACGACGGGACATCACAATTGCAATACAAATCAAGAGAACAGTAACAGCAACTGGTAAGGACCAGAGAACATCAGGAAAATCTAAATCAGCATAGAAACCTATATGATTGGTATACATTTTTCCAAACTAGGCACTATCTCAGGATTGCATAACCAAGACAACAAAAAGGAACTTCTCTAAAGCAGATTTTCTAGCATGATTAACAAGATTTTAACTTATCAAAAGAAAAAGGCATAGCAATAAGGTACTTTAAGCTTCTCCCTCAACCAAAACGAGGGGAAAATAACATGTTCACTCCTCATCTACCAGATTTTTTACTTCTCAAGAACCGAGTCAAGTCCACTTCCTTTATACAAAATATTCCTCTCATAAAGTGATCCGTTTCGCAAGTTATTCACAAAGATGGAGTACACAAAGAATCGGTAGGGGACATCAAAAATCGAAAGAACGGTATCAGCGACCGGAAAAGCTAGGAAATCGAATCAACATCTTATAATGACAGGTCGAAACTATTCCACATTAGGCATTGTCTCAGGATGAGAACTAAGGTAATCTAAACCTTTCACAGTGGCAAACCAAAGGACGAACAACAGATTCTCAGTTCCTAGACTTTTAAGTTCTCAAGAGCCAGCAGATAAGATCAAATCAAGTGCAATTCATCTAAATTGAAAAGAGTTCACTCATATATGGCTGGAATCTACTAATTAAAGCTGTCAAAGAGTGAATCATATGAAAAGTCAAGTCACCTAGCTCTTAATCAACCAGAGAATCAGAAGGAGTAGCTCTTTTTCACTTTCGACAAAAGTTCAACAATGCTTCAATCGGATCATCCAAAACCAAAAATCAAATTCAACGATAAACACAGAGAGAGAGAGCAGATGTAGAAAGAGAGATAGAGGCGGAAACCTGAGGAGCGAATAAGAAAGGAGATGGAGATCGAGCGGGGCTTCCGGGAGGAGAACTGCTCATAGAGTCTGAGGAAGGACGGCGATGACGACTTCGGGAGGAAGGATCGCCGCCGTTGGATCTCGCCGAAGATGAGGTGACATCTGCATCGACGCTAGGGACGACTGGGTCGTCTTCTTTGCCGTTCGCATTTCCCATCTGAAAACCCAAATCAAAGAAGTGAGAGAGAGACAATGAGGAGAGAGAGAGAACCAGACGTGAAGAAAAATGGAGGGAGGACGAAGAGGAGGAGATAAGAAAAAGACCTTGAAGTGAGGGTTAATTACGGGAATTGCCACTGGTAGCGCAAAGAGATTTGCACAAAAGGCTTTGAGAAATCATTAGAATCCGTACCGAATGGATAAACTCGTGACTTGGCGTCCATAAAGTAGATAATGATCCACTTATTTTTTCTCTTTTTCAAAAACAAAAAAATCGTGATATTATTGCAATCATCATAATAGTGTCTTTGAGTATAAATACGAGTGAGTGTATCAATCTTTCTAAAGTTTGGAATGGTGATACATTGATGGAACAAATGAAAACATCCATGGACACCCATTGGCATCACACATCGACCTTCATCTTAACTTATACAAATACAACAACTTAATGTTATATTATGTCATCGGAGACATAAACAAAATCAAAGCATTTTAAAACTTTAATGCAATGTGAAATGTCACTCTTAAATCTTAATATATATTTGTTGCTAATCATGTGAATACAATTATAAATGAAGTTTTTTAAGTTGCAACATTTGTTAAAACATAAGCCTTACTTGAACGGTTGAACCATTTCCAAAAAAATAATAAAAAACAAGGGAGCAAACAGTGGCGAATCTACTAACAACTATACGGTGTCCGTTAAAATATTATAAACACCTTAAATGTAACAAAAATACAAGACAAACTATTAGCATAAATGGTAAAATATGCCTAATGAAACCACGTAATCCGAGTTCGAATCCTTTTGACCCCAGTTAATTTTTTTTCTAGATCCTCCACTCCACTAGGAGGATATCATCATTTAATCCTGAGAATCATCATTAAGTTTCGAAATCGTCGTTGTGTCATCTCGCCGTGGTTGTGTTTATGATATCATGCCTCACGATTTATTTAAAGGTTGTCTCCGGTGAAACAGATTGGTTGTTGTGATACACATGTTTTGTTGGAGCCTTAGATTCATTCAGTTGTTACTTAAACAGTTAAACTATAGAAGAAAAATGCATCTCCTAAACCGTAAACCATTAACATCATCATCTCCAGCAATGCCAAGCAACTCTTCCAAATTTCATTTAACCATTAATATTTTTTTTATCACTTTCTTTATCATCGCCTTCGATACCATTTTCTTGCTCATCATTGGCTTTATTATCTAACTTCTTGCTTCGTTTGTTGTGTGTGTGTCAGTGTGGGCAACTATCTATCTCCTTGTCATTTTCGTATATATGTTCCTAAGTTCAATTATTTTTCTAGCTTTAACACCAAGTTATATGCTTTGATTTCTTATACACAGCATTATGAATCTCTACCAGTTCGGTTTCATTTAACTCCTTCTCCATCAGCACATGTTTTCTTAAAACTACACATAATCACTAGTTAAACTACTTAAATATAGCTGACCAAAAAAAGGAACTACATAAATCTATGAGCTATGGTTGATTTTTGTTTTATTTCCAAGCCAAATAAAGGGAAACATTAGACCGAGTCACATAAAACTTTGTTCGATTATCTTTACCCTCGAGAATGATTCTGATGCTATCTCTTCCTTTTAAAGGACAACTTTTTCATTTAACCATCAATCATTTCTGCGAATGCAATTCCTTTAATTTGTAGAGACCATTCTAAGATTTATGGATAGAGGACGATATAACATGTTATGTTTTCTAATAAAAAGTTAAAAACACAGAGTCCAACACTCAACTGTTGTTTAGTGAGTACAATTTTTCAAAGGTCAAAGATTTTCTTTATGGATTTGATTCAAATGAATGATGTTTTACACTTGAACAACATACTTAAACAATTGGGTTTTGGGCCTTTCGGCTATTTTTTCTTCCGACCAAGCATTAAATTTTCTAAAACACAGTTAAATATTTCATGTTTATTTTGCTAACCCAAAATAAAAAATTGCTATGTTAAACAAAGACAAAAAAGAAAAGCTAGGACTAAAACTAGGGTTTTTGGGGTGTTTTTACTGTGGTTCCATTGCTTATTCTTAAAGAGCGCCACCCAAAAACACACACACACACACACACTTCCTTCTTCTTCGTCTTCGTCTTCCTCTTTTGGAGCTCTCAACCTCTCTTTATCACATTGCGTCTTCTCCTCCCGATCCTGCAGTCCTCTCTTCTGTTTTTGATCCAATTGAATTGCATCCTTGCTTTCATTCTATTTCCGTAGAGTTTTTACCTTTTCGAGTTTCTGATGATGGCGGAGACTGAAGGATCATTGCCCGATGATCGAGAAGTGATCGGCCGCGCCGGTGGTTGCGGGACTAAGTCTCCGTGGAAAACAACGGCTTCTCCCGCCGAGACCGTCGACGCTCCGGTAATGGGTGCTCACTCTTGGCCAGCTCTCGCCGACGCGCAACAGCCGCGTCCCAAGAACCCTCCGGCCGCCGCTCCGCCGTCTAAAACCATTCCGACCTCAGTCCCAACCCCCGCTCAGGTTAGTCAGTCTAATTCCGTTTTTTTGCTAACGCCGTTGGATATTGGATTGTGCTTATTGAGTGTTCGCGGTCCGTTGTACTAGGATAGAGCTAAAAGTTGCCTGATACTGAGATTAATTGGAGATTACGCTACTTCTTGACTTTGAATGTTGATCGAATTTGGTTTTATCGAATTCAATGCATGTTGGTTATGACATTTAATTGTTAATTTGATTTACTGTGGAAAGGTTTACTTCCTTTGATTCACGTTCATAAGCATTGAATTTGTAGCATAATCTTTGTCCCTGAAAAATGCTTTGCTTGATGTTTTAGGCTGTAGCTGGTCAAGCGAAATCGAAGGGTGGTGGTGGTGGAGGAAAGGCTAATCCTGCACACAAGAATCCATCAGGACGTCACTCAAAACCAGGCACAAAGAGCAACCAAAACGCTCCTCCTCCTCCTCCGCCTCCTCCTTACCTCGTGCACGGTCTACCTTTTCATCCAAATCCCTTTCCACCAATGGGGCCTCTGCCACATGCTACTGGTCCTTATCCTCCGTTCCCGATTCATGGAGCTGCTCCAGTTGCAGAGTCTGGCAGTGAGAAGCAAGTTCAAGCTTCCACTCTTCCACCTGTCCTGCCAGCTCCTCCTCAAGGAGAATCTGGACAGCCTTGGCAGCACCAGAGGGGTTTTGACCCCAGAAACATGCCACAGGGCGCTGGACCAAGGAATTTCATGAGACCTCCTCCATACATGGGGCAAGCTCCCGGGTTCCTGGTTGGTCCAGGTCCAGGCTTTCCAGGTAAGATATCGATTCTTTTTGTCAAGGTGCTTTAAAGGGACTGGCTCTTGTTCGTTTCTGGGTGCATGATTGCTGTTCTTTTGTTTCTTCATTTGACATAGGGCCTGTATACTACATGCCGGGTCCACCACCCCCTGGTGCTATCAGAGGTTATCCTCCACGCTTTGGTCCATACCCTCTACACCAGGGTCCTTCAGCACTATCTCCAGAAAAACTTGACTTGAAGGACAGAGTCATAAAACAAATAGAATATTATTTCAGGTAAGTTAAAGTTATGCTTCTACGTCAATAGATTCTGTGCTTGTAAGATTAAACTCAGCTGACTCCTTTGCTGTTCTTCGAGGAGTTTATTGATGTACCTCATCTTGATATGCTCACTTTCCGTTTATTTCTTTCTTTTGCAGTGATGAAAACCTTCAGAATGATTCCTACCTCGTTTCCTTGATGGATGAACAAGGATGGGTTCCCACAAAAATTATAGCCGACTTCAAAAGGGTATAATTCGCAACACGAGCTTAACTTGCGCAAATGCGTTGCTTTTAGTTTATTTATTCTTACTCGTGAATTACAGGTTAAGATGATGACCATGGATGTGGAGTTTATTGTCTATGCGTTGGGATTTTCTACTACTGTTGAAGTTGAGGTCAGTCTACCATTAGCCACCTTGCTTGTTTTTGTAGTAACTAATAACCAGCATTTTTCGATCTTTTCTGGTTTAAATGATAAGGTCTTGCATTTGTGAACGGGATTTGTTACTAACACATGTTGGCGGGTTTATATGAATTTCTTTGTAAAGTTTGTTTTCTTTGGTTGTATTGTATATTTCTACTGTGCTGAGGCTATCCCCAAGAAATGCTGGTGAAATTTATGTCTCTGAATAAATTTTAAAAGAAATCTCTTGACCCCTCTTCGATTGTTCACTAGGAACCAGTGATAGCACCATTTCTTTACCCCTCTCTATCTATTTGATCACAATTTGCAAAGCTGTTACTTTTACAGGGTGACAAGATACGCAGGCGCGAGATGTGGTCTAAGTGGGTTCCTGCATCTAAAAGGTCCGCCTCTGAGGAGAAAATTGGAGACAGTGACAAAGAATCCTCAGAAAGTATAACAAGCAGAGAATATTCTGGAAACCCTTCAAAGGGTACTTCAAAGTCTAGTGCGTTTGACTTCTCTTCAGAGGTAGAACTTTTGTCCTTTAATCAGAGAGATTCCGTAGAACTGCCGACTTTTGCTCCAGTAATAGCTTTTCTGTTGTGTTGTACAGGGAGCTCAGTCATCAAGAACCGACTATTATGAAAGTGATAACATGAAATCATCATCAGCCGAACAAAGAAAGGTTGATGTCTTGTCAAACGATTTTTCAGACACGTTCTTGCTTGATGAGGAAATAGATCTGGAGCACAGAATCCCGAGAAAGAGTGGACTTTCCATGTCCAAAAGGTTGTGCACGAAATGATTACTCTTGATACTGCTTTCAGCCCTCTTTGAAGGGCTTCTTTTGGATGTAAACCTTGAACTGCATGTAAAGTATTGGGGTTGATGAATTGGTTTATTTGACTTTCTGTAGGATTGATGATGAAGACGATGATATGGCTGTTGATGATCAAGATATTCAGAAACTTGTAATTGTTACCCAGGTATTACATGGAAATGTTAAACATTTACGTGAACTCTTTGTTGGCGGAATTAAGTATTCATGTTCTGTTGTATATGCTGGACAGAATAGTGGGAGAAGTGATGGCGCTGGAATCAGTGGGACGAGAGCAAAATACATACCTAAAGAGCTTGCCTCCACAATAAACGATGGTCTTTACTACTATGAGCAGGTTAGGTTTTTCTTACAGAATGATATGATTTTACCTCTTATAGAGTCGTATTTCTAAACACCAACCTGATGAAACAGGAGCTCAAAAAGAATCGATCTGGTCGTAGGAAGAACTCCCATTTGGATAGCAGTTATGGAAAAGTAAAAGCTCCGGGAGGATTGACCACTAAATCAGGCGAAACTTCGGTCGCAAATGATGGTGGGGAAGAGAATGGCATCGCTATTTCACGGAGGAATAAAAAAAAGGGAAGCCACAAACAACATATGTATCATGCACAGAGGTTCTTCGCGGGCAATACAAGGAACCATGGGGCTAATCACAATTCTCATGGAAGTATGATTTCAGAAAGTCCGCCTAGTAGCGCCATTGGATTTTTCTATGGTTCTACACCACCAGACAGTCATGGGTCGGTATCCTAGCAATTCCACGATATTCCCAACTCAATTCTTATTTTGTTCTCCCTTTTCATGTTTTCGATCATTTTGTTTGTGAAGTTTTCACAGCCCCAGGCTTTCGAAGTTGAGTTCATCGCCACAGTATACTCTTTCTGGCAGCAGTCCACCTGTGGGCTCTTTGCCAAAATCATTTCCACCTTTTCAACATCCGAGCCACAAACTGCTTGAAGAGAATGGGTTTCAACAGCAATTGTGAGTATAGTAAATCGGCTATACAACTTTGAGTATGGAGCATTAGTTTGTATCTTGAGGTCTTATGCTCTCATTCTTTTTAAATATATCCAAAGGTACATGAAGTTTCGCAAGCGCTGCTTACATGAAAGGAAGAAGCTGGGCAGCGGATGCAGTGAGGTCAGTTTCATGTCAACCTTCTTTCGATGATTTTTTCGCTCTCATCATACATGTCAAATGAAACACCCAATTACTGTAATATATGGAATTAATCAATTCATGCTTGCACATTAGTCTGAATTCTGGCTGTTCTGTTTGCAGGAAATGAACCATTTGTACCGATTTTGGTCGTTTTTCCTCAGAGGCGACTTTGAACGGTCCTTTTATGAAGAGTTCAAGAAGTTTGCTCTTGAGGATGCGGCTGAAAGTTACAATTACGGGTTGGAGTGTCTCTTTAGGTTTTATAGGTAATACCTGCTTCTCAGATGTGCCTCTGTTTCGCTTCTGATAAGCTCTCTAGTCTAAACCAAATCTCACCAATATTGCTCTGGCCTATGTCATCAGTTATGGTCTAGAGATGCACTTCAGAGAAGAAATCTACAAGGACTTTGAGAAGATAACACTTGACTTCTACCACAAGGGAAATCTATATGGCTTGGAGAAATATTGGTAAGTGCTCTTTTGTTATGATTATTATGATTGTTGGTAATAATGTCTTTAGAGTTTTGTGATTTAAAAGACCAAGTCCTCTCTCTTGTGTAGGGCATTCCACCATTACCGAGGCCAACAAGAACCGATAATAACGAAGCACCCTGAGCTAGAGAAGCTGCTAAAGGAAGAATACCGTAGCTTAGACGATTTCCGAGCAAAGGATGCAATCAGCAGCCAAAGAGAGAACAAGTCTCACTAATGCATAGACGAAGCAGAGACGTATGCTTTTGCCACTGAGAAAAGATGATCCATTAGATCTTGACCTAAATTTTGTGTGTGTACGTCTGTCTTCTTCTTCTGGGGAAGAGACCAAAGACCAACGAAGTGAAGCCATCATCATCACTCTGAATTTTTAAGGATAATTTCCGTGGTGGTGTTATCTTTTCTGGTATTGTTTTTTTCCTTTTGTCTGATTTTGATGCAGGGATCTGATCTCTTAAAGCACAAACAGAGCTTTGACTGAAGAGGCGCTCATCTACAGACAGAGATTCGCCCTCTCCCGAAAAGTTGTAATCTTTTTTTGTAATGTACAGATAGGGATTTCGTTTTTCTAATGACTCCAATTTTGAAAACTAGAAAAGAAAAGAAACAAAAAAAGATGAAGGTTATTTGTAGTGTGATAGTGTCTGTCTGTAGAAACAAATAAGAGATGGTTTACTATTGATCGTATTATTTCTTTTTTGCTTTTGTAAATTTCTGTCTTGTTGCTTATTTTTCCTATTGGCAATCCTTGTTTCTGCTCTTATCAAATCTTTTGCCGACTGCAAGTCCTTAGATCTTAGTTCCCTTCGTTCTCTGATTGCCAATAAACGCTTAACCACCATTTGAAAAATGTATTTTAAAGATATTTAAAGTTTGACTATGGTAAGTTGGTAACTAGTAATGCCATCATCGAAGTTACTCGACGACTTTTGTATGAACTTTATTGGTACAGCCTAAACAAATGAGTAACAATTATTTAATAACTTCAGTTCTACTTAAATCTGTGCCAAAACAACAGAAAACTTCAATCAACACGTTAATAACTTCAGTTCTACTTGATCTGTCCAAAACAACAGAAAACTTCAATCAACACGTTAATAACTTCAGTTCTACTTGATCTGTCCAAAACAACAGAAAACTTCAATCAACACGTTCCTCCGACAAAATTAGCTCTCAAAGAGCATCAAAGGATGATTAGTTAAGACATAACTCGTTAAAAAAGATGTATGATGAAAGGCAAGAGAATCAAATGCTACATTTATTTAATATTTCATTCCTGTTGATTGTTAATCCGCTGACATTTTACTTCAGCAATTTCAAACACTCGAGAACAAATTTCTTCACTCAGTGGTCAGTATAGAGTTAATAGAAATAACAGCTAATAATGCTAAAGGGCAAATAAGAATTCAATGACTTAAAATACCATATTGATTAAAAAGATCTGTCAACCAACCAACAAAACGCCCACAAAATCACTCACAAAACAAAGAGGATCCATCCAAATGTTTAGGTCGACGAAAAAACTAAGGCAGGCATCGACCCAGAGGAAGGAAGAGTCTTAAAGGGCATTTCAAAGTTCATTGGTACCGATCCGATCATAAGCAGAAATATTTATAAAAGTTTTAATGTCGATGGGAAGCAAGACATGTTCATTCAACAGAAGAACATGGAGCTTGCAACCGTATCGTTCAGCTTCGGCATTGGAGGCACTGGGACTGCTCCAGGTGTAGTGATCCCACCATGGCTCGATGACACCTCCGACATTTCCTCAAACTTCATCACGGTTCCCATCTGTGCAGCTGCGAGATGCGCATAGCATATCGGTGCAACTGCAAATCAACAAACAAAAAAACAGAGTCAGTGAGCAATGATCATGACAATGTATATGTTTATCAGCAGCAATGGAGATAGGATATGAGATTTACCAACTGAGATGGCAGTGGTGCTCCTCTGGTAGCTACAACCATCAAAAGAAGCCAATTCAAAGATTATTGTGTTAGTTTTGTAAACATTGCAACACTAAAAAGATAGAAAAGAGGTAAAAAGTGATTTGATTCTTACACATAGGACAATGAGTGCACAAGCTCCTGGAGATCATCTGTTGAGAACCCAATCTCATCGTAGAGCACATGGTAATGCGTTGGCCTTGTTGTTCCCTGCAAACCACAAGTTAAAAGCATCCATTTCATTATACATCCAAACACAGGAAAGTAATGTGTCAAATTTTTCATTCGTATCATAGCAAATCCGAGCATAGAGGAAGACTTGTCACTTACAATCATTCCAGCATGAGCACAAAGATAGAAGTCGTTGTTGTGTGGGTGGCAGATCTTGCTGTCAATTATTGTTCCTGCACGTCATATAGGATAACATGTTTCAGGTCGTTTCAGTAACATCAATTCATAACAATCACAATCACAGTTACAGAAATGGTCTAATTATAACCTGGAGAAACATTGTCAGGTCCTCTGGTCTGGAAGAACTTGGTGTGGTGGTTTTTCTGAGCAATCACCACTGTAAACTTGGGATCCCACTTATCGTCAAGGAACTTGCACGCCTAATAATGTAGCCACAATTTCCAAAAATGTAACTCCATTAGTGTCCACAATATGTTACGAAGAGCTTAAAAGGTTTGCAAAACCAAACATTTCTTACCTGCATCATCTGATCCAGCTCAATGTTAAGAACTTGGTTAAACTGAGATTCGCTCACACCATCCCTACATGTGTAATTATTATTAGCAAGACTGTATCAAACAACTTTCACAAGAATCTCTAGATTGTAGAAGCATTACCTGAAAATGATAATGTGCTCGGGTTTCCTCTGCCCTGAACTTGCGTAGAAGTCGACCAAGAGCTCCTTGAAAATTCCTTCATCTTTGCCATCGACGAGCTTGAAGAGGTTATCAATCATTTCCACTTTGCGTGACTGTGTACGCACACAAGCCCTGTATCTTGAGATCAATGGCCATGCTCTGGAGCTCACAACCTACGCATATTGCACATTTACAAAAATCAAAATCATGATTAGTTTGACATGAATACACAACACAAAGACAAAACATTAAAAGCAAAGTTACGTACCGCAGCAATAGATGGAACATCAGACTGTCCTGGAGAACCATGTGAAACGTCCATTCCGACTATGATAGTTGGAACTTGAGTAACTTTAGGCATTGCTGGGGAGCGCTCCATAGCCAACATAGAGTTCAATCCACCAAGCTATACAGAAATGGCAGAGATTAAGATAATTGATTGTGTCAGAAGCTACAAAGTAAAAAAGTTGGAAGTTATAAATTCAAAGGGATCATCAGTTATAAATTCAAAGGGATCATCTTCACCTTAGCATTTATCTTGAGGAGAACATTGGTAAGATACTGATCGTTTACTCTTGTGGGAGCAATACATTGAGTCACAATTCCTAGATCAGAAAGATTCTTCTTTTTCCATGGGCCTAAATAATTGAGAGAAAACATATGAAAAGAGATCACCATCACATTTGCATTCAAGGGACAAAAACAGACTCTATCACAAAAACATACCATAAACGTCCGAGTTTTTCCTCTCAGCGAGTATGCAAAGAAGGAATAGAGGCTTCCCGGGGAGTTTGGATTGTATGAGCTCGAACATCTTTTCTACTCTGATAGTAGCAGGTGCACGCCTAAACTCTGGGTTTTCGTCAAAGACGTCTTTGAATGGAGGCTCTACGTTCTGGGATCAAATGAAAACAAAAACCAATGGAAGAGTTAAAAACGAGTGGTGCATGTGATTGTGTTTCTATACTAAGCAATGATCTAAGAAAGCTTACAATTCCTTTCATCTGTCCACATCTCATCAAATCACGAATAAGCCCACGTGTATCACATCGAGCAGAGAAGTTGACAACAGCCCATTTAGTAACCGTGGTTGGCTCAACAAGTTTCTGCAAAAGAATTTCTACAAGTATCAGGCAGGGGTTTTCGTAAATCTTTTAAGCAACAAAAGCAGAAGATAGAAGATCTACGAACCTTATTATTGAAGTTCCAGCGCCCATTGCGAGGGAAAAAGTCCTCTCCGTTACCCACTTTCAGCTGTTTGGAAACAAGGACAGAGACTATTAATATTAAACCTTCAAGAAGCAAACAGGTAGAGATAAAGCAAGAGAAGCAACGAAAGTCACCTTTGGTGCAGGTAAAATGCGACCCTCCACTTGCGTAAAGTCAGAGCCAATGGTGACACCACTTTCTTGCAACACAGGGTCAGCTCCGTAATTGCTGTTCTTAAGACCCTGCAAGATGAATCAGAACATAAATTGATGTAAACAGAAAACACTTCAGAGTCTCAAAGATAACGGTAAGATACTTACTGTGGTTAGCGAAGTCATCCTCTCAGGTGGCTTTTGCCTAGACTTTTCTACTAGGGAAGCCCTCTGAAGATTGGTAAGCGATCTTGTGTAACGCTGTAGAGGCACAAGTTTACAAAGCTGCAAATTTGAACAACCAACAAGAAATGTCAGAAGCAGTTAACATGAAAAATGTGGGAAAACAAAAACAGTTACTTAAATTACCTCAATGGGGATGTAAGTTGGACGCTTCGGCTTGCCAACATTGATGCAAGGCATGTCACCTGAGTATCGCAGGTCAATTCTACGGTCATGGAAGTATTGTAACACTGTTGTCTCAATCTCCTCAACTTCCCCGTTATCTTTTTTCAGATTCCGAGTAAACCTAAGGCAACGTAACAGATACTTCAGAATGAACTTCAAAGCAATATAGACATGAGATCAGATGATACCAAACTATGACATACAATTGATGTTTGCAGAGTTGTTCGCTGAGTCCGGTTATCTTGTATTCTCTGTTTGAAGGGGCAACCGAAACCCTCAGACTCTTGAGTGTACGTTTAGCCTGATGAGAGAAAATCAGATAACTGGATAAGTACTTCTCAAAGAGGCTAAACTTCAGATAAATTTTACAGCATAAGAAAGAAGATGATTTACCTTGTTCCAGTCCAGAGAGGCTGGATTTTTCTGATTCTGATTCGCAAGTAAGAACTCAAGAACATCACCAGGTTGTACAATCATCGTAGTTGAAGTGTCTGAAGAAAAGCCAAAGCCAAAATTAGAAGTGTTCATGGCCAAAATGTTACATTGAAGAATCTAATGCAAAATCAGTCTAAAAACGAATTACCAATGTTCAAGGATAAGCCGCCCTGAGTAGTTCTAAAGCTTGAATGGTACCCTCTGCAACCAATAACACCTCCACCGATGGCTACAAAGTTAGCTGCGTCATTGTGAAAAAAGGACTGGCGGACAAGGAGGCAACCTCTGCAAACAGAAATGAGCAAATGATCAATAAGACAATGGACACTTTATTTTGAAAGAGAACTATCCGGAAATCAACTTACTGCCTAGCTGCACTCTGGCGCAAAATAATATCCAGAACTCTGATAGCATCTTGGAGATTCTCTGTTTCCTTTCCTTGAATAGCGCTTGGAATAGCCTGCATTGGGATCTTCGCAGCATAGCTTATCTCAACCAAGAATTTCTTGGACTGGTTGGGACGCCTTGATCTTTTCTTGTCTCCGTCATTGGTTTCTTCCGGGCTAGCATTTCCAGTGTTGTTTCTGCAAATAAAGAGAATATCAAAGCGTTATAGTATTTGAACAACAAGAGCCAGAAAGAAACGGAAACAACCAATCAAAAGAAATCGAATTTCGCACCTGCTAGAAACCGCTTCTTCAAGAACAACAGAAAAGTCAAGCTTGTTGCTGGGAAGAGCACCAACAGTGAACAGAGTCTTCTCACCATCATAAGCAAAGTATTTGGAACCCAGTTCACTCTTGTACGTCTCCTGGACTCTGTCAAGAATCTTTCTGCCAATGCCTTTTGCCTCCACTGGACGGCCATCTTCGTATGTGATAGCAACCTTTATCCAATATCATAAACAGAAACCCAACCTTAGTGTTAATACTTGTGGGTGATAGTAACAGGATTCAAGAGAACAAACATATACGTACACTGTAATGGAAGAAGTGACCGCTTGCTTTGTTGAAGCCAACACTGAAATGGTTAGTAAGAAGAGGAATCTTCTGGCCTTTAGTCCCGCAGCTACGGCGAGCCATTGGGAGAATGGTCTTCTTCTTCACTGGCTCCATTTCAGGAACCACACTTGGAGGGATAACAGGCGGAGGAGGTGGTAACGCCTCAATAGAATCCATATCTGCACTCTGCAGTACAAAAGTCACGAGTCAGAAAGAGATTGCATCAAAAAATATATCAAGCAAGCAGTGTGTTTAAGCCAGATTTATCACAAATTTTTCAGTTTTCTAATGCTTAGCGAACAACCTAAGCCAATAGAGAAAGAGACAACGATATCAACCGAGAAAACAAACAGAATCAAGCTTCACAGATTCGAAGAACAGGGCACTAGCGATGAAAACTACAGATTCGAGGAACAAATTAGTCCAGGACCAAGTACAAGCATCACATAGAAGAATCAGATCTCTCAAAAGAAAGCAAAGCCATTAGCGAAAATCTTCAAGCGAAGGGAAACGCAAATTAGATGCACCAAGTACAAAAGTTCAGCAAAATAAAACTAGAGCATCTTATATAAGCAGGATGAAGATATATGACATCAAAAATGGAGAAGAAGAAAGAGCTGTACGTGCACATGAAGATATATGACATAAAAAAAAATGACCACTAAAAAAAGCGAGTGTGGGTGAAGCAAGAGAGAGATAGAGAGTTTTATAGCGAGTAAAAAATGTAGGAGAAGACTAAGAACACCAAGCAGCTAAAGGAAACCCAGAAAATTTTCTCGGAAAATGCAAATATTTTTTTTAATAAAGGAAAGGCACACGACAAACATTTATTTTCCCAGATGGATCTGAGAGAGAAAAAAAAAACACAAAAACTGGGTAGAAAACGATGAAATCGTGTAAGGTTACTTGAAATCAGGAAAATCCAGCTGATGAGCTAACATAAACAAACGGTATTGTGACCCAAAAGTAGAAACGCATGGAAAACAAAAAAAGAAAATTCGGAAATCAGCACGCAAAATCACTAGTTTGGAGCTTTTAGCAGCTGAAGAAAACAGCGAAGAAGCTAAAAACAGAGCTCACGGAGCTAAAATCGTTCGGAAGCAAAAGGGGAAATCAAAAATCGAAGGGATGAAAACACTAACGATGCATGGAAAATCTAAAATTGAAGCTGCAGAAGAGTTAATATGCAGACATTGTAAGATCTGAGTAAGAAAATATGAAGAAATCGGCGAAGAAGTAAACCTTTGAGCTGGGAGATGTGGAGACGAGAGAGAAGGTGAAAGGACTGAGAAACCCTAGCTGAGCTCAGGGAGAGATATTTAAGGAAAGGAATAGGGACGTGTTTGGTGGTTCACTAAAAACTCGCTGCTCTTTCCTTTACACTATAAAACCGCAAACGCAAGATTTAGTACCGTGGGACCCACTTTCTCCTTTTTGGATTTTTATTAAATTATACGCCCCCATCAATCCATCATCCCCATCCATCAATATTCTTTTCGTTGCATCGTGTCTTATCAAATTACATTGCTACTCGTCACGTCTTTACTTTTTTATTTTAACGAAATTAAATTTTTACTTTTTTATATTTTATTGCTACAAATAATTACTTTATTTCTGTCAAACGAAAAATAGTTACTCTATTCAAGAGGTGTACCGTGTACATGGATCAGAGATATTCGTATGGCAACATTGATCTTGGTCCAAGTTTGAAACACACGGATTTAACATTTTGACTACACATGACACTGTATGTATATATGAATCTTGGAAAAGCAACTTGGTCGTTTGAATAACAATTTTTTTTCTACATTTCAGTTCTTCTTTACGTTATTCTCTATATATATTATGGACCTGGTACTAGATTACTAGTAATTTACTACTACTATATATACCCCATATCTTTCTCCTCTTCCACATTGCAAAGGTTGAGTCTTAAATACTTTCATTTATGAATATCTTTTAAGTCCATAATGCATTGATGAATGATGCTCACATGAAGAAGTCTATGAGTCCGCAAATAAATGTTACTGTCCGTTACAAGAAAACAACTGCTAATGAGAACAAGGAATTATCTCAAAATAGATATTATCACAAATCGTTATCACTTTATTTTGAAATTTGAATATACAAACAAAAGCGTGACAAGTTTACAGTCGGTTGTACGTAAGTTCTCAGTCCTGTAAATGCCAAATAAGGTAGTAGTAGTAATTTAAAAACAAAATAATGAATGCTACGACGCGCAGGTAAAACGAGGGCGTGTTTTAGCAATGCGCAATGGTGGGTGTGTCGTCTTGTGACCCTTTTATTTGCCGTAGACAAATTAAAAGGATATATTATTTTCGTTCGATGGGATAGTAATACAGATATACAAGTGTTTCTGATAAGAATATTGGTTTAGTTCCGGTTATCTTGGTTCAAGTTTGAACCACGTATTTAACATTTTGAATACACATGAAATTTGTATGTAGTCTTGGAAAAGTAACTTAGTCGTTACCCTTTGGATAACAAAAATATTTTCTAGATTTCGATTCTTCTTTATGTTATTTTCTATATGTATTATGGACCTGATTCTAGATTTTTTATTTATTACTACTACTATATATATACCCCACATCCTTCTCCTCTTCCACATTGCAAAGGTTGAGTTTTAATTACTTTCATTTATGAATATCGTTATATCCCATAATGCATTGATGAATGATGCTCGCATGAAGAAGTCTATTAGTCTGCAAATAAATGTTACTGTCCGTTACAAGAAACAACTAGTACTAACGAGAACAATGAATTATCTCAAAATTGATATTGTCACAAATCGTTACCACTTATTTTGAAATTTGAATGTACATAAGCGTGACACGTTTACAGTTGTTCGTACGTAAGTTCTCAGTCCTATGATCCTATCTTCACATTTTACCCCCAAAAAAAAAAAAATCTCAGTCCTGCAAAAAACAAATACGGTAGTAGTAAATAAAAGACAAAATAACAATTGCTCTGTGCCTCTGTGTACGACTACGACCTGCAAGAAAAAACGAGGGCGTGTTTTAGCGATGCGCAGAGGTGTCTGTCGTCTTGTGAACTTTTATTTGCCGTTCCTATGATCTTCTCTCCCTTCTTTAAATGAAAAGCAAGGTGTCGTTTTCATGAATAAAAGCATGCTATTTAATTTTATTTTGCTTATCATTAAAAAGTCTGCTATTTTGATTATTTATTTTAATACATAAAATAATGGTATTATCCAGCTCATAACAGTTTTGTATTTTGATGGATTTAATCTCACTCCGTCAAATTTTCCGTCTACTACTTTCCGTCCATCAAATTACAAGAAGAGACTCTCTCTTTTTTTTTTTTTTTTTTTTTAACCGTGGGGATCCTAAAAACTTTTTAGACCCAAAGATTAATCTCACGAGGTCCACGGCAATCCGCGTATTCTTACGATTTAAGGCAGCCCGGGTGGTCAAGGAGACTCGAACTCAAGTGGCGGAAGTCACAGCTGTGACCCCTTTACCACTGGGCCACGAGGCCTTGGTTAGAAGAGGCTCTCTCCCAAGATAATGATCATAATTTACATGATAAGATAAAATGGCGTCAAGTTGATATATCCGAAAAAAAGAATAGTGTCGGGTAAAATTAGGTTGGTTTTTATCATAACATCATCATGGTAAAATTAGGTTGGTTTTTATCATAACATCATCATAAGTGAAAAACTTATAGATCTTAAAAATTTGCCCAGAGGAGTTTCATCACTTCAAAGAGAGTTGGATTGTTGATTTGAACTGTGCAAAGTATTTTTTAGCATAACAATGTTCAATGAAATTTGAGACAAACTATTTCAATATGGTGAAGATGGTGTTATCATCAGTATAGTGACAATGACCGGCTTTCCCGATATTATTGAAAGAGATAGACAAATACAAGAAATATTATTTTTTTGAGTTCCATCATACACATTTCACACACAAACAATACTAAGAGGGACAGAAAATTGGTCTTTTGTATGAGTAGATTAGTTTGTATAACTATACATATGGTAGAAAACTAAAAATAAAGGAAATTTCAAAATTACACATTTTTGGTGCAGTTTTTCAAAACTACACATTTATAGTGTCTATTTTCAAAACTACATTTTTTTCATTGAGTGAAACAATTCTAAACCTTAAAATCTAACCTTAAACCCTTAAATCTAAATCTTAAACCCAAAACCTAAATCTTAATTAGGTATTAGTGAACCAAACTTAGATGTTAAATTTCTAAAAAGTGTAATTCTCATAGAGGTGTAGTTTTGAAAATTAACACCCCATAAAGTGTATTTCTTAAAATTTCTATTAAAAACATAAAAAATAAACAAATAATTTTCAAGAAAAAATAAACTTTGCAGTTATGAAAAATTTGATGGCATATCATATTATTTGATCAAGAGAAAATTAGTTTGCTTTTGAGCAATTTATCTTTTAGTAGTTTTTTTTTTGAAATTTCATTATATTTCATGGTCAGATTGCAATTAAAATGCGACAAGATTGCAATTACCACGAAAATCGCTTATACCATCAGTCCACTGCAACAAAACAAGAGTAAAGATTTGGCCGCCGGGTTGCACAACAAATTAGTGTATCAGAAAAAGCTTAATTAAAACACCAAGTTAAGATTGACTGTTCAGCACAACAAATATACAAAATTTATTGAGATAGATTATTCCGATGTCGTGAAGATGATTTCTATATCAGAAAAGTGGTCTCAATACTATTGAAAAAATAGACAAATGCAATAAAGAGTTCTACTTTTGTTTTGATCACACACATCCCATATATGACTACCAAAAACAATAATATTTGTCGAGGGTTTCGACAATGCTGAAATCGGAGCTAGGAAGTCTTCATCTCTTGTGATGACCAATATGATTTTTGCTTCCTCGTAGAGTACATTTGTGAACATACATATCATTGCAATCATGTCAGCTTGATCGATAGTTCTCATGATAAGTTTTGAAAAACAAAAAATATCACATTAGTTTTATCCAACTGTTTTGTTTTAAAAATACATTTAAAAAGTAACATTTTTACCGTCGTGTGCGTCCTAAGAACGGGAATTTACAATCCTAATTGGACAGCCTGAATTTATGTTCTCGGCTAAGGTACAAAAGTGTTCAAGATCTGGAACAAAGCTAAAGCTAAGCACAATGGCCTAATTAGCACCATACGGTGGACTCATTGTAATAACACGTCGATTAACCATCTTAAGGGAAATTTCAAAACAAACAAAAACTTTTCAATTAAAATAACTCTATAGTCATGAAAATTAGATGATGGATCATATTGTTTTATCAGAATCATATTGTTTTACCAGAAGAAAAGTAATTTGCTTTTGAGCAATTTGTCTTTAGTCGTTTTTTAATAATTTTAGTATCTTTCATGGTTATAAATTTATAATGCTTTTAAACTGGGACTAAATTGCAATAACATCGAAAACCGGTCTAACCAAAGATTTGGCCATTGGGACGCGCAACAAATTGCTGGAAAAAGCTTAAAACGCCAAAATAAAATTAAAATTAGCGGTCAAATCAATTTATTACATCATCGAGTCGATTCCCCTTCCCGCCATCTCTCTCTCACTCTCCCCCAGAAGAACCCTAGTTGTTCACAGAAATCCCTAACTTTTGCTAAAAGTGAATTTTGTGAGGATGGCTTCTCTAAACTGGAAGCACCACACGATAATTCAGGCTTTGATTTCACGGGGTCCTCTCAAGGAAAACGAATTTCATTCAATCTTCTCCGGCGTCACCGGTAGAAACCCAGGTCGGCCTCTCCTCTGATTTTATTTTCCCCCGTTCTGTGGCCTTTTTTTCTCGTTTTCTGATGAATAATTGAGTAACTTTAGTGGGTTTGCGCCCGTATGTATTCTCGGTGAATCAAAATCTGTAATTTACGGCAATGTTCACCCAATTTGATCAGCCACTATTCATATCCGGGAAACTTAACTGATGTGTATATCTGTTGCCTCAGACGGAATCGTGGGCATTACTGTTTTCCTTCCCTCTATGCGGTTTGCTTGAATATTGAATTCCTCTGAAGTATTTAGCTAGTTTTACATTTCCGATTTGCCGCTCATTGATGGGTTTAGTGGAGACTTGTTTTAACACTTGTTGTTTGCTGTATATGATGGATAACGGGTGAGATTGAATGAGTATACAGAATATGAGGCTATGATGTTTATCCGGAATTGAGTTGCTGGTTATCTTAATGTTGAATGTTAAAGGAATTTGTTGCTGGTTCATCAAACATTGTATTGATGATATTTCGTTCTTCTCTTTGTTGCAGGAGCTGCTAAGAAGATATTCGACAAGTACCTTCTTGAGATAAACAAAGAGCTCTCATATGTTAACTTTGAGTTGAGGGCTTGTAGAGATCAGTATGATGGCAAAGTTTGTTATGGAGTGGTTAACAATGTGGCCGATGAGCAGTCCAAACTCGGGACTATATATTCTGTGCCGCAGATTGCCTTCTTCAAAGGAATTGTAAGTCACCTTTTGACTCTGTTTCTGTCCCTTGTTGATCATATTTCTTTCTCCTTTGTATTGCATTCGTGCGTTAGCATTATTTGGATTTCCCTCTTTACTTTACTGGACTAATGATACATTTTTTATCACATGAAAAATCTGAATTGTCATTCTCTTTTCTTGCTATATATGTGCACTCAGATGATTATGGGTTGTGTAAAGTGTAGATGTGTGCTACTTTTTTTGTGACATTGATGGCTTTTACTTCTGGCAGATAGAAGCAATTGCACAGGATGAAGCTGCTCAAGGCTGCATTTCAGGCTTTGATGCCCTCAATATCCGATTGGAGAATCAGGTCAATCATAGTCCCTGACTTCTGTATTTTTACCTCTTCATCTCCTGACGATAGAAACCATCCATATCCTCTGTTCAATGTATTATTCATGGTTACTTAAAAACAGCCACTATCTTACAGAGTCACTAGAAAGAATTCTGTTCTGCATAATCTGAAATGATGAAATAACTCTGTCACACGTAGGCTTGTTGATCAAAATATCCAACTCTTGAGTTATTTTCTTCTTGTGTTGTATTATATAGAGTGTTTCATCCCCGTTTGTGACTGTGGGATCTTTATGAAAAACGAATCTCAAACTTCTCTGCATTTCACTTCTGTCTGTTTGGTAAAGGAAACTACTTGAGATCTTAACTAATTTACCAAATTTTTACTGTTTCTATCCATTTGGTTGGACCATACGATCTGTATGAGATAGAATCTTAGATGATGATTAACTTTGTCACACCTAGGCTTGTTGATCAAATATCCATGCACTCTTGAGCTATTTTCTTCTTGTGCTGTATGATAAAGAGTGTTCATCTTCGTTTGTAACTGTTGGATCATTATGAAAAACGAATCTCAAACTTCTCAGTGTTTCATTTCTCTGTTTGGTGAAGGCAACTACACTTGAGATCTTTCCTAAATTACCAAATTTTTACTGTTGCTATTCATTTGGTTGGACTATATGATTTTCTTAGTCTCTTTGTCACGGCTGACAGATTTTGTTTAAATATCTCAGTTACCAAGTGAAGCCAGCAGCAGTCAACAGCAAGTCCCCACTGCATTCAAGAACTTCTCAATGTCGCAAAAGGATAAAACTCTCGATGAACTTGTGAAGGACAAATGGCTGTGCCGCACAGGAGAAGGCAACATCGGACTTGGTATAAGATCTCTTCTCGACCTGCGCAGTTGGTTCAGGAACAATGATGTTCCTTCTTGTGAGGTCTGCAATGAAGCTGGAGTAAAGGTCTGCGTTCTGAAGAAACCTGTTATAATTCACATAAAAAAGAATTATCACATATTTGCTGCTGATTTCGTATCTGATGGTTTTGTTTTCTTGACACTCTTTACCAGGCGGATTTGTGTCCAAGCGAAGGTTGCACTGTCCGGATACACAAGTACTGCCTCAAAAACCTGTTATCTCAAAGGGTAAACACAGCTTCTTTAGGTTTTGTTCAACCCTAATGGTGTTTTACTATGACTGATCACATCAAAAGTGCAGGATGATAAAGTTTGCTCTGGCTGCGGTAAGCCGTGGCCTTTGAGTAGAATAACAAAAGAAGAAGCTGTTGAAGCCGCAGCGAATGATGAGGAGGAGGAAGACGAGACACAAGCCACAGCTCCAAGGTCTAAGAGAAGAAAAGTTAGGAGCCAGAGAGATTCAGCTGAAAATGGTTCTTCTCAAGCTTCTTTATCCTCAACTAGTGGTACCACTGGGAGAAGAGTGACTCGTAGCGTTGCAAACTTGAGGTAAACAGAAGCTTTTTAAGAGCTCAGGTTTTAGGGCTTAGATGTATATTTTTGGATTCCTGTTTCTATGTCCAAGCATCATCGGAAATTTGGTCTGTTTTAATCTAATTCCTCTCTTGGGGATGGAGTTAAAACTTAAAACTCCTCGGCTTTAAGTCTACCATATATATTTAAGGGTAATTCCGATAATTACATACGATACAGTTCTGTGGGGTCTTTGATCAATGATTAGTTTAGTTTCATTGGGAGGCTCTTGGAATTTGGGAGAAATCAGGACTCACAAGCATTTTTTTTAATTAAAAAAAAAATGTTTTAACGCTGACTGAAACCGGTCTAAACTCGCACAACTTCTCTCGCAAACAATATTTGAATCGGTCAAAAGACTCAATTACCATAAACTGGTGCCTGATTGTTATTGTTACTTTTTATTTCCGTGAGACTCTGTAAAGATATATTATAGCTGAATGAATGCCTTACACTGGAAGCAGATATGAATGCATTAGTATCCTAAATCTGTACAGTCCCCAAGTATAATACGCTTTGTGTGCCTTGTTCGTTCAATCAAAGTGGAGAATAAGTAATGAAATTAACATTTAGAAATTAAAATAATACAGAGGCTTTGATTTAACACTAGAATTCGAAAGAAGAGCTAGGTACAACGAAAACTTTGCATTGCCTCTGTTCTAACAGGTCAATCATAGAGGAGAACTCCCTGTCACGTACGACTTCATCTAATTTGGTTACTATGACCAGATTTGCTCGAGTAGGTTCCAAGTCCGTTTTCCATAAAAGGATGTCATGTAACATTCTATTACGTATCGCGGATTTATCCCCTGCAAATTATCAATATTGGAACTCATGAGATATAGTCTTATAGATTAAATAGATATATAAGAAAAGAGGAGCCGAAAAGAGTAAGCAAATAAAAGAAAAGAATCCATTCACCTCCTCCGGGAAGGAAGTAGATACTTGATCCCCAAGTCTTGTTCGTGAGTAAATCCCCACCCCAAGACCCTTGCTCGTCCTTAACATAAGCCCATACACTCAGCTCATAACCAGTAAAAGGAAATGCTGAATCTATTTTCTGATAGATCTTATCAGGAGTCCAACCAGTAGTAGGGATTGGGAAATCATCGAGGTTCCAGAACACAAACACGCCTGGCGTTGCGCTATTCTGGAATGTGATAGGCTCTAAACGAAATAAAGAGATACAAAATAGGTTAAATGATGATCCATTTATCTTACTATATATATGAGATTAGATCCAGCTAGTTAACTATGACAAAAACGAAAAAATTCGGAAGAGAGATCATCTTACTGGTGAAGTCTTGGATCTCATGGATATCTTTTATCTTTCTTCTCCCTCTCGTGATTTGTTTTCCTTGATATGCACCATCTGTACAAGCAAGTATTTCATTCGGACAATGAAGAAATAGAGCATCTTGTGGCAAGCCCTCATCAGGAGGCGGCTTTACTGAGAGAACATCGCAATGTCTCTGTTCCGAAAACGATTTAAGAGCCCAGTACTGCGGATCATCTTGGTCTGGTGTTGGGATTACCATCAAAGGTCCTGGATTTAACAAATTTGCGAAATGGTCCAAAGCCTTTGTATATAACCCTGAAGCAAGCAATATAGCATCAACAGATTACATTAGATACATATAATTAATAATAATAGGTAGAAACAACAAGAAACGAAAAAGAAGATTAGTAATTCACCGTGTCGTATGGGTATGATTCTGGCTTTTTTGTAGAAGTCACGTTGGCTGGGGTCCTGCTTCGGTATGTCGGCACCAAACGCCAGAATTTCGACACAACCATGATGGCCGAGTCGTTGAAAAGCTCCTCTGATACTAGAGCCAACAGGTAGGATATTGACTTGAGTAGGTTTTGAGTACTTGGCCACATCCCACAAGACGAATGCCTTGCTCTCACTACCGTCAAACAGAGAGGCGAGACTGCGTGCATCTTTGATCACAGGAGTAGTATCTCCCGTCCTTCTCCCTCCAATGATAGGCTTTCCTCCATCTAAATCTTGTGTACATTCAACTATTGACTCCCAAGATTCAGAATCAAAAAGAAATGGACCACCATGTGCATCAGGGTTTACTAACAGAATATTGTGATGTCTGGATTGTAAACCCTTGAGAACCCTGTGCAGCTCAGTTTTTGTGTCTGGTCCTGGGATTACTATAATATTTAGCGGAGACCACGTGTGTGCTCTGTAAAGAATGTCCACAGCCATCTCACCTGAATCAAGCAAAGCAATATATCTTGGGATTAATTATGTAATAACACGTAGAAACTACAAGAGTATTAGTTAATTAAGAAATAGTATTGAACATTCACCTTTTGGTTTGTGTAATATCTCAGACTTGTGCAATTGATCTTCGCTGTGTTTCATCCTGTCCCCGTAAGCAATTATCGTCTCACAGCTATGAAATCCCAACTTATCCAGAGCTAATCTTATACTCGTTTCAACCGATGCAAGATTGGCAGTAGTAGGGATTGGGTACCGCACCAAGTCCCAAAAGACATGGTTCTGCCTGCTAGCACAACCTTGACAAGGCATCAACGATGATTGATAGTTAATTTTTAACATATAAACGAATTACAAAACAAACAATTTCGGGTAATTAGGATATGGAGAGAGATCTTACTGGGGTACCCATAGAACGTGGTGAGATCTTCGTCATCTACGTCTAAAGGAGGGAGAGAGATCTCACTGGAGATATCTTCTTCGGCCATGGTTCGACGGAGAGAACTGGAGACTTTCTCGCTAAATTAGGGTTAGATTGTGCTGTAGGGATAAATAAAGATACTCGCCTTTCCTGCTTTAATCTTACTAGGTCTAAGCCCGCGCATCGCGGGTTGTGAGTATTACAACATTTTGACCCTTGTATATTTTGAATTGGAAATAATATATCTTTCCCACCAAATCATAAAGACACTGCGGAATAGGCGAAACAGAATCAGTAGTGTAGTCCCAGCTTCCTGTTGCACAAGTAAAGGAATGACATGTATATGTGGTGTTATGTTCACGTTTCAGCTGGAATAGGAAGGAGTTTATTTTAAAAGCGAAAGTGTTTGTGTTACCAATGTATTTGTAATGTCTTCAGCTGACTTGTTTGTGAGCTTGCGGGTGGCTCAGTCGAAGAGAACAAATATTGTTTGAAATCCCTCATCCTGAACCACCAGCGCTACTCGGAACCTGTCATCTCGAAGGAGTTAGCGTATCAATAGTCATTTAATTGGACTATATGATTTTCTTAGTCTCTTTGTCACGGCTGACAGATTTTGTGTTAATATCTCAGTTACCAAGTGAAGCCAGCAGCAGTCAACAGCAAGTCCCCACTGCATTCAAGAACTTCTCAATGTCGCAAAAGGATAAAACTCTCGATGAACTTGTGAAGGACAAATGGCTGTGCCGCACAGGAGAAGGCAACATCGGAATTGGTATAAGATCTCTTCTCGACCTGCGCAGTTGGTTCAGGAACAATGATGTTCCTTCTTGTGAGGTCTGCAATGAAGCTGGAGTAAAGGTCTGCGTTCTGAAGAAAACCTGTTAGAATTCACATAAAAAAGAATTATCACATATTTGCGGCTGATTTCGTATCTGATGGTTTTGTTTTCTTGACACTCTTTACCAGGCGGATTTGTGTCCAAGCGAAGGTTGCACTGTCCGGATTCACAAGTACTGCCTCAAAAACTTGTTATCTCAAAGGGTAAAACACAGCTTCTTTAGATTTTGTTCAACCCTAATTGTGTTTTACTGTGACTGATCACATCAAAACTGCAGGATGATAAAGTTTGCTCTGGCTGCGGTAAGCCGTGGCCTTTGAGTAGAATAACAAAAGAAGAAGCTGTTGAAGCCGCAGCGAATGATGAGGAGGAGGAAGACGAGACACAAGCCACAGCTCCAAGGTCTAAGAGAAGAAAAGTTAGGAGCCAGAGAGATTCAGCTGAAAATGGTTCTTCCCAAGCTTCTTTAGCATCAACTAGTGGTACCACTGGGAGAAGAGTGACTCGTAGCGTTGCAAACTTGAGGTAAACAGAAGCCTTATAAGAACTCAGGTTTTAGGGCTTAGATGTATATTTTGGATTCTTGTTTCTATGTCCAAACAATCATCAGAAATTTGGTATGCTCTTATCTAATTCCTCTCTTGTGGACCATTGATGGAGTTAAAACTCTTAGCCTAGAATATATTTAAACTGAAATTCCGAGAATTCGTTTTCATTCGCTATTACTTTCCAGGAGGTTGTGGTTTGTCCTTCGTGTAATTCTGGAATGTAGCATTTAACTAAGTATCCAACTGAACTTCTAAAAGTTAAGTTTTCTTCTAAATTTTTATTCGTTGTAAGATATCTTATTTGCTTTGAATGCATCAACGAAGAATTTCATGTTTCTGAAGAAATAAGAATCTTAAGAAGTTATTTGGCTGTATTATAGCTCTCAAAATTCAACGATTGAATCGAGCACGTACGTAATACGTTGAGCCCTTTCCAATTTGTAGCTAGTTTCCGTTAATTGGCTAATTGACGTATCAATTCGGACATTAATTGGCTAGGCTATGTTTAACAAATGGTATGTAAGAGACTACAGCACACAAAATCCTAGATCAAGTAACATGCTGAGGTCAAAGGACACAAAATCCTAGATCAAGTGTTAATTAAGCCTTCAATCCAAGCGGATAATAAGTGATAAAATTAACATTTAGAAATTAAAATAATACACATGCTTTGATAAATCCGTTGCAAATCATGTCAACAGTAGATCTAGTGTTTCAGTGAAAGACAAGTAATAAAGCTAACACTGGAAAAAAGAGCTCCCAGTTTCTACGATAACATTTTTAGACATCTTAGCCAACATTTCAAGCGCAGAGGAGAACTCCTTGTCAGCTATGATATTAGCTTCATTTGATACTATGACCAAATATACTGCTGGAGCAGGATGAGAGTCCTTTGTCCATAAAAGGATGTCATGTAACATTCTATCACGTATGGCGGATTTATCCCCTGCAAATTATCATTATTGGAACTCATGAGATGTAATATAGGAAAAGAGCAAGCAAATAAATAAAAGAATCCATTCACCTCCAACGGGAAGGAAGTAGATGCTTGATTCCCAAGTCTTCTTCCTCAGGAAATCCCCACCCCAAGACCCTTCCTTGTCATCAACATATGCCCATATCAACATGTTCCTCAGCTCATAACCATAAGCAAGAAATACTGATTCGATTTTCTCATATATCGCATCAGGAGTCAAACCAGTAGGGAATGGGAAATCCTCGAGGTTCCAGAACACGAACACGAACTGGCCTTCCGTTGCCCCTTTCAAGAATGTGATAGGCTCTAAACGAAACAAAGAGATACAGATAAGTTAAACGATCCATTATCTTACTATATATGAGATTAGACCTAGCTAGTTAAGAGAGATCATCTTACTTGAGAATTCTTGGATATCTTTCACCTCTCTTCTCCCTCTCGTGATTTTTTTGCCTTCATAGAAACCATCTGTACAACCAAGTATTAAATGTGCATTGTGTAGAAATTTAACATCTTCTGGGGTGCCTTCATCAACAGGCGGCGGCGTCACGAAGAGAAGATCGTAATGTCCCGGTTTCCGCAACAACGAATTAAGTGACCAGTCCGGACCGGAGAAACGAAGACACGATGGGTCTATTGTTGGGATTACCATCAAAGGTCCTGGATTCGACCGTAAGAAAAGTTGCCAAGCATTTTCATATAACCCTGAAGCATACAATATATCATCATCAACAGATTAGAGACATATAATAACAATAAGTAGAAACTTTGTTACCTAAGTAATAGTAATTCACCTTCTGGTATGCGTATGATTCTGGCTTTTTTGTAAGAGTCAGAATCGCGCCTCAACGTCAGTTTGTAAGCACCAAACGCCAGGATTTCCACACAACCATGATGGCCGAGTCGTTGAAGAGCTTCTCTGATACCAGTTCCAAAAGGTACGACATTGGCTTCAGTAGGGGTTATGTACTTGGCCAAGTCCCAGAAGACGAACGCCGTCCTCCCAGGAGCTTTAGAGACGGATTCAAACAGATAGGCGAGACTGCGTGCATCTTTGATCACAGGAGTAGTATCTCCCGTCCTTCTCCCTCCAATGATAGGCTTTCCTCCATCTAAATCTTCTGTACATTCAACTATTGACTGTCCAGAATCAAATAGAAATGGACCGTCATGTGCATGGGGGTTTACTAAGAGAATATTGTGATGCCTCGATTGTAAACCCTTGAGAACCCTGTGCAGCTCACTTTTTGTGTCTGGTCTTGGGATCACAATAAAATTTAGTGGAGACCTCGAGTTTGCTGCTCTAAAAAGAAGGTCCACAGCCAATTCACCTGAAGCAAGCAATATATCACAGAGATGTAATAACATGTGGAAACGACGAGAATGTTTGTTACGTAAGGAGTGAATAGTAATTGAGCTTCACCTTGTGGTAAGTGTAAGATTCTCGCCTTGCGCAAATCATCTTTGCTGTGGTTCATTATGCCACCATAGACAAAGACTGTCTCACAACTATGAAGTCCCATTTTATCCAGAGCTGCTCTGATGCTAGCTTTAACAGACTGAAGATTGGCATCAGGCGGGATTGGGTACTGCACAAGGTCCCAGTAGACGTGGTTCTGCCTCTCAGAAGAACCTTGACAAGACATCAACGATGATAGTTAATTTAGATGATGATAGATTACTAATTAATAGGAGGCTATATGGTCCATTAACTACTGTATTATTTTACTATAAAGTGAAGCAATCATCATCATAAACAAACAATTTCGGGTAATTAGGATATGGAGAGAGATCTTACTGGGGTAAAAACAGAACTCGGTGAGATCTTCGCCATCTAAGCAAACAGTTTCGTCTAAAAGATTGACAGAGATCTTACTGGAGATATCTTCTTCGTTCATGGTTCGACGGAGAGAATTGGAGACTTTCTCGCTAAATTAGGGCTAGATTGGCCCTACTATATTTAAACTGAAATTCCGATAATTCGTTTCTATTGCTATTACTTTCCAGCGGTGCAAAATTGTGATTTGTCCTTTGTGTATCCTGGATATTAGCATTTAACTCAAAATCTACCTGAAATTCTAAAAGTAAAGTTTTCTTTTATGAATATATATATACATATATATATTAATAAATATTCATTGTAAGATATCTTATTCACCAAATGCATGCATGATGCATCAATGAGAAATTTTATGATATTCTTATCACATAAGAATCTATCCCTTTTTTCATCGATTCTCTCTATAAATGAATATATTGTTACTTTTTATTTCCGTGTTCTTCTGCTCTACTATGTATATTCTTTGAGACTTTCTGTAAGGATATATTATAGCTGTTTTAGTGTTTGGTATAATATGAATGGATGCCTTACACTGGAGGCAGATATGACTCGGAAGGCATTAGGATCCTAAATCTGTACAGTCCCCAAGTATAATACGCTTTGTCTGCCTTTTTGTTCAATCAAAGCGGAGAATAAGTAATGAAATTAACATTTAGAGATTAAAATAATACAGAGGCTTTAATATAAATGCGTTGCAACAATGTCAACAGTAGATCTAGTGTTTCAACTAAAGGCAAGTAATAGAGTTAACACTAGAATTCGAAAAAAGAGCCAGGGACAACGGAAACTTTGTAATGCATCCGTTGCAACAGGTCAATGATAGAGGAGAACTCGTCGTCCTGTACTACTTCAGCTACGTTGGCTACTATGAACAGATTTGCTGGATCAGGTTCCACGTCCGCTTTCCATAAAAAGATATCATGTAACATTCTATTACGTATCGCGGATTTATCCCCTGCCAATTATCAATATTGGAACTCATGAGATATAGTCTTATAGATTACACATAGATATATAAGAAAAGAGTACGTAAATAAATAAAAGAGATATTTATTCACCTCCTCCGGGAAGGAAGTAGATACTTGACTCCCAAGTCTTGTTCGTCAGGAAATCCCCACCCCAAGACCCTTGCTCGTCCTTAACATAAGCCCATATACTCAACTCATAACCAGCACCAGGAAATGCTGAATCGATTTTCTCATAGATCGCATCAGGAGTCCAACCAGTAGTAGGGAATGGGAAATCCTCGAGGTTCCAGAACACGAACACGCCTGGCGTTGCCCTATTCTCGAATGTGATTGGCTCTAAACGAAATAAAGAGATACAATATAGGTTAAAATGATCCATTATCTTATTATACTCTATATATATGATTAGAGAGAGATCATCTTACTGGAGAAGTCTTGGATCACACGGATATCTTTCATCTTTCTTCTCCCTCTCGTGATTTGTTTTCCTTCAAAAACACCATCTGTACAACCAAGTATTTCATCCGGATAATGAAGAAATAGAGCATCTTGTGGCAAGCCCTCATCAGCAGGCGGCTTTACTGAGAGAAGATCGAAATGTCTCTCCCCCAAAAATCTATTAAGAAGCCAGTGCTGCGGATCATCTTGGTCTGGTGTTGGGATTACCATCAAAGGTCCTGGATTTGACAAATTTGCGAAATGGTCCAAAGCCTTTGTATATAACCCTGAAGCAAGCAATATAGCATCAACAGATAAGTAGAAACAACGAGAAACTAAAAAGAAAGAGTGTTTTTCAAGTAATAGTAGTAAATTCACCTTGTGGTATGCGTATGATTCTGTCTTCTTTGTAAAAGTCACGTTCGCTGGGGTCCTGCTCCAGTTGGTCAGCACCAAACGCCAGGATTTCCACACAACCATGATGGCCGAGCCGTTGAAGAGCTTCTCTGATACTAGTTCCAACAGATAGGATATTGGCTTCAGTAGGTTTTGAGTACTTGGTCACGTCCCAGAAGACGAATGCCGTCCTCCCAGGACTTTCAGACACAGAATCAAACAGAAAGGTGAGACTGGGAAAATCTTTGATCACAGGAGTATCATCTCCGGTTCTTCTCCCTCCAATGATAGGCTTTCCTCCATCTAAATCTTGTGTACATTCAACTATTGACTCCCAAGATACAGGATCAAATAGAAACGGTGCATCGGGGTTTACTAGGAGAATATTGTGATGTCTCGACTGTAAACACTTGAGAACCCTGTGCAGCTCACTTTTCGTGTCTGGTCTTGGGATTACCATAATATTTAGTGGAGACCACGTGTGTGCTCCATAAAGAAGGTCCACAGCCAATTCACCTTGTGGTAAGTGTAAGATGCGGGAATTGCGCAGATCATCTTTGCTGTGGCTCATTCTGTCACCATACGCAGTGATAGTCTCACAACTATCAAGTCCCAACTGATCGAGAGCTGCTCTGATATTAGCTTTAACAGATTTAAGATTGGCACCAGGAGGGATTGGGTACTGCACCACGTCCCAGAAGACGTGGTTCTGCCTCGTAGCACAACCTTGACAAGGAAGGCATCAACGATGTTAGTTAAATCCAAACGAATTACAATAACAAAATCTAAACAAACAATTTCGGGTAATTAGGATATGGAGAGATAGAGATCTTACTGCGGTACCCATAGAACTTGGTGAGATCTTCTTCGCCATCTAAACAAACAGTTTCGCCCATGGCTTCGACGGAGAGAACTTAAGTGGAGACTTTCTCGCTAAATTAGGGTTAGATTAGGCTTTGAATGGATGAGAGCGAGAGAGAGAGAGTGGGGTTTTATCGAGATCTGTCGTCTGTGTTTTTAGCCGTCAAGGGTGTAAGATTTCAGCAGGGGTGTAGATCTGTGGCATGTTTTCAACCGTCAGATCCATCTGTCCTTTTTTATCATCACGCAGAAGAGATAATCCCGCCTAGCTAAGATCTCTTTGATGAAGAAATATGATTACGATAGTGATGTAGTACACCTTAGTAACCGATAGGATTTGTGGGTTCGATAATTGTTTAGTCAAAGAATACCCAAACAATTTATCATAAAGCTTGTAAGAAAAGGCCATAACTAGAACCGACTGAATCTAGAGAAAGAAAAAAGAGTTATCGAAAGAGAAAGATAACATAAAACCAAAACAAGTTGAAAAAGGAAGTAGAAGCACGCTGCATCAGATAGCGATTAAGATTACGAAGAAGAGATAACCAATGCAAAATTATATATATATTAAAAAAAAAAAAAAGAGAATTCATCTTCCTATAAATTAGATTTTTTTAATATTACTACTCTCTCTTAGACCTCTAAATTACTAGCAGTCCAGTCGCCAAGATCCACTCATCCAACAACGCTTCCGTAAATCGATCGTAGGTGAACATATATGTCAATCTCATTTAGTCACTAAAAATCATGATATTTGAATTTAAGTTCTGGATTAAGCCTCTCGGAGAATGTGAGCTCGGGTTACTTATTTGAAACTGTTAATGAGGCCAAAAACAAACATGTTTCTGAGCATGTTTTTTTCTCGGTTTTTTCTATTGGTTTTTTATGAGAATGACGTTTTTCAATGTTCTTTCTATTAATTTCACTGAAAAATTGAATATTAATTTATGAAAGCCTTGGTTCAAAAAAAAAAAAAAAAGATGAGTATTAACAAAGCGATTTGCATTGGATTCTCCATTGATGTTTAGGTATTTGAAAGTTGTATCAGCTCACAGCTCCTGCTTTAGCACTTTTTCTGGTGTTTCATACAAAGGCTCCATATTGTGGGTATGAGGAAGGAAGGAAAGTTTGGTTTATGAAAATTGCTCGAACAAAAGATTTACCGAGGCTGGTGATTTGTTCCGTTGATAGCTCAGGTAATGAATTGGTCATAAAAGACTTTACTTTGGTACATTATTGCACCTTTCATGTGGCGTTTCAGGTAATAAACTATGTCTAATGTTGGCTTTGGGTACACAAAATCAAAATATAAAGATTAAGTTCCATTGCAAAGACAAAGGTCCATGAATTTAAGCCCTCATCTAATGGTCTTCATAGATTTTAATTTCCTATCATCGTGAGATGACAGTATGATGCACATTTTGTCTTCCTTGAGAGGGATTTGGAATATGTGATGGCTTAGGTTAGCTTTAATTTTTACGTATTGTATAAAAACACTTTTTACTAGTTCATACTTCATAGTAAAATGGAATATGTGATGGCTTAGGTTAGCTTTAATTTTTACGTATTGTATAAAAACACTTTTTACTAGTTCATACTTCATAGTAAAACTTTTTTTTTGGGGGGTAAAATCATAGTAAAACTTTTACTTTAACGTTTTATATATTCCTTGTGTATATATGTTTGTGTTGTATATATGCAGATTCCTTTACATAAGTTATAGGTTTCGGACTTCGGTCAAGAAACGCTGTTATACAATCTTTCAATGATTTAGAACCAATCAACAATATCTTCAACAAAATTCATTACCCCTACTATTATGTTGTTTTCCAGATTACGAGTAACATTGAATTCATCATCAATGGCAATTCACCAAGTCGTTTAATATATATATTATTACTATTGAGTTGTAAAACAAAACTAAACACAAAATGATACAATTTTTTATAACATCTACAAAACCTAAATCCAAAAATTTCAAAAGTCAAATTGTGAAACCAACTGTTCATATTTAAAAAAATTTTAAGAGAAAACAAATTCACTCCCGCAAAACCAAGGAATTGTTGCAAAAATAATATGTGAACTGAAGTCTAATGCAAATGTAACTTACATTTTGTCCATTTTAATTACATTCGTTCGTCACTGGTTCACTCATACATTATTTGTTAGTGTTCGCTTGAATGTGAAGTTAGAGCATGTTTAATTCGTTATATGCATGCAGATTGAAAATTTGGCGGTGAGATTACATAAATGCCCTAAAATTTTAAAGGGCTTTCGATCTTCGTTCGTCACAGGTTCACTCATACATTAGTGGCATCCACATTCGCAGTCAAACCCCTCTAGCCATTTTGGAGTGTATGACAAGATTTTGCTTCGGTGGTGGTCTTGTTCAGGTGCAACATGACAACGAACGATGATGCTAGAGATGGACCGGATTCTGAGACATGGAGGACGTACGTGTATACATAAGGGATACAATCAATGTGATGAGTGTGCTTCAAGAGATTGGAAACGCAAGGAGGTGGCACACGACCTTTCGTGAAACTGCTGAAGGACATCACGCAAGTTGCAGGGTTCTCTTATGCGAAAAGCGGTTTGAATCTTCCGATAAACCTCAGCCTCATACCAAGAAGTAGGGGAAGAGTAAAGGAAAAAGAGCTTGACATTTTCACATACACAAGAAGGGTTTGGTGATACACTACTATACACACGATACGCTTTGATCAATGATTAGTTTCATTGGGAGGCTCTTGGAATTTGGGGGAAATCAGGACTCTCAAGCAATTTTTTTTCCAATGTGTCCTCTTCTTATCTTTTTTTTCAGAAGAAACATGCAGAGGAGAAGGAACGGAATACTTTTTATTTCCTTGTTCTTCTGCTCTACTACGTATATTCTTTGAGACTTTCTGAAAAGCCCCGATATACTATAGCTATTTGGCAGAAGCATGACCCTAAGTAAGCCCCGATAGGACTCGGAATGCATTGAGAGCATCATTATTCGTAGAGATGCATCTCGTCTCTTAGCTATATTTTATCAATAAAATTAACTTAAAAACTCTAGTAAGAGACATTTGTTTTTGGCTACTCCAATGGTAGTTCTTGTAAGAGACCTTTGTTTCTTTTATTCACAAAGCTTATTCGAAATCAGGTCCTTCATTACTCGAAACCACGGCATCGGTTGCTGATCAGTATGGCGATGACTTCCGCTTCATTTCCTCTTCCCGATTTCGATTGCATCTCTTCAATATCAGGTCAACAGATATGCTATTAACCAACTCGAAATCGAAACAAGAATAAACAGAAATTCATCACTAAAACCGTATAATATATAAACTCGTCAACCAGCTAAAAATAGCAATTTCTGGGATATTAAGCAATCCCAAAATCATAATTCACAAGTTATGATCTTAAAGAAAACAGAGGATTAAGAGTGTAATAAAAATGACCCTGAATTAGAGTAATAACAGGTAGAGAGAGAGAGAGAGATACCTGAGAATTCACGCAATGGCCTGAGCAGAGCTTATGGCAATCTTCATCCGCTTGGTCCAATCTAAAAAACCAATCAGATAGCAAAATCATCTATCAACAGCAGAACAGCTAAACTCATTACTATCCAACACAACCTTTCTTCACAGAAATGAAATGTAAGAAATTGGCCTTTTCTATCAGCATAGAAGCTAAGAAAGTTCATCGCAAATCATGAAACTCGGTTTGTCTATGCCTTATCTTCATAATCTTTTTTCCTACATTCAGTGTGACATACGAAAGAGCCATTGAATATCATATAGATTAGTCATCCTAGAAAGGGCTTTGGTCAATCAATTCTTGCTAGTAACAACACAAAGATATAAAGAACGCAAACCCAAATAGCAGAAACAAGAACAACCATGACTATATATTCATACCCGAAACGTTTTTCACTAATTTTAGCCAGCCATTGATGAACTCACCCAGTTGACTAAGTGGTAGAAATCAAACTATGAGCAAACACTGTCGTAGTCTAGAGCAATCAAATGCAGATGATAAAGCGATTTACAGTTTTCTCTTTCTCAGGAACTTGAGCTTGTAAACTGCATGAGAAAACGGGAACAAACAACGATGAGAAAAATACAGCAACACATGGACCACAAAATTGAAAAAAACACACAAGAAGAAGAGAAGAAAATTAGCATAGAATGAAATCAATCGAGAGAGATAAAAATGCTTACACCAAAGATAGACTTATTTTTCTTTGCAAATTGAGGATTGAGTCAAATTCTTAGCAAAATTCCAAAATTCAGCAGCGGAAGCTCCCTCCGACACAAAATTGGACCCGCGACGGTGCTTAGCGGAAGCATCCCTCCTGTTCATCTTCTCCCTTCACCAAAATTCATCTCAGATTAGTTGGCTCGAGAGGAAGAACGCCGGTTTTTTTTTGTCACTTGACACGTGGCACTTAGAAGACGTCGCTAAATATCGCTCAACATCGCTTATATAAACGACGTTTTCTTCCTTTTATTTTCTTTTTGATTTAAAAAATGGCCCCATTTACCTTAGTAACAGACTTAAGGGACACCGATAATGAAGCTCTGAGAATCCTAAATTTGTACAGTCCTAAGAAATACGCTTTGTGTGCCTTCAATCAAAGCGGAGAATAAGTGATAAAATAAACATTTAGAAATTAAAATAATACAGATTGCTTAGATATAAATCCGTTGAAACCATGTCAACAGTAGATCTAGTGTTTCAATGAAAGACAAAAAAGTAATAAAGTTGACACTAGACTTCGAAAAAAGAGCTCCCAGTTTCTATGATAACATTGATGTTCATATGAGACAACAGTTCAAGCGTAGAGGAGAACTTCTTGTCAGCCATGATTTTATCTTCATTTGATACTATGACCAGATGTGGTGGAAAAGGTTCCACGTCCTTTGACCATAAAAGGATGTCATGTAACATTCTATTACGTCTGGCGGATTTATCCCCTGCAAAATTATCAAAATATTGGAACTCATGAGATATAGTCTTATAGATTACATATATAGATATATAAGAAAAGAGTAAGCAAATAAATAAAAGAAATCCATTCACCTCCAACGGGAAGGAAGTAGATACTTGAACTCCAAATCTTCTTACTCAGGAAATCCCCACCCCAAGACCCTTCCTTGTCATCAATATAAGCCCATATCGACAGGTTCCTCAGCTCATAATTAAAAGCAAGAAATACTGATTCGATTTTCTCATATATCGCATCAGGAGTCAAACCAGTAGGGAATGGGAAATCCTCGAGGTTCCAGAACACGAACACGAACTGGCCTTCCGTTGCCCCTTTCTTGAATGTGATAGGCTCTAAACGAAATAAAAAGATACAGATAGGTTAAATGATCCATTATTTTACTATATATGAGATTAGATCCAGCTAGTTAAGAGAGATCATCTTACTTGAGAAGTCTTGGATATCTTTCATATCTCTTCTCCCTCTCGTGATTTTTTTCCCTTCATATACACCATGTGTACAACCAAGTATTAAATGTGCTTTGTGTAGAAATTCAGCATCTTCTGAAATGTGTCGAAATTTAACATCTTTTGGGGTGGCCTCATCAACAGGCGGCGGCGTTACGAAGAGAAGATCGTAGTGTCCCGGTTTCCGCAACAACGAATTAAATGACCAGTCCGGACCGGAGAAACGAAGACACGATGGGTCTATTGTTGGGATTATCATCAAAGGTCCTGGCTTCAACCGTAAGAAAAGTTGCCAAGCATTTTTATACAACCCTGAAGCATACAATATATCATCATCAACAGATTACAGACATATAATAACAATAAGTAGAAACTTTGTTACTTAAGGAGGATGATTAAGTAATAGTAATTCACCGTGTGGTAAGCGTATGATTCTGGCTTCTTTGTAAGAGTCAGAATCGCGCCTCAACGTCAGTATGTCAGCACCAAACGCCAGGATTTCCACACAACCATGATGGCCGAGCCGTTGAAGAGCTGCTCTGATACCAGTTCCAATAGGTATGACAGTGGATTCAGTAGGGGTTATGTACCTGGCCAAGTCCCAGAAGACGAACGCCGTCCTCCTCCCAGGGGCTTTAGACACGGATTCAAACAGAGAAACGAGACTGCGTAAATCTTTGATCACAGGAGTTTTATCTCCCATCCTTCTCCCTCCAATGATAGGCTTTCCTCCATCTAAATCTTCTGTACATTCAACTATTGACTCTCCAGAATCAAATAGAAATGGACCGTCATGTGCCTTGGGGTTTACTATGAGAATATTGTGATGCCTCGATTGTAAACCCTTGAGAACCCTGTGCAGCTCACTTTTTGTGTCCGGTCTTGGGATTACCATAATATTTAGTGGAGACCTCGGGTCTGCTGCATAAAGAAGGTCCACAGCCAATTCACCTGAAGCAAGCAAAGCGATATATCACAGACATGTAATAACGACAAGAGTGTTTGTTACTTAAGGAATAGTAATTGAGCTTCACCTTGTGGTTTGTGTAAGATGCTGGAATTGCGCAAATCATCTTCGCTGTGGCTCATTCTGTCACCATACGCAACGATAGTCTCACAACTATAAAGTCCCATTTTATTGAGAGCTGCTCTGATACTAGTTTCGAGCTTGGCACCAGGAGGGATTGGGTACTTCACAAGGTCCCAGAAGACGTGGTTCTGCCTCCAAGCAGATCCTTGACAAGGAAGGCATCAACGATGATAGTTAATTTAGATGATGATAGATTACTAATTATTAGGTTATATGATTCATTAACTACTGGATTATTTTACTACACAGTGAAGAAATCATCATAAACAAACAAAATCGGGTAAAGGATGGAGAGAGATCTTACTGGGGTAAGAACAGAAATCGGTGAGATCTTCGCCATCTAAGCAAACAGTTTCGTCCAAAGGATTGAGAGAGATCTTATTGGAGATATCTGCTTCGTCCACGGTTCGACGGGGAGGATTGAGAGAGATCTCAGTGGAGATATCTACTTCGTCCATGGTTCGACGGAGAGGATTGGAGGACTTTCTCGATAAGTTAGGGCTAGATTGAGCTTTGTGGGGTTTTATCGAGATCTATCGTCTGTAAACGGGTCGGGTCGGATACACAATAAAATCTAATTTTTTATGATTTGATTTATAGACAAAAAAAATGTATAAAAATCGTAACGGGCTCTACTTATAAGCCCTAAGCTATGAAAAATAAGGAGTGTTCTAGTTCTTATTAGATTTTTTTCTCGTTTTTTTCTATTGGTTTTTGATGAGAAGGACGTTTTTCAATGTTCTTTCTATTAATTTCACTGAAAATTGTTCTCTGAAAGATTGAAAATTAATTTACGAAAGCCTTGGTTCAAAAAAAAAAGATGAGTATTAACAAAGCGATCTGCATCGGATTCTCCATTGATGTTTAGGTATTTGAAAGTTGTATCAGCTCACAGCTCCTGCTTTAGCACTTTTTCTGGTGTTTCATACAAAGGCTCCATATTGTGGGTATGAGGAAGGAAGGAAAGTTTGGTTTATGATAATTGCTCGAACAAAAGATTTACCGAGGCTGGTGATTTGTTCCGTTGATAGCTCAGGTAATGAATTGGTCATAAAAGACTTTACTTTGGTACATTGCACCTTTCATGTGGCGTTTCAGGTAATAAACTATGTCAAATGTTGGCGTTGGGTACACAAAATCAAAATATAAAGATAAAGTTCCATTGCAAAGACAAAGGTCCATGAATTTAAGCCCTCATCTAATGGTCTTCATAGATTTTAATTTCCTATCATCGTGAGATGACAGTATGATGCACATTTTGTCTTCCTTGAGAGGGATTTGGAATATGTGATGGCTTAGGTTAGCTTTAATTTTTACGTATTGTATAAAAACACTTTTTACTAGTTCATACTTCATAGTAAAATGGAATATGTGATGGCTTAGGTTAGCTTTAATTTTTACGTATTGTATAAAAACACTTTTTACTAGTTCATACTTCATAGTAAAATGGAATATGTGATGGCTTAGGTTAGCTTTAATTTTTACGTATTGTATAAAAACACTTTTTACTAGTTCATACTTCATAGTAAAACTTTTTTTTTTGGGTAAAATCATAGTAAAACTTTTACTTTAACGTTTTATATATTCCTTGTGTATATATGTTTGTGTTGTATATATGCAGATTCCTTTACATAAGTTATAGGTTTCGGACTTCGGTCAAGAAATGCTGTTATACAATCTTTCAATGATTTAGAACCAATCAACAATATCTTCAACAAAATTCATTACCCCTACTATTATGTTGTTTTCCAGATTACGAGTAACATTGAATTCATCATCAATGGCAATTCACCAAGTCGTTTAAAATATATATTATTACTATTGAGTTGTAAAACAAAACTAAACACAAAATGATACAATTTTTTATAACATCTACAAAACCTAAATCCAAAAATTTCAAAAGTCAAATTGTGAAACCAACTGTTCATATTTAAAGAAATTTTAAGACAAAACAAATTCACTCCCGCGAAACCACGGGATTGTTGCAAAAATAATATGTGAACTGAAGTCTAATGCAAATGTAACTTACATTTTGTCCATTTTAATTACATTCGTTCGTCACTGGTTCACTCATACATTATTTGTTAGTGTTCGCTTGAATGTGAAGTTAGACCATGTTTAATTCGTTATATGCATGCAGATTGAAAATTTGGCGGTGATATTACATAAATGCCCTAAAATTTTAAAGGCCTCAAGGGCTTTCGATCTTCGTTCGTAACTGGATCACTCATACATTAGTGGCATCCACATTCGCAGTCAAACCCTCTAGCCATTTTGGAGTGTATGATAAGATTTTGCTTCGGTGGTGGGCCTGGTGGCCTTGTTCAGGTGCAACATGACAACGATGATGTTAGAGATGGACCGGATTCTGAGACCTGGAGGACGTACGTGTATACATAAGGGATACAATCAATGTGATGAGTGTGCTTCAAGAGATTGGCAACGCAATGAGGTGGCACACGACCTTACGTGAAACTGCTGCAGGACCTCACGCAAGTTACAGGGCTCTCTTACGCAAAAAGCGGTTTGAATCTTCTGATAAACCCTCAGCCTCATACCAAGAAGTAGGGGAAGAGTAAAGGAAAAAGAGCTTGACATTTTCACATACACAAGAAGGGTTTGGTGATAAATACAATACGGTTATGTGGGGTCTTTGATCAATGATTAGTTTCATTGGGAGGCTCTTGGAATTTTGGAGAAATCAGGATACACAAGCAGTTTTTTAAACGCTGATTGAAACCGGTCCAAACTCACACAACTTCTCTCGCAAACAATCTTTGAATCGGTTAAAAGACTCAATTACCATAAACTGGGGCATGATTGTTATTGTTACTTTTTATTTCCGTGTTCTTCTGCTCTACTACGTATATTCTTTGAGACTTTCTGTAAAGCTGTTTTAGTGTTTGGTATATGAATGGATGCCTTACACTGGAGGCAGATATGACTCGGAAGGCATTAGAATCCTAAATCTGTACAGTCCCCAAGTATAATACGCTTTGTGTGCCTTTTTGTTCAATCAAAGCGGAGAATAAGTAATGAAATTAACATTTAAAGATTAAAATAATACAGAGGCTTTGATATAAACGCGTTGCAACGATGTCAACAGTAGATCTAGTAATAGAGTTAACACTAGAATTCGAAAAAAGAGCCAGGGACAACGGAAACTTTGTAATGCGTCCGTTGCAACAGGTCAATGATAGAGGAGAACTCGTCGTCCTCTACGACTTCAGCTACGTTGGCTACTATGAACAGATTTGCTGGATCAGGTTCCACGTCCGCTTTCCATAAAAAGATATCATGTAACATTCTATTATGTCTCGCGGATTTATCCCCTGCAAATTTCCAATATTGAAACTCATGATAATATAAGAAAAGAGTACGTAAATAAATAAAAGAGAAATTTATTCACCTCCTCCGGGAAGGAAGTAGATACTTGACTCCCAAGTCTTGTTCGTCAGGAAATCCCCACCCCAAGACCCTTGCTCGTCCTTAACATAAGCCCATATACTCAGCTCATAACCAGCAAAAGGAAATGCTGAATCGATTTTCTGATAGATCTTATCAGGAGTCCAACCAGTAGTAGGGAATGGGAAATCCTCGAGGTTCCAGAACACGAACACGCCTGGCGTTGCCCTATTCTGGAATGTGATAGGCTCTAAACGAAATAAAGAGATACAAAATAGGTTAAATGATGATCCATTTATCTTACTATATATATGAGATTAGATCCAGCTAGTTAACTATGACAGAAACAAAAAAATTCGGAAGAGAGATCATCTTACTGGAGAAGTCTTGGATCTCATGGATATCTTTCATCTTTCTTCTCCCTCTCGTGATTTGTCTTCCTTCATATACACCCTCTGTACAAGCAAGTATTTCATTCGGATAATGAAGAAATAGAGCATCTTGTGGCAAGTCCACATCAGCAGGCGGCTCTACTGAGAGAACATCGCAATGTCTCTCCTGCAAAAACGACTTAAGAACCCAGCGCTGCGGATCATCTCGGTCTGGTGTTGGGATTACCATCAAAGGTCCTGGATTTGACAACTCTGCGAAATGGTCCAAAGCCTTTGTATATAACCCTGAAGCAAGCAATATAGCATCAACAGATTACATTACATACATATAATTAATAATAATAGGTAGAAACAACAAGAAACGAAAAAGAAGAGTGTTTGTCAGGTAATAGCAGTAATTCACCGTGTGGTATGCGTATGATTCTGGCTTCTTTGTAGAAGTCACGTTGGCTGGGGTCCTGCTTCAGTATGTCAGCACCAAACGCCAGGATTTCCACACAACCATGATGGCCGAGCCGTTGAAGAGCTTCTCTGATACCAGTTCCAGCATCTAGGATATTGGCTTCAGTAGGTTTTGAGTATTTGTTCACGTCCCAGAAGACGAACGCCGTCCTCCCAGGACCTTGAGACACGGATTCAAACAGAGAAACGAGACTGCGTGCATCTTTGATCACAGGAGTAGCATCTCCATCTCCGGTCCTTCTCCCTTCCATGATAGGCTTTCCTCCATCTAAATCTTCTGTACATTTAACTATTGACTCCCAAGATACAGAATTAAATAGAAATGGAGCAGCATGTGGACCGGGGTTTACTAGGAGAATATTGTGATGTCTGGATTGTAAACACCTGAGAACCCTGTGCAGCTCACTTTTTGTGTCTGGTCTTGGGATTACCATAATATTTAGTGGAGAATCATTGTGTGCCCTATAAAGAATGTCCACAGCCATCTCACCTGAATCAAGCAAAGTAATATATCACGGAGATGTAATAACAGGTAGAAACGACATGTAATAACAGGTAGAAACGACAAGAGTGTTTGTTACTTAAGAAATAGTAAAATTGAGCTTCACCCTGACCTTGTGGTAAGTGTAAGATGCGGGAATCGCGCAAATCATCTTCGCTGTGGTTCATTCTGTCACCATAGGCAACGATAGTCTCACAGCTGTAAAGTCCCAACTGATAGAGAGCTGCTTTGAGACTAATTTCAACATCTTCAAGATTGGCACTGGCAGGGATTGGGTACTTCACAAGGTCCCAGAAGACGCGGGTCTGCCTCGTTTCACAACCTTGACAAGGCATCAACGAGATGATAGTTAAATCTAAACGAATTACGATACAAAACCTAAACAAACAATTTCGGGTAATTGGGATATGGAGAGAGAGATCTTACTGCGGTACCCAGAGAACTTGGTGAGATCTTCTTCGCCCATGGTTCGACGGACAGAACAAAACTCACCGATCTCGAATAAGTCGTGACCTTACAAAGCCAAGGCATTGACTATATATAATAAAGAGTTTTAACATAAAGCTTGTAAGAAAAGGCAATAACTAGAACCGACTGAATCTAGAAAAAGGAAAAAGAGTTATCGAAAGAGAAAGATAACATAAAACCAAAACAAGTTGAAAAAGGAAGTAGAAGCACGCTGCATCAGATAGCGATTACGATTACGAAGAAGAGATAACCAATGCAAAATTATATATATATTAAAAAAAAAAAAAGAGAATTCATCTTCCTATAAATTAGATTTTTTTAATATTACTACTCTCTCTTAGACCTCTAAATTACTAGCAGTCCAGTCGCCAAGATCCACTCATCCAACAACGCTTCCGTAAATCGATCGTAGGTGAACATATATGTCAATCTCATTTAGTCACTAAAAATCATGATATTTGAATTTAAGTTCTGGATTAAGCCTCTCGGAGAATGTGAGCTCGGGTTACTTATTTGAAACTGTTAATGAGGCCAAAAACAAACATGTTTCTGAGCATGTTTTTTTCTCGGTTTTTTCTATTGGTTTTTTATGAGAATGACGTTTTTCAATGTTCTTTCTATTAATTTCACTGAAAAATTGAATATTAATTTATGAAAGCCTTGGTTCAAAAAAAAAAAAAAAAAGATGAGTATTAACAAAGCGATTTGCATTGGATTCTCCATTGATGTTTAGGTATTTGAAAGTTGTATCAGCTCACAGCTCCTGCTTTAGCACTTTTTCTGGTGTTTCATACAAAGGCTCCATATTGTGGGTATGAGGAAGGAAGGAAAGTTTGGTTTATGAAAATTGCTCGAACAAAAGATTTACCGAGGCTGGTGATTTGTTCCGTTGATAGCTCAGGTAATGAATTGGTCATAAAAGACTTTACTTTGGTACATTATTGCACCTTTCATGTGGCGTTTCAGGTAATAAACTATGTCTAATGTTGGCTTTGGGTACACAAAATCAAAATATAAAGATTAAGTTCCATTGCAAAGACAAAGGTCCATGAATTTAAGCCCTCATCTAATGGTCTTCATAGATTTTAATTTCCTATCATCGTGAGATGACAGTATGATGCACATTTTGTCTTCCTTGAGAGGGATTTGGAATATGTGATGGCTTAGGTTAGCTTTAATTTTTACGTATTGTATAAAAACATTTTTTACTAGTTCATACTTCAAAGTAAAACTTTTACTTTAACGTTTTATATATTCCTTGTGTGATTTGCGGAGATGAGTGTTATCAATAATCAATATTTGTAAGCTGCATGTATTTGCTGGAATCACTAAATTTATTTAAAAGAAATATCGGTCTTTGAATATGTGTTTCCTTAAATATTAAAGATTAGTACGTATATTTTTATTTTTATTGTGATTAAGTAGCTAATTGATGGTTTCAGCTTTTATCTTTTACTCTTCAAATTTGATTCCCCTTTTTTACTTCTTTTTAGGTAGTACAATGTGGAATTGTAAAACAAAACTAAACACAAAATGATATACTCACCAAAATTTCAGACAAAACAAATTCAGTCCGTAATTAGGAAAACGGAGAAGACGGTTCGGAGTGGGTTGTAATTAGGATTTGGGATAGAGACGACATCATGGTTGCTTCTTCTTCAATTTCAATTTCAATTTCAACTATTCAGATTTGTTCAACGCTCTGTACTGAAATGCTGATTTCGACATTTACCCTCAAAACAATTAGCTTTCTCAAGGCGGTGCGTGCGATCGTGTAGTCAATCCCAGATTAAACGATGCAGATGACCGGCGACTCCGGCGGCGAATGCTAGGCGGACGCCTGTAAATTTGATTACGCGCCAAGCGAATCGATGCTCACGTCAGGGATCCAACTTTGATAAGCCGGTGGTACGAGCAGGGATCCGATCCGCGCGGAGGCTGTCGTTGATCGGTGAAGCCGGTGACGAGGAGGTCTGGTTCCGCCGCGACGGGGACCAACACAACCGCCACGCAGCGCCGGACGCGGAGAGTCGTGAGGATATTCGCTAAGCAGCTTGCGGCTCTTTTGATCATTGTTGGATTAATTCAGGTAGCAAGGAAGGTGATTCTGAAATCGCCTGCGTCCTCTCCGAATTGCACAAGTAGAATGGTCACTCTGGAAAAGGAAGCCAAGGCGGCAAGAATTCGAGAGTAAATCTCCGGCGTTCCAGTTCCAGAGTGAGGTAAAGAAGATGGAGTCTAGGACAAGTGGACAAACTCACTAGTCACTAGAGAAGTCAGTAGAAGACGTAAATGCTAAACCTTGGTTGTCTAAAGATGAGTTAGAGGAGGAATTGAAGAAGGGTAAGGTCGGTGATTCTGCGTTTAGCGATTGAAAAGCATGCCGCGGATATTCAGATCCTTATCTTGTTGGTTTGCGACAACCAGTCGACTTGCTCACACCAATGCGCTCAAGATGTTATCTCCGAGTTTTGGGGAGCCTCAGACAGTGAGGTAGCGATGGCTTTGTTCAAATCAGGTACCAGAGGCTTTCCCATTGGAACATGTAGCTAAGGTAATTCCACCAAAATATTGAGCTCTTAGTATCAGCTTTCTTCTTGTGTGCTCATAATGTGCTCATAGTGTCTTTGTAAAAACTGATGGTTTTCATGTTGAGATGTCTGGGAAAATCTGATGGATTTGTAAAATTTATGATATTCTTTGGCCTAGCCTTAGCGGCAAAAATCTGCACTGTAGTAGCCCCGAGGTCCCTTAAGTCATCATACTTGGTCAAAGACTTCAACAGTATGCATAAATGGATTTTTTTTAATGTTTTTGTGTCATCTTCTGTTTGTGTTTGTGTTTGCATTTGCCCGGACTATGCTATTTGTGGTTTTAGTTTATGTCATTGACACAAGCAAAGGGAAATGGTGTTAGTTTCTGTTTTTGGGTCTAATTTTTGGAGGGTCTAATGGTTTCATGCATTATGAAAATGAACAGAGCGTAGCTTACGACCAGGATTGTCGTAAATGAACAATCGTTTCAAGTGCTCCAAAAGATTGTCGTGTACCAGGACACGAATCCTCCCCAGTCGAGACAGAGACGATGGAACTTCTCACAGACTTTACCTACGACCCTAGACTGGACTGGTCTAACGCACAGACATTCAACATCCAACGCGCTCTCCTCTGGTCAATACCGTCAGGCTATACTTCACCTCCAATCACGGTAGCAACTCCCATACTTGCATCTATCGGTTCAGGGTTCATGGGATGGGCGTGCACCAGACCCAGTCTTGATCAGGAGTCCTCCTCTTGTGTTTTTGTGACATTTCATTCGTCCACATCTCTTTTTTTTTTAACATCCGTCCACATCTCTTTTGTTGCCTGTCTTTTGGAATGAAAAAGAATCATCAGATTCTGTGATTAGAAGACCAATAGAGAATTGTTTGGTTTTGCTCGTCTTCATTGTTGCTACTTTTTGGTTTTGGTATATTTGGTTTCAGAATTAAAAAAAGAAAAGAAATTGAGTCGGAAATAATAAAACCCAAAGTACAGTATGTTAGTTTTGGATTAGGCTGTCTTCGTAATTAACCATCTCATTCGTCTATTTAAGCTAAACCAGAAAGTGGCTTTTGAAACTTTTTCATCAAAGACTGGGTACCTCACACGCTAACCAAAGAAGAAACCTGAAATCACAGGTTTGGAAAACTTTCGAAGCCTGTAGGAGAGAGAGGGAGAGAGAGAGAGAGAGATTTTCGATGGATTCAGGGTAAAAAGAAGAGATGTGGAGTTATACCAAAAAAAGAAGAGATGTGGAGGTTGCTTGGGGGAAAAGTTACATCTCCGAGACTGTTCATTAGATAGTTGGGAAAAAAAAAGACCAATCTGAATTTTTTTTTCGAATTTAACTAGTGCGAGGCTCCTCACCATCAACATCAATAACAGTAAACTGTGGTCCGACATCACAAAAACAACGACCCAAGCAGGCCCCAAACGTCAGCCTTGATGAATGCGAATCATCTTCTGGTTAACTTTCTCAAGGGACTTCTCATTGGGACGCCAACCATGTCTTCTGTCATGGTATGGCGGACACCAACACTAGCTGTACCATCTCTACCCCTACACTTCAAAGTTTCGAGAAAACCCTGGCTACTAAACCTCTCGTCGTTCGACATGTAGAGTATCCTACTACGAGTTCTCTCATGTTTAACAATGGTGCACCTCTGTTGTAAATCCAAACCAAATGCCATCTCGAGAAGGAGCTCCTTCTGCAAAGTTATACGCTCGTTACGTAATCGAGCTTCCCGGAGAATATTCTCACGGCGAATCCGACGACGCCGATTCTCAGCAGGTCCATGTTTTGAACAAAACATATTCCTTTCTTCAAATGTATAGACTTTAAACCCTTCTCCTTCCAAAGCCCGAACAAAATTTTTCTTACCCTGTTCCTCAAGCATATATATATTCACCTTAGCCAGTATGTAGGGGCCCTCTCCCTCGCGCAAACCCAAGTTGACTATCGCTAAAAGGTCTCTCCTAAGCTTCTTAATCTTCTCTTCATTGATGTCTCCCCTTAAACGAACGGTTTCATAGTCTATGTAAACATATGCGTAATTATCCTCATTTCGCCTAATCCGTCTTGGTGTAGTAGGTGGTTTAGAAGGAGCACCTTTGAGCCTCTGTGGTATATCCTCACCCAAATAATCTGACACTCGATCGTCCTTTTGACTAGATGATGATCCTCCAACAGAAGATACACTCGAGTAAACAGAAGATACCTCAGGTTCAACTCTCTTATCCTCTTTACTATTACTACATGAAGAAACTCCCACTGTTGTCTCAACCTCCTCGACTTCCCCATTATCTTTTTTCAGATTCCGAGTAAACCTAAATCAACGCAACACATATTTTAGAATGAACTCAAAGCAATTTAAACATGTGATCAGATAATACCAAACTGCGACATACAAATGATTTTTGCAGAGTTGTTCGCTGAGTCCGGTTATCTTGTATTCTCTGTTTGAAGGGGCAACCGAAACCCTCAGACTCTTTAGAGTACGTCTAGCCTGATGAGAGAAGATCAGGTTACCAGATAAGTACTTCTCAAAGATGCTAAACGTGAGATAAACTCCACAGCATAATAAAGAAGATGACTTACCTTGTTCCAGTCCAGAGAGCCTGGATCTTTCGCATTCTGATTTGCAAGTAAGAAGTCAACAACAGCACCAGGTTGTACAATCATCGTAGTTTAAGTCTCTGAAGAAAAGCCAAAGCCAAAATTCGAATTGTTCAAGACCAAAATGTTACATAGAAGAATCTAGTGCACAATAAATCTAAAAACAAATTACCAATATTCAAGGATAAGCCTCCCTGAGTAGTTCTAAAGTTAGCTGCGTCATTGTGAAAAAAGGGCTGGCGGACAAGGAGGCAACCTCTGGAAACAGAAATTAGAAAATGACATAAATGATCAATAAGACAATGGACACGTCTTTTTTTGAAAGCAAAACAAACAGAAATCAACTTACTGCCTAGCTGCACTCTGGAGCAAGATGATATCCAGGACTCTTATAGCATCTTGGAGATTCTCTGTTTCCTTTCCTTGGATAGGGCTTGCAATAGCCTGCATTGGGATCTTCGGAGCATAGCTTATCTTAACCATGAATTTCTTGGACTGGTTTGGACGCCTTGACCTTTTCTTGTCTCCGTCATTGGTTTCTTCCGGGCTAGCATTTCCAGTGTTGTTTCTGCAACATAAAGAGAATATCAAAGCGTTATAGTACATGAACAAAATGAGCCAGTAAAGAAACGGAACAAACAATCAGTAGAAAATCGAATCTCGCACCTGCTAGAAACCGAGTCTTCAAGAACAACGGAAAAGTCAAGTTTGTTGCTGGGAAGAGCACCAACAGTGAACAGAGTCTTCTCACCATCATAAGCAAAGTATTTGGAACCCAGTTCACTCTTGTACGTCTCCTGGACTCTGTCAAGAATCTTTCTGCCAATGCCTTTTGCCTCCACTGGACGGCCATCTTCGTATGTGATAGCAACCTTTATCCAAGATCATAAACAGAGAGCCAACCTTAGTGTTAATACTTGTGGGTGAAAAAACAGTGATAGAAACAGGACTAATTAAAGAGAAACAAAATTTATGCGTACACTGTAATGGAAGAAGTGACCGCTTGCTTTGTTGAGGTTAACACTGAAGTGGTTAGTAAGAAGAGGAATCTTCTGCCCTTTAGAGCCGCAGCTACGGCGAGCCATTGGGAGAATGGTCTTCTTCTTCACTGGCTCGATTTCAGGAACCACACTTGGAGGGATAACAGGCGGAGGAGGTGGTAACGCCTCAATAGAATCCATATCTGCACTCTGCAGTACAAAAGTCACAAGTCAGAAAGAGATTGCATCAAAAAATATCTCAAGCAAGCAGTGTGTTCAAGCCAGATTTATCACAAATTTTCAGTTTTCTAATGCTTAGCAAACAACTCAAAGAGACTCTGACCCGAAACGTAAGCCAATAGAGAAAGAGACAAGATATCAGCAGAGGGAACTCATGAAAAACAAACAGAATCAAGCTTCACAGATTCGAAGAACAGGGCACTAGCGATGAAATCTACAGATTTTCGAAGAACAAATTAGTCCATGAACCCAATACAAGCATCACATAGAAGAATCAGATCTCTCAATAGAAAGCAAAACTATTAGCGTCAGTCTTCAAGCGGTTACAGGGAAACGCATATTAGATGAACTAAAACAAGCAGGATCGATGAAGATATATGACATCAAAAAATGGAGAAGAAGAAAGAGCTGTACGTGCACATGAAGATATATGACAAAAATGACCACTAAAAAAAAGCGAGTGAGTTTTATAGCGAATAAAAGATGCCGGAAAATACTAAGAACACCAAGAAGCTAAAAGATTTTCTCGGAAAATGCAAAAAAACTTTTTTAATAAAGGAAAGACACACGACCAACATTTATTTTCCCAGATTTGTTTAACAGATGGATAAAGCTAACTTGAGAACCGGGAAATCCAGAGAGCTACACAAACAAACAGATCGTGAACAAAATAAAAACTCATGAACAAAAATAAGAAGCGCTAAACTAAGAACTCGAGGAAGAACTCACACAGAGCTAAACAGAGCTCACGGAGCAAAACTCGTTTCAGAAACAAAAGAGGAAATCAAAAATCGAATGGATAAAACAGTAACCATGCATGGAAAGAGCTAAAAACGAGATCGGAAGCACACATTGGAGGATTTGAGAGAGAAAAAGTAAACCTGCTTTAGCTGGGGAGATGTGGAGACGAGAGAGAAAGTGAAGACTGTGGAAACCCTAACAGAGCTCAGGGAGAGAGATGAGATATTTAAGGAAAGGAATAGGGACGTGTTTGGTGGTTCACTAAAAACTCTCAGCTCACTTCCTTACAGTGGTCGTACACTATAAAACCGGGAACGCAACGCAAGATTTAATGTCGTAGGACCCCACTTTTTCTCTTTTGTATTTTTATTAATTTACGCCCCCATCAATATTCTTTTCGTTTCATTGTCCTATCAAAATTCATTTCATTTCTACTCGTGTCACGTGTCTACTTTTTTATTCTAAGGAAATTAAATTTACCTTTTAAATCTTTATTGCTAAAACTAATTACTACTCCCTCTGTTTCAATATATAAGGGGTTTTAGAGTTTTGATTTTGTTTCAAAATATAAAGGGTTATGCAAAAGTAATAGTGCTTTAATTACTTTTAATTATTTATATTCTGTAGATTGCTTTTTCATTAGTTAAAATGTTTTGAAATTGATGATAAAATATATTTTATATCAAAATGTATAAAAATTAAATGGGTTCTTAATCTGTGTGCCAAAACTTTAAACCCCTTATATATTGAAACAGAGGGAGTACTTAATTTCTGTCAAACGAGAAATAAAAATAAAATAGTTACTCTATTATTCGTATGGCAACATTGAACACGTATTTAACGAATACATAGGACATCATCTGTGTGTATATATGAGTCTTGTAGAAGTAAATTGGTCGTTTAAATAACACAAATCTTTTCTACATTTGGATTCTTGTTTATGTTAATCTCTATAAATAGTAAGTACCAGGTACTACTATTTATACCCACATTCTTCTCTTCTTTCTCATTGCAAAGGTTGAGTCTTGATTACTTTCATTTATGAGAGTATATTTAAAGCTTTAAAGCCCATTAATGCATTGATGAATGATGCTCGCGATATACAAAAAAAATTACCACTTATTTTTAAATTTGAATGTACAAAAGTGAGACAAGTTTACAGTCGTTTGTATGTAATTTCTCAGATACCAAAACGTAGTAGTATATAAAGAAAACAAAATAATGAATGCTTCTTGTACGATTACGACCTGCAGGAAAACAACAGGGCGTGTTTTAGCAAAAACAGGGCGTGTTTTAGCGATGCGGAGTGGTGGTGTCTGCGTCTGTCGTCTTGCGACCTTTTATTTGCTTTCCTATGATCTCTCTCTCACTTCTTTAAATGAAAAGCTGTTCGTTTTCATTTACAAGCTTTGGTATTTATTTATTTATTTAAATACTTAAATAATGGTATTATCCATTCATAATAGTTTGTATTTTTATGTGTTTAACCTCAGTCCATCAAAATTTTCGTATTCTAATTCTGGATTTAACAAAAGATTTGAAAGTATGAGTAGACTGGTCTGTGTGAGACTATATATACTGTAGAATGTTCTTCATATACGAGAGAAAAAAAAAACAAAAACTTTTCAAGAAACAAACTTTATAGTCATGTTATTTTCTCAAGAGAAAAGTAGTTTTTTTGGTAATTTGTCTTTTAGTCGTTTTTAAAAATTGAAGTATATTTTATGGTCAGATTGCAATTAAAATGGGACCAAATTGCAATTACCAAGATTTAATATCGTATGATCCAGTTTTTTTTCTTTTGGATATTTATTAATTTACGCTAATTTGGTCGTTTCAATGCTCGCAATATACAAAAAAATTGACCACTTTATTTTGAAATCTGAACATAGAAAAAGTGAGACAAGTTTACAGTCGGCTATTTCTAGGTAATTTCTCAGTCCTGCAAATACCAAATAAGGTAGTAGCAGTATATAAAAACAAAACGAATGCTTGTGTACGACTACCTAAAACAAAACGAGGCGTGTATGCGCAGAGGTGTCTGTAGTCGTCTTGTCGTCTTTTTTATCCTCTGGTTTTTGTTTATTTACTTACTTGAAATACATAAAATAAAGGTATTATCCATTGTACATTTGTATGAGTAACTACTGGTTTGTGTGACTATATATACGGTTGAAAAATGAAAATCCTTCATGTACGAAAAAACAAAAACTTTTTAAGAAATATCATGAAAATATGGCGGCCATTGGGGCGCGCAACAAATTAATTTAAGCTTAATTCCCGCCATCTCTCTCTCACGCGCCTTTAGCAAAATCAATTTATACGGTCAAATTAATTTATACGGTCATCTCAATTTATACGGTCAAATCCTTTAGCAAAATTGCGTTGGTTCTGACTTCTGACTTCTGAGGATGGTGATATGTAATAGAAGGTTGAGAGGATTGGAGGTGATTACGTGGAGGGCCAAGATTATAAGGCATAAATGAAGGGCTGAGATCAAAAGCTACTTCTATTGGAGCGTTGGTAAAGAAGAAAAGGAAATAATCAAGGCATTAAGAAATTGTGAAATTGAGTTTCATCTTCTTCTTTCTCTTTCTCTCTGTATCGAATTTTGTTCATCCTCTATGGGAATATTTTCTTATATCTGGATTCTCTTATGGTGAATCTGAGTCCCTTCCATTGTTCATTTTTGTTCATCCTCTATGAGAGTTGACGTTACGGTTTATCTGTATCAGATGGCTTCGCTAAACTGAAAGCACCACACGCTAATTCAGGCTTTGATTACACGAGGTCCTCTCAAGGAAAACGAATTTCATTCAATCTTCTCCGGCGTCACCTGTCGAAACCCAGGTCGGCCTCTCCTCTGATCTCTTTATTTTTCCCCGTTATGTGACCCTTATTCCTCTTTGCAGATGAATAATTAAGTAACTTTAGTGGGTTTGCGCCCGTATGTATTCTCATTTGAATCAAAATCTGTAATTTACGGCAATGTTTACTCAATTTGATCAGCCACTATTCATATCTGTTGCCTCAGACGGAATCGTGGGCATTACTGTTTTCCTTCCCTCTATGCGGTTTGCTTGAATATTGAATTCCTCTGAAGTATTTAGCTAGTTTTACATTTCCGATTTGCCGCTCATTGATGGGTTTAGTGGAGACTTGTTTTAACACTTGTTGTTTGCTGTATATGATGGATAACGGGTGAGATTGAATGAGTATACAGAATATGAGGCTATGATGTTTATCCGGAATTGAGTTGCTGGTTATCTTAATGTTGAATGTTAAAGGAATTTGTTGCTGGTTCATCAAACATTGTATTGATGATATTTCGTTCTTCTCTTTGTTGCAGGAGCTGCTAAGAAGATATTCGACAAGTACCTTCTTGAGATAAACAAAGAGCTCTCATATGTTAACTTTGAGTTGAGGGCTTGTAGAGATCAGTATGATGGCAAAGTTTGTTATGGAGTGGTTAACAATGTGGCCGATGAGCAGTCCAAACTCGGGACTATATATTCTGTGCCGCAGATTGCCTTCTTCAAAGGAATTGTAAGTCACCTTTTGACTCTGTTTCTGTCCCTTGTTGATCATATTTCTTTCTCCTTTGTATTGCATTCGTGCGTTAGCATTATTTGGATTTAGAAGTTCTCGTCTACGCTTGAACTGTTGTCTCAGAAGAATTTCAAAGTTATCGTAGAAACTGGGAGCTCTTTTTTCGAAATCTAGTGTCAACTTTATTACTTGTCTGTCTTTCGTTGAAACGTTGAAACACTAATCTACTGTTGACATGGTTGCAACGGATTTCTAAATGCATCAATGAGGAATTTTGTGATTTTGGTATGACATGAGAATCAATTTTTTTCATTGATTTTTTACTGGTACTATATAGTATGTTATTTTAAAAATATTTAGTTAGTAGACCTTGATGTAAAATAATTAATTCGCATATTAATATTTTTTGTTCGTTTCCTTTTCCAAATTCAGAATCCGAAATCCGAACCATGTAAAACTTTCATTTCGAAGCAAAGATTCAATTTTTATTTCAAAAAAATGATACTGAATTAAACAAAACTAAGAACATATAGTAATACGAACCGAACCGAACCATAATCTAAAAAAAAATATTAAAACAAGCTTATGTCTTCCGTGACGCAGTTTTCCGTTATCACAGTTGCCGATGCCGTTAATTTGTCCAGTGTTATTTTGCATTCCACCGTAACGGTCACTGTCCACGTCGTGACGAGGCCAGCCTTAAACTTAACCGGCGCTTTAATTCTCAGGTCAAACGGCACTTTCCCTTTCTTCTCCGATTCCGTTAACTCCTTGCGCGACGAGCTCGTTAACTGGACTCTCGATCCCCTTAATTTCGTCGCCGTCACCGTTACATTTTCCGCCGGCTGCTTAAACGCCGCGAACTCGCCGCCTCCTAGTTTGATCCCGTCGTAGAAAAGCTCAGCCGAAGTTCCATTCCCGTAGATTAAACCGAGTTTAGCGTTAACGTTCTTAGAGCGCACCTTGAGTTTGATTACCGGAGACATTGGAGACGATGACGTCAGATTGATTCCGGCGAAGGAGACTCCACTGACCGAGTAGCTTGGCTTATGCGGCCGGTAAACGAGGAAGAGGATCCCGACGACGAGCGCTGCTATGACGAGAAGGACGATTAAGGCGGCGAGGGAAGAGCAGCAACATCGGCGAAAACTCGATCGATTGGGTTTCTGGCGAAAAAGGTACTCGTAACGGTGAGCATTCTCCGGCGGAGGGATGCGGTAGATCTGTTCCCTGGGGATTTTAATATGGTAATCTCCTGGAGGCGGCCTCGGTTTCTGAGATTCGAGGGAGTATCGGCTCGAGCTACTGTCGTTGGTGTCAATCGAAATGTGCTTTATTCTGCGGCCGGCTTTGTCGATTACGAATCCGCCGGAGTTTCTCGGCGATCGTTTGTAGCTATCGTTGGTGTCAATCGACTGATGTTTTGCTCTGCGTCCGGCGTTGTCGGTTACGGATACGCCGGAGTTTCTCGGCGATCGTTGGCAGCTGTCGTTGGTGTCGATCGACGGACGGTGTGTCCTGGGGACGTCTTTCTGTGTTACGTTTCTCAGCGATTGTTGGATGCTATCGTTGCCCAGGCCGGCCATTTCTCGGCGATGAATACAAGAGAGGGAAAAAAAAAGAGTTATGCTCAAAATGCGAAGCAGAGAATGGAAATTTGGTTCGTGACTGATGATTGATTGGGAAGTAAATTTGTATATACTGTTTTTGTGTTTAGTAATTTAGTTAAACGTTTTGTGTTTTATAAAGAAAGTGGATAAAATCCGAAATTTACAACGTGATTTCATGAATAATTTCAGGGATTCATTGAGAAAATTATTAGCTGAGTATTTATGATTTGGTGATATCTTGTAAAACTTTCTATTAGTGGACCACTGTAGTAACAAACGAATGGAAAGTGTAATATATTGGTCAACGGGAATTTCCAACAATAGAAATAAATTTGAAACTTAGGTGAAATTAAAGAAAATAGAGCAATTGAATTTAAAGGAAATTTCAGAAATGAAAACAAAGATTTTCAGATGAAGGAATGTGAAAACATAGGGCCTATATAAGCCTAGCCTAGAATGCTTACTTCTATCAGAGCCCAAGCCAAACACAAAACAGTCACTAAAAACAAAAGAAACATTCTCTTATACTTCAAATCAAATTGATGAAGTGTCTTATTATGAAACCTAACTAATCTTCTCCATAGCTGCTACAACAAAGCGTATCAATATGGAGAGATCAAATCTGTTTCCAATGAAAGCAAAAAGAAAGAAAACAAAATGTAGAAGCAAAGAACAAAGCTAGCTACAAAGCTAGAAAACAAAAACAAGAAACTCCTCAAGGCTGAAGCTTTCTTTACTCAAACCAAGGCATGAGCAAGTTTCCCTCTTGATCCTGCAGATTGTTCTCCATTCCCACTGTCTTCAAATTGCCATCGAAGCCAAAACCAAGACTATGATTCACCGCCGAAGTCGAAGCACTCATGCTGTTACTAACCAAATCAAACCGGTTCTCAGAGAAATAGACACTGTTGTTACCTCCTCCTTGTGCTGCGTTTGGCCTGTAGAGATTGTTGGATGGATTAAACTGGTCCTGAAGGCTCTGAAACATGTTCTCTTCATTCTCCGTTTTGGGAACATGAAAGCCCCGGTCATAACCCGGATAAGGAACCACTACACTGGAATGCATAGTAGTGGTTTCTTGGTAAAAAGCAATGGCTTTGTAAGGACAAGCCCTCTGGTGATTCTCTCTCGAGACCCTGTCATTGAATCCCATCTGTGGTTGGCTATAAGGACAGAGACTGTTCTCACACGTTAGGGTTGGTTGCTGCAGAGACATCCCCAAATCACCTTCAAGCCTCCTCTTGTTGTGAAAGCTGTTTCCCTGTTCAGGATGTTGCTGACTGCGACGAAGCTGAGATCCAGCACTTGCTTCAACATCATAGTTTGCAGACTCAGGGAACAGATCATTCGTAGTCTCCCCAACGGTTACAGGAACAGGAACATTAGAAGCGTTGCTCTCTTCGCCAGGGGAGTTACGAGGAGGAGTTTTATCAGCAATGGCCTTCTCTTTGTTAAGAGCAGCGAGCCATAAAGAGGCTTCCCTTGAAGTCATTCTATCCTGCAAGGTTCTAGAACGTCTCACATAGATCCGTATGTTGTTAATGCTTGCAGACATATGTCTGATCACACCGATCAAGACTCCAACTTTCCACACCTTTTTGAGGTCATGAGGCTTCTTGTAAGGAGGAGGAAGTCCTTGTAATTGCTCCGGTATAGCCAGATCTTGCCACCAATCTTCTTTCCCAGTTGGCCACCACGGCGGCGTCACGCCATTCTCCAGCGGGTACCGCCTCTGAGGAGGCCTGCAATTAGGCATCAGCGCGGACAAAAGAGCTCCGAGAGTTGTGTCTTGCAGCGCAAGCAACGTCTCCGCGGTGGAGTCTTCACTCTCTGGCCCTAAATCACTTCCACCAGAGGAAATGATATCTTTTCCGTGCTTCTTTATCGCAGCCGGTCCGTTCCTGTCAAACTTCACTCTGTCTCTCCACCATCCATGGAGACTATCAGAAGCTCCCGCCACCGTTCTCCCGTCCTCCCACACGATCCCGTAGACAAAGCCTTGAGCTTTGCAAAGCTCCAATGCCTTTGACATGCACTTCAAGACCCCACCATGTGCCAGGTACATGAGCCTCTTCCTCGAAACTTGTTGAGGCTCTGGACGATCAACAGCTGGCTGCTTCGACGATCTTGTTCCTAACCCGAGCCTGGACAGCAACTTGAGCCGCCTTAGACGCTGTTTGTCTTTCCAGATCTTCTTCTCGAGCTCATCTATGTCCATCTCTTCATCAGTCAGGTCGTCGGACGAAACCGTACGCGAATCAGAACGCGCATCTCTTTCCGGAGATGGAGGCTCCGGCTTTGCCATTAGTTTCCGGAGAATCACTGACTTGTTGTTCTGCATATCCATAGGAGAGAAAATGATCTCGCCCTGCAAAAAGAGAAAGGGGCATAAACTATGGTTCAGTTCAAGAATGATATTGCAATACAAGAAAAAAATAAATAAATAAATAAAAAAACAAGCAGAGACTTTGAGTGTAATATTGAGAGATTTAATTTGTGAAAAATAAGAGTCATATGAATATAAAGGTTTAGAGATCCAGTTTCAATTAGCTATGATTTAAGAGATTAAATTTGTGAAAAATAAGCGTCATATGAATATAAAGGTTTAGAGATCCAGTTTCAGTTAGCTATGATTTAAGCTGCAATATGGAAACGACTACCAAGAGTCTAAAGAATACATGCTATAGGAAGAGAAGGTAAAAGAGATATACACAGACGAAATTATTAATTGTTCTTTATCGTGTAATGATTATACAGTTAAGAGAATGTGGTTTTTGAAGTGTTTAATGCATTTTCCCCGGACATTTAAAAAAAAAAAAAAAAAAAAAAAACCCAGTTTACTCCTTATACTATTGAATTAATTGATCTTGCAAAGGTGAAAATGGAACCTATTTGACCAAATATTTCAGGGACCAAATCCAAGAAGCCAAAAGAAAAAAAACATGATAGATTGTTAAAATACTTTTACAAGCAGACAAGAGACGTAAAGGCAAAACAAAACAAAAAGAAACAGAATCGAAGGAAGAACATAATTTACCCAAAAAACTCTTGAAGACCTTTTAGTTGCTTTGGCCTCCAAATTCAAACCAAAGAAGCCAATGACCCGAGAGAGAGAGAGAGAGAGAGAGAGAGAGAGAGAGAGAGAGAGAGAGAGAGAGAGAGACAGGAATATAATGTGTGTATGTGTATGATATGAGCCTTTAAATAAGAGACTGTGAAAGGGTGTATAGGCCACTAGAAATCATACTAAACGGTACAAAACTTGTTGGAAGGACATAGTAAAATTTCATAGCTATCTTCTTAGAGTTTCATTCCATTTTAGAAAAGATTTTTTCTTATTAAAAATTATTTTAATTAGCAGGTCCATAAAAATTACATTTTCCACGTAAGCTTATTACCTAAAATATGTTAATATTTTGTTTACGATAAGAATGAAGTACCAAATGTAGATATATTTTTTTTTAAATGTATATAATTAATTAGTTTTTCTGCTGTAAAATCTGCGATGTTTAAATGATAGTTTTGGAATTGTTTACGATAAGAACGAAGTACCAAATGTAGATATAGTTTTTAAAATGTACATATGATTAGTTGGTTTTCCTGCTGTAAAATCTGTGATGTTCAAATGATAATCTTGGAATTGTTTATGATAAGAACGAAGTACCAAATGTAGATATATTTTTTAAATTGTATATAATTAATTGGTTTTCCTGCTGTAAAATCTGCGATGTTTAAATGGATAGTCTTGGAATTGTTTACGATAATAACGAAGTACCAAATGTAGATATATTTTTTTAAATGTATATAATTAATTGGTTTTTCTCCTGTAAAATCTGCGGTGTTTAAATGATAGTCTTGGAATTGTTTACGATAAGAACGAAGTACCAAATGTAGATATATTTTTTAAAATGATAGTCTTGGAATGGGATACACACTGTTAAATCTATGATGTTTAAATAGGATACACAATGTTAAATCTATGATGTTTAAATGACAGTTTTGTAATTTGATATAACGCATATTTTAAATATCAAAAAGCAAGTGTTGATATCATATTGAAAAGAGCGAGAAAAAATTATAGTTTTAACACTGTAAATAACATTAGCGCTTAATCTTAAAATATAAAATCAGTTTCTAAGCGCATAATTTATTTTATATGTGTTTTGAGACTCATGATATATAAATGAAAGTTTCTATAAATAAATATATGGCACATTGTGTTTTCCTAGATACAAATGTAGTTTTTTCAAATCACAAAAGTTGATTACAAAAATATTTTTATATGTGCCTTTGTATCCTTAAACAAATATGTATGAATTATTATATATGTCCAGTATAATAATATTACTAACTCTAAGATTTCAGTAATAAACTGTACATTATTTAAATTTCTGGTGTTAACAATATTATTTGTAGCATACAGTACAAATGAAAATATTTTAGCCAAAAATAACAATATTATTTGTAACATATTTTTTTTCAGGTAAGGACTAAAAAGCAGAAACAAAAATCATTGTTTCACATTTCAAGGCTGTCATGGTTGGCAAAAAATGGAAAATAAAAGTTGGCAGCAGCACTAAATTTTATACATTTATTATCATACATACATTTCATTTTATCAAGATATGTTAAGAATTATTTTCAAAACTTACCAATATTTGCAAAATTCCTTAAAATAACTCAAATTTCTGGTAAGATTTTATTTCCTTAACAAAATTTCCAGCTTGATTTCCTTTTAAACATGTAAGTATTCTTTGTCACTAAGATTTTGTTGTCAGAGAATCTGAGAATGTAACTAAGTAAATCACATTTTCTGTGGACATAGACATGGATATCATTATCCTAAGAGCATAAAAATACACAAAGTATACATTTAATCCTTTTGTGTTATTTTATGTAAAATCGATCAACATTTTGCCAGATAATTTTTTGTTAGTAATTTATTAACTAATATTTGTTTTTTATTCAAAAAAATTCCCATTAAATTTGTTTTTTTTGGGTTAACTAAATAAACTTGCATCATGTCTCTGTAAATCTTTACTTGAATATTGTAATTTGCTGTTGATATTCTATTTATCGGTTTAGAATCTTTAGATTAACTAAACTTTTGTTTGAGATTTCGTAATCTGTAGAACATATCTTATTTGCTACTAAAATATTGAAATATAGTTTCGCTATGTACATAGTTAGAATCTTCGACCAAACAAATTAGATTCAAGTTGTTTGATAAATTTGGCGCCGTACTAACATGTGACATCTATAACTGTCGGTTTCTCGTAGCAAGATGTAAGCTCTATATAAACTAGTTAATAAACCATGAAAGGTTGACCCTTAATTATTGATGATAGATTGTTGAACTGTTTGTATAACGGTCAAAGTGCTAGATGATGTTAACAACAAAAAGGTGCTAGATGATAGATAGTTGGTGTTGAAACAGGTCATTGTTTCATATATTTTAATGCTTATCCTACAGAATGTCAACTAAATATCTACATTTCATTTTTTGAGTTCGAATGAAATATAGGACAACTATAAAGTATACGGTATGGCCTTAAACAAAATCAATGAAAAAAACAATACCAGCATGATGTTATTAATAATCTAATGTTATTGGAGAAATGTGTAGAGAGGTGCAATGAATAGAGCCAATAGGAAAGCACACGAGTGCCACGCAGGCACGTTTCGTCGCCAGCAGTGATTCTTCAAACTGTCTGAAACGTGTCTCCCGGGATTTTTTTGTCGGCTACTCCACAATTATTGGAACCCTCGTCGTCGTTTTTCCCATCTTATAGTATATAAAAACAGATCAATGCTTCGTTTATATAATAATGTGAAATATGCAACTGTCTGTCGTACACCTTAACCAACTAACGACCACTCGTAAATTGTTTGTTTTATACCCTCCTTGATTTATCCTATACGCCTGAGTGCCCATGCATTTCGGATGGCGTATTATTTTGAAGGTTTAGAATATACACATCAAATGATAATAGTTAAACCGCCATTTGATATTCATAATGATCGGTTTGTCATATATGCATGTTATATAGTGACATTTTGATTGATACATTGTCAGCTTAGCAAAACCATTTTAAAGATGATGCTTATTATGTTCCCTAATGTCGGCGATTTGAATATATCACCTTTTGGCGTCAGAAATTTTTCATGTTGCTGAAATTGGGTCCAATTTGTTTGATTACATATGCTGGTTACAAAGTTCACTTGTTTTATCTTCGTTGTCATATGAGCTATAAATATAACCATGAATTTTGAATTTGCGAGACGTTTTGGGAATACGTGACATATCTCAAACATAGTAATGAACAGTTCCACAGAAACATGGTGATTATCGATTGTGGGACGTGGTGATTTTGATTTGTGAATTCAGGAAAATCTGAAGTGTAGTATGTATTAGTAACGTAACAAATCAATTGCAGTACTCATGTTTGTAGTTTCATGGAAACAACGTTAAATCCTCTAAATAAACGACTCAACGAGTGTCATGTATATATAACACATTTATATCTTTGGAATGCCTTAGGGAAGGCCCAAGCCACAATACAACTATGACTGCAAAGATTAATCAAATGTAGCAACATTCAATAAACCGCTGTTCAAACCAGACCAGAATAACCGCTATAAGTCTATAACAGACTAATCAACTATACCAATAACACGAAACCAATATTCGATTTTACAACACCCAACACAACCAAAACAAAAAGAACACTCAAATGCCGCCATAATTCAAGTACTGATTGCAAATTTGCAACCTAACCTACTAAGGCTTGTTCCGGTCATTGAGGAATTTTTTGGTTAAACCGCAACCAAGCGCCTCATCAGGTATCTTCCCGATCCGGTTTAATCCCTCCGCGAAAACCACACCCATACCCATATGCAAATGCGGTTCGATGTGGCAATGGAAAAACCAAACCCCAGGATTGTCCGTCACAAATCTTAACGCCGTCCATCCGTATGGAAACAACGACACCGTATTCCGTAACGGCGGATTCTTCAGATTATACGTCTTCTCGTCGGTTCCGCGTTTGAATTTTCCATCGCCGTAACCCAAAACCCAGAAATCGTGGCCGTGAAGATGCCATGGATGGATCTCGCTGCCGTTTCCGTCTAATACGTTGGCATTTTGGAGAATCACATCGACGGTTACGTTGAACGGGAAAGTGTAGATCCCGCTTCCTTTGGTGGTGTTACGATACCGCGGCGGATTCATGATGTCGTAATCCATCGAGAAACTCTTGGGCGGCGATTTCCGATTGAATCCGCCTTTCAAATTGTATTTCACGGATCCGAGATACGGCGTTCCCGGGACCGCAAGAGAGACGTTGTTGAGCGCCCACTTCGTGAATCCGTCGATCAGATTCTGGGTGTTGAGGAGGATCAATCGCTTGTTGAATTTCCTCGGTGGCGCCGGAGTTCCCATCGCGGCGAAGATCCTCTTCGAGAAATTCTTGCTCCGTTCGAAATCGTTCCATTGCGGAGTTACCGGCGGCGGAGAGGAAGGGGATTGGAAAGACGGCGCAGTTACGTAATGTAAAACAGTGAGTGCCGGAGGTGTCTTGGGTTTCCGGCCGCGGACGCCGACGGAGATCCAGTAGTTTTGGGAAGGGTCTTGGTCGGTGGTGAGAAGGACGGAGTAGCTCTCGCCGGAATATATATCGATATCGTCGGTGACGAACGGTGTAATGTAGTTGCCGTCGGCCTCTACTACCACTAGCTTGTGTCCCTGCACGTGTAAAAATTTGAACGCACGTGTGTGATTAAAACCTTTTTTTTCTGTGTTCCCGGAAATTTTTTGAATAAAGAGATGTTTGTAATTTGACACTCTTGGACCAAAACTTAGAATTAGGCCTTGTAAATGAGCCCATATATATCATTAAAAGGAAGACTTGTGGAGCTTTTAAAAGGAAAAAATATCAAATCGAAAATCATAACTCAAAATATTCTTTGTAGAAACTTAATTTTTTAAAATATGATTAAAAAACAAAATTTGGATAAACAGAATTGATATTTATGTCTTTATTTAATTTGTAAAAGTAAAAACTCCACAAATTGATATTAAGATGTGTCATTGTCAGCTACAAGCCCAAATTGGAAAATTTTGCTTTAATAGAAAAATGGCTATACAAAATTGCGTAATGGCAGTATTTCAGACTTTTCAGTTGAGCCAAACTGGATTGAAAAGGAGTTTGGATCTCAGAGTCAGAAAAGTAAGTGAGGTCAGTTTTCAATCAACTAGTGTGAGTTGTGAGTGAGACAAGTCTAACAAGAACCCCTCTATCTACGGAACGATTAATGTACACATCTCTTTATATGAATAATATATTTTGTGGTGTGAAATTTGACACCGTGCTATGCAATATCTACAAGGACCTAGTCCATCACTTTACGCTGCAGTCTAAGTACCAACTCATAATAATAGTCTGGCACAGTCACAAGATTTTATGGTGGCTTCATCATTCTTTTGCTTTTAGTTTTTATTTCCTTATCAATTATTGCTGGTTTTATTTGTCACGTCTAAAGAAATCGCTATACTACTTTAGTTTGTGGGTTTTGATTTGCCAAATGATATGACCTGAAAACATTTGTTTTTGTCAACAAATAAAATATGCTTGTTTGGATGTAAAGGTTAATATTTTTATAGATAAGGTTAAATCTTCAATTGACTTTTCTCTCTAACTTGATGCCTACATGTAAATTGCAATTATTATTCTTATTATTTTTCTACAATTTTAATTTTATAATAAATTTCTAATGAATTAAGAATTATTAAGAAGTAAATAAAAATGTAGAAAATGCAAAACCTGAACAGCCAAGTTGAGGGAGGCAAGAGCGGTGGTGCTGGCGAGTCTGATTCGGTAAGTCTTGTTAGGCTCCACGTGGAGTCTCTGTGGTGCGCACTGATCTCCGTCTTTGAACTTGCAACTAGGTACCGATTCGTTGCTAAATTGTGACGCAATTGAACAGTTGAATTGTCCCCTCCCATTTATCAATATGCTCTTCAATTTCAAAACAAAATAAAATGATTTTAAGAAGCGAGGAAAACAATTTTTACATTTAAAAAGTCGAATTTTATTGTTGACGCCTAGAAAAAGGCCTATATTCTGCGTAATATTTTATTTTCTTCTTCTTTTTTTTGTAGTTCCAAAAGAAAAACCTCAGTGGCCAATCAACCCACACTGAAGGAAGAATGAACTCTTTTTAGAAAAAAATGATTATGAACATATCACATTCGAAGGAAGACTTCACTTTTTAAAAAAGGAATAGCTAAAAAGCCAATATTTCCAGCTGTGTATATCACTGGTGCCTATTGCTATAAGTCTTTTAAATCACCACTACTAAAAAGGAGAAAAATGGATCTACTTTCAAAAAAAACAAAGCCAAAAATGTAAACTGAAAATTAAGTAAAAGTTAAAATAAGATGGAAAAAAACCTGAGCTTCACCGATCCAACGCATGGGTTTGGAAGAAAGACCGAGTTCTTGGGAGAGAATACTCTCATGCCACCAGTCGCTAAGTAAGAGAGTAAACTCTCCATCGTATCTCAATGGCTCTCTCTTTCCTTCGGCCACGTCCACAATCAACGATCCGTAAAGCCCTGCTGATCTCTGCATGCCGTAGTGTCCGTGATAGAAATGTGTTCCTGGCTGCACCGTATCATATTGTTCCGAATTACATGTTGATTCTTATTTTCATCTATTTTACTAAAATAAAATAGATAAAAAGTTACCTTATCAACAGTGAAATTGTAGGTAAAAGTCTCGCTAGGATTAATGGCACATTGGGTAACTCCCGCTGCTCCATCTGCCCATGGACTTCCCAGCTGCATTATTTACAAAACGCAATTAGTTTTTTTTTCTCACTAATCTACTTGTATGGAAATCGCAAGAAATAGAGTAGTGTTAAGCACAGTAACAACTTGTAAACGGAATCTCCTAGAAAAGTGTACCAAGTTTACTTATTAAGTGCTGTGACAGTCTTTAAACAATAAATTGCGTCCAATAAACCAACTTCCGAAGATGACTCGTAAATTCAAAATAGATAATAGAGTCGATGCATGGCATGTGCTTAGAAACCATTATTTGATCTGCAACTCTACCCATTTTTCTTTATTCTTTAATCTCGAATGACAAACGAGGTAATATTTATTTATACAATGGAAAACATTTATTTGATGCTTATGGGTATGAAAAAAACAAACAGAATAAAAGGTAATTAAGATCTGAATGAGTTCAACTGGTGAGTGATGATCCCTTTTCGTGTCTACTGTTTAAGATCCGTTTTTTTTTCTCAAAAGAAAATGAAATATACAAAACAATCTCCCGTAGAGGTGTTTTCTTAATCCAATAAATTATAGATGTAAAGAACGTTTAAACATCAGAGACTAGTCTAGATTTTAGTTTAGAATCTCCTAATTATTATTCAGAATAAAGTAGAGAACCTGACGAATTCCATGCCAATGGATAACAAGGCCTTCGGTGGCGAGTTTGTTAGTGAGATGGACGACGATGGTGTCTCCGGCGACGGCATTTATGGTGGGGCCAGGAAATTGGTCGTTAACGGTCATGACCATGCCTTCTACGCAGTCAGGCCACCTAAACTTGTACTCAACCTCCCAATTATACTCTCTCACGGCGGCAGAAGCCGTGTGAGCCAAGATAGCCACCACCGCTATCCACCACATACCCATCTATGGCTTATGTATGTGAATGATATTGTATGCTCATCATAGATTTATAGAGAGAGTTTGGAAGAGAGAGGGATAAATAATGCGCAAAATCATCAATTGGGTTTATTGGTCAAAAATGATTTTTATTTTTTCTTTTTCTTTTGGGGTTTTTTTTAGTTTGGTCACAAGATTTATGGACAAAATTATGATCGTGTAAACAAATCAAAATATCTCAAGAAGATTCGGAATAGTAGGTGGTCTCATGATACATGTTTATAGGGGTGATCGTTTGAATTTGTCTTAGAAGATTAGATCACGTTCACAATCTTTATATTGCCAACTTTATAAAGCTCACCCTCGTGGTTGGTTTTTTTTCTTTCTTTCTTTTAAAGGGTTTTCAAGCCAGATATAGTATCACAAGGATATGACTTTGAGGTCATATAGTTTGAGAAAGTTGGTTGAGAAAACAAAGAGAGCTCTACAACAAAATAGAAATCTAACTAGAGGAGAGTAAGATTTAGAGATGACTCGTGGTTGGTTTTGAATATGTAATATAAGTATTAAGTTAAGCTAACTATCACGTATTCAGTAGATGTCAATATTAAATGTCCCTCTTTCTTGTCTCTAACATTTTTACGTATGATAATCTATCATAGTTTTTCTTTTTCTTTTTGCCAACAAAAATTATTTTTAAATCTAAGTCTAGTAATGTATAACCTTTTATTAAAAAGAAAATGTCTACTAATTTAGATCCACGTATATTTTGTTTTTGTCACGACATCACGTCTATAACTATGGAAATTGTCTTTTCTTATCTCATTGAAAACGTTTGACATAAAAGTTTTTTTTTTGCTGAAACGTTTTTACTTTTGAATGTCTACATTCAACTCTTATAAAGTAAGTATGTGCATGTGAAATGATGATAAAAAAAAATCGACGAAAGCTTCACGAAAAATGGTGAAACCTACTTATAAAATTTGATTGTTTAGATCTCCTTGTTGAAAACTTCAAGGAGATGCCCCCCTTATCACCATTTCTCGAATTTGTCTGGTCCATAAAACATTGGGATACCACAATGATTCGTCCTTTCTTTATAGTTGTATCTTTCTTTATTAATGTTCTTTTAACTCGTGTTAATATACTTTTGGCGACCTATAGTAATCTTAATTAGTTGGAAAGCTGGCATGCGCAGAAGAATTTATATAATAGTGTATACAATAAAACGCACAAGAAGTAAAGAAATCGTTTCTTAAAAGAGTACAAAAAAATCTCATGTGTGAAGCTCACATGTAGTCTGAAAATTACAATAGTTTAGGAGAAACATACGCTAGGCTCATAAAAGACAAACAACTGAACAAAATATATTATAGATTCTACTATTTAAACTCATGATATACACAACCAACAAAAACTTTTGTAATTTCTTGTATTGGAATTCTTTGTCGTATAATCAATTGAGATCCACAATGCATTATTTTACTTTCATGTAACTATTCATAAGACAAAACAAATTTACTCTGATTGTTTTCTTCAGAAAACTTAAGAGATACACAACGAATTAGTGTTTTAATTAACAACCATGAGAGAGGTCATTAAACAAAACACACACAAACACACCATTAAAAGCACGTTGGTATAGCGCCGGTTTTTTAACGGCGTCCCCGGTTCATGAGCCATTTCCTGGTTAATCCACAACCGAGCGCCTCGTCCGGTATATCCATCTTACCGATCCGGTCTACTCCCTCAGCGAAAACCACACCCATACCCATATGCAAATGCGGTTCGATGTGGCAATGAAAAAACCAAACCCCAGGATTGTCCGTTACGAATCTTAACGCCGTCCATCCAAAAGGATACAACACCACCGTATTCCGTAACGGCGGATTTTTCAGATTATACGTCTTCTCGTCGATTCCGGGTTTGAATTTCCCTTCGCCGTAACCCAAAACCCAGAAATCGTGGCCGTGGAGATGCCATGGATGGATCTCGCTGACCACACCTTTTAAGACGTTCGCGTTCTGGAGAATCACGTCGACGACGATTCCCGACGGGAAATTGTAGATCCCGCTACCTTTCGTGGTGTTTGGATTCACCGGCGGTTTCATGATGTCGTAATCCCCTATTAATACCTTTCCCGGCGATTTCAAATGGAGCGCCGGTGTTATATTGTATCTGATGGATCCCAAGTACGGCGTCGCCGGCACGGATAAGGAGACGTTGTTGATTGCCCATTTGGTGTAGTCGTCGATCAGATTCTGTGTGTTGAGGAGGATGAGCTGGTCGTCTGATTTCTCCGGCGGCGGCGGATATCCTTTCGCGGCGAAGATTTTATTCGTGAAGCTTTTGCTCCGGTTGTAGTCGTCCCACCTGGGGGTAACCGGCGGCGGACGAATTGGGCGTTCGGCGTCAGAGGCACCGACGTAATGTAACATGGTCAGTGCCTGAGTGGTGTTGGGTTTCCGACCACGAACGCCGACGGAGATCCAGTGCTTCGAGGAAGGAGTTGAGTGGGTTCTGAGAAGAACGGAATAGGTCTCGCCGGAGTAAATGTCAATGTCGTTGACTTTGAACGGTGCGACGTAGTTGCCGTCGGCTTCCACAACCTCCAGCTCGTGTCCCTGCACGGACGCAATAAACCACACGTGTGATCTAACTACAATATGGCTTTTTTTTCTTTCTCAATAATTGATACATAAATATGCAAATAATTTTATCTTAATCTATTTTGATGCAAATTTCATGATAAAAGAAAACATACTTTGTCAAATTTAAATGCTTTTCCTTCTATAAAAATCGGGAACTTTCAAAAGAAGAATAAAAAATCTCTTTTGATTGGAAACTTAGATTAAAAATATTCATTTGATTTCAAACAAAATAAAGCCAAAAATATGATCAAAATTAGAAACTTACTTCAACGGCCAAATTGAGGGAAGCAAGAGCAGTGGTGCTAGCGATTCGAAGACGATAAACTCTGTTAGGCTCGACACGTAAAGTTTCAGGTGCGCATTGATCATTTTCTCTAAACGTGCACTGTTTCAATCCTATTGTTTTGTTAAAATACGCCGCTTGTGAGCAGTTGGATTGTCCTCTTCCGTTGATTAATAAACTTTGAGGCTCGCCGATCCAACGCATAGGGGAAGTGGAAAGAAAGAGTTCTTGCAAGTGAATGCTTTGGTGCCACCAATCACTGAGCAACAGATTAAACTCTCCGTCGTAACGTAGTCTCTCTTTCGGTGATCTCACTATCAACATCCCGTAAAGTCCAGCCGATCTTTGCATCCCGTAGTGTCCGTGGTAGAAATGTGTTCCCGCCTACACAGTTTTTCATTTTCCAACCAAAAAACGTTGTCGTTTCCATTTTATATATTTCTTCAGCAATTCTACGTTTTTGTAAAGGTGGTGAAACAGAGAAAATGTTTTACCTTATCGACAGTGAAATTGTAAGTGAAAGTCTCGCCAGGGCTAATGGCACATTGCGTCACACCTGCTGCTCCATCTGCCCATGGAGTCCCAATCTATTCCATAATCACATAAATGAAGAAATTTATTTGACTGACAATTGGAGAGACAAAATTTACATTTGTATTTGTTGCTAAAAAACATAATCCCATTACAAAATACAAAAAGCAATTAAAATTGTAATCCGGCCATTCTGCGGGTTAGTCCCAAAAATTCATTCCAGAATAACAAATCATTTTTAAAAAAAATCATACAGATTTGGTTTTGATTCATAACTTCGTAAAATATTTGGCAGAGAAAAGATAAGTAATTGTAAAATGATATAAAAGATAAAATCTAAAATGGAATAAAAGAGAAAATCTTGATTTAACTTTAAAAGCCACAGAAGTCAGAACACGGGTTTCAGTTCACAATTACGAATTATCTTTTGTTGATTATGCAGGATGATTGAACAGAAAGATGAAAAATGAGATTTATTAAAAGTTTGACCGGGTAAATAAAAGACACATATATGTAAATGTATAAAATAAGCTTCTCGTCACATTTTTCTTGGATTTTGACTTCTTGACACATTGCATGCGTATATTTTGTATATGAGGTAAGAAAATTTAGAGTAATAAACAAACCTGACGTATGCCGTGCCAATGGATGACAACGCCTTCGGTGGAGAGCTTGTTGGTGACGTGGATGATGAGGGTGTCTCCAGCGACGGCGTTTATCGTCGGCCCCGGAAACTGGCCGTTGATGGCCATCACCATGCCTTCTTTACAGTCCGGCCACCAAAATTTATACTTTACCTCCCACTCTGCTTCTATAACCCCGGCAGAGGCCGAGTGAACCGCCACAACCACCACCGTCACTAGCCACAACACCATTGCCGCCATGGGATATTTTGTGTGTGTGTGTGTGTGTGGCTGAATATTGTTAAGTACAAAATAGCTTGTTATGAAAGAGGCTTTTGTACACATATATAGAAAGGGGGTCGTTGTTTTGTTTAAATTTCAAAAAATATAGCCAAAGAAAATATTAATAAGTTTCATTATTTAGTTTGTTTTTTTGTGTTGGAATAGGCAGTTTATTTTTGTGTGGATGTTAGTGGTCGAAGCTGAAAAAATTATGTCTTTACAGACGGAAAGACAAAGACGACAAGATCAATGGGACCATGTTTCTTGGCAATTTGGTATGGGGGACATTGGAGTGGTGCAATTCGTATCGTTTTCAGATGATTTACTTGGAAAAGACCGTCAATCCAATAATCAAGATTTAAAGGTTTGAAATAAAAAATAAAATGAGCAATTTATTACTATTCATGTATTTATACGACCGCGCGTTTTCTCTCACGCACCAAAGAATGTACAGTAGCTGTATTTGTTAATCCACTGCTGCTATTATCGGCTGTGAAACCGCATTTTTGTGTGTACATGTTGTAAAAAAAGTTGCTTTTCATAGAACTTTTCTTTTCTTTTCATGTAAATATTTCTGAACAAAAAAAAGAAAGAAATTGACAAGTGTCTATTACTGAGAGAAACTGCTGAGAAGTTCTTTATCAAAAAAGAGAAACTGCTGAAGTTGATGCCCAATGAATGGAATAACGTAAAAGGCAACACAATAATCGAGTTTATGCCTTCATCGAAATCGAAAAAGACAACAAAAAAGAGTTCACATCAATATTTAATTGAGTTGTTTGTTCCTCCATCAACATGTTATCAAAATATCTTGTAATGTTTTCATATGTATGCCCTCATGGCCTCATTTTTAAGTTTTTTTTTTTTTTTCTGTAGATACTATTTTTGTTCGTTGGTCGGCTTGCCTCTTACAAAATAAATTAACAACTGATGATAAATAGTTTTTCATTTATGTGATTTTTCTTCTTCTTTTCAGTCGCACAATACTGAAAACATGCTTATAAGCCATTGGCCTCAAAATCAAACACGACTGGAGGTGAGTAACCATCAAACCATGCAACTATTGGAGATATTGAGAACGTGGTTCTTTATATAAGCCACAGACTTCTTAAGTGGCTATGAACAGCACTCCCAAGATAGGGTTACTTGTTTATAAGCGCAATTTGTTAATGAACATTCGCAAGGTGAAAAATGACGAGCGTACTCATAAACAGTTGTATAGTAAATGCAAGTCGATAACAAACCTTCTCAATTACGTCGACAATACACTCAAACAACTCCTGAATGCAGTGTGGTACAACATGTCGTCTGCAAAGCATACATCTGAAAATGTTTTTCTTTTCTTATCACCAATCATAGTTCAATTCATTTTTCTAATAGCCAAATTTTTACATTGTAATTTACAGATAGTTAATACAGTATGCATCAATATGTATCAGTACGCAATATGAATGCGTATATATATATGCTTTAATATGGGATACGCAATATGTTCGATTCTTAAAACTTCAAACTTGTATTATATGAATGCGCAATATGTTCATACTTACAACTTGTAGACAATTATCTCACTGGTTGGTTGCAAATAAATGTATAATTATGGGAATTTTTGTACCACGAACACAGTGAGTGAGCTCTCGTAATCGGTACACTTCACGAGACCCACCAAGAAAAAGGTACGTAACGTAATTGGTTCTCCTCTTTATTCTGGCAATTTAGACGGTCTCACACGTGACTTATAAAGGACTTTGTATCATATGATTTGTCGATGATGAATTGTAGTGAAATGGACATCAATTGATATAAACCAAACATTAGTTATGGAAACTAGCTGGAAATATAAATATAGTAAAAAAACAAAAGCACCCAAATCCTTTTCTTTTTTTGCTTTAATATGACAGATCTTACACAAGTGTTAACGTTGAAGACAAGGCAAAGAAGTTGATACCAATACAAATGTTACTTCTCAGTGTCACACAACGAACGTTACAGTACGCAGAAGGCGCATGTAGAAATTTAACATACATACAGACCTCAGTCTTGGGGTGGCTCAGTCTCAATTGAGACAGATGATAACTGATTCGATTTTTTTTTTTTTTTTCATATATAATATTACATATATACTTATGACATGATAGATGAGAGATTTGATATAGTGGTGAAGTGTTCTTACAAGGTCACCCCCCAATTTCTTCTTTTCAGGTTTTGCTAGTCGTTTCAGGTGCAGTTTGTGTCGTAGCTCGCAAGACCGAGCAGTTCCGGTCCCTCCAATCTCGGGTTGTTCTCAAAGCTGCACAATTTTTTTTGAGTTGTTAGGAACCAACTTGCTCATATGCCTTTTATGTAATAGGGGTGAGAACAAAATGCAAAATGTAGGAGAAAGAGAAACATTATCAAGAAACTTACTTCTCCAAAGGAATGTGTACAAAAGGTCCATTGGTTGGGATTGTTCCACACAAGTTATTGCTCGAGACATCACTGAGAAGTATGACAAAGAAGATATGGTTTTAAGTAAGAGCATGAAGTCAATTGGTGATAGATAAAATGGGATCCAAAGACTGGTGATTCAGAGAACAGAAGCAGAGCGTTGTAGCAAACAAGCAATGCAATATAGAAATGTGGGTAAGCTGAACTTACACAACTTTAAGGCTTGAGACTGCCGTGAGTTCTCTAGGGATTGGACCGGTCAATTTGTTGTCGTTAAGCCGTCTGCCACATTAAACAGTTTCTTAATAACTTGTTCTCAGAGCTATATAAATGGGTATACTTATCAGTGAGTCCATGTCAGGAGTATTAGAAAAACTTACAGAAATACGAGAGACTTCAACTTTCCCAAGGAAGTAGGCACTTTCCCCGTAAGATTGTTGTTGTATAGATCCAGGCTGATGAGATTCTTGAGGTTCCCAAGTTCAGAAGGTACAGTTCCTTGGATGTTGTTTTTGTACAGCTCCCTGTGAAAATTATAGGAAAAGTTTAAAAGTTAATCTGCATTGTCAATTACGTAAAACACTCTCATACTGGGTGCTTTAGGTGTACTATATGGTATGTTGTAACTTTATTTCCACTATCTAACTTTATTACAGCTGGCAGTGGGAAAAGTTGAAATTTGAAAAGTTCAAGCCAAAAGAGTGATGACTTACAGATACTGTAGATGTTCAAGCTTCCCAAGCTCAGGTGCAAGATGTCCAGAAAGGTTTGAATTACCCAAATCCCTGCCAAAAAACCGTATAATCAGAGATACACTTTAAAGAACAATAAGATTACAGGAGATAGTAAGCATTCTTTTTAGATACTTGTTATTGATTCATCAAACAGTTCTGAGAGATAAATAGATCTAATCAATTACAAGGAATCAACGATTCTTCTAAAAGAGTAAAGACTCACAAAGAAGGGAACAATAAGTAATCTAAATCAGTAACAGAGCATCTCGATAATCATGAGGTACAAGTAAGATTGAACTGCTTAATACATGTAATTACTATTCGAGATTTTTTCGAGACCTTTAAGGAATCCAATGACTAGAAAGTTAAACAAGAAAGTGTTTTTTTTTTTTTCTTTCTAATTGCCGTACTCTGCATTTGAAGCTGTGAAAAAGACCATATCATAAACCTTAAAGGAAAACAAAATAAAACGACCCCCCGTTTGATTAAGAAGTGTTTCCAAGGGCAAAGGGAAAGCTAAAATCTGAAAAATCATCACACCAGACCATCAAACTAAATCCCTCTTTGAATTAACAAGATATACGTTCATGAAATCCTATCATTTGTTTAACGGGATGTTCATCAGAGTTAATTTTTTGCTCTTCTTCATCTCAAAATCTAACAACAATTATGGTCTAGTTTATATTATATATCTTCCCCAATGATCAAATATGACTCTTAACACCATCATGTTAAAGCTCAAGACATAAATCGACTGAAACAAAAAAAGCTTTGTTGACGCTAACCAGAATTAGAAACCGAGTCATAATTTATATCCTAAAAATAAAGCAAGAATTCATAAGAGAGAGAGGGTCAATTACTCAATTCTGAGAGATATGGAGACTGTATCAAAAGAATCTCCATAGAATCTCGGCGGATCCAAAACAGGAGCTAAGAAAGAGGATCTTACACTCGAGTGACGCGGTTGTCTTGGTTACAGGTGACATGGAACCAGGTGCAAGGGTTTACAAGAGTCGGATCCCAGCTCTGGAGGACATGGTCCGGGTCTGTCAAGCTCCGGCGAAGAGCGTAGAGAGCATCTCCCTCGGAGTTTGCCTCCACCAGGTGAATCAAAGCTAAGGTTAGGGTTAGCGAAGCTGCGAGGAGCTCCCACCGACAGTTTCGGGAAGCCATGTGAGCTATCGGAAAGGAATTTGAGTAAGAGGATAGAGCAAAATTAGGGTTTTCGTTCCCCTTTTGTTTTTGTTTCTCGAAGTTGAAGAAATCGATTATGCGATTGCCGTGGGAAATGACGGACTGAAATACTACTTTTTCAGTTTTTTAAATATATAAAATTCCTGTCTTTTTTTGTTCTTTGATTAATCTTTTTTTTTATTAAGCTGTTCTTTATTCCATTTCAATGAACGTACAATACACTCCAAGAGATAAATACAGATGAATATGAATGATTAAGTTTGGATATAATGATATTAAATTACTTTTTAGAACTTCAGAAAATTATAGAAAATAGTGGGTTTTGCTTTAGATCTAAATTAAAATAACTGTATTTTGATAAATGGATGAAATTTAAACTTGTGGATTTTATTGTTGTCAACAGTTAAACGTTGATTTTTCAAGAGAAAGGGAAAGTAAAGGAAAGTCTTCTAAAGTCTTTTTTGGTTTAAAAGTCTTCTAGTAACTTGTTGGTCAAAGAGGTTGGTCAAAAATGGAGACTAGAGTTCACGCGGAAACAAACAGTGCTTTAGTTGTTTGTGCACACATTATTCTTGTGACACGATGAAAATTTGATACCATGAATAATGTGATATAGTATTTACTTTTAGTTAGTTTGGTACACGAATTAATTTATGATTGATGATGGAATATGAGTTTTCTGCACTAACTTAAAAAAAAGGAGTTAAGTGCAAGTGCAACATCATTAGAATTACAGTAAGATTTTTTTAAAAGTCAATGATATTCGATTCAGAAGATGGAATCTGATCCGACAAACACATAACACTTAAATGTCGGAATAATAGCAACTCCACTCTCCGTATTAAATAAGGGTACAAAGAAAGATTACGAAAAGTGAAGTTAATGTCCTTTCCTAAACGACGCCGTCTCTTCGAAATCGCTGGCCTGAATATGGGTTTTTGGTGGGTCGGCTTTAAGCTAAACAGGCGAACAGTTCTGAAGTCGTACCTATGTTGTCCAGAATCAGCTATAGTTACGGCCCATTAGAGTGTTGTTTCTTGGGGAATAAGAAAGCTTTTAAATTTGGTTTAGAGGTTTGAGAATGAGAGGATGTGATTGCATTTTACCCAAAAATAGTCCACTAATTCACGTTACATTTATCTCCCACCATTATTCAACCATACATCGTTTTAACTTTCAAACATCCTCTGCAATTCTGCATCAATTGGTATGTTAACGAAAACAAACATGACAAGTTCAGGCGTCTCACTAACAAAAACGACCAATTAATTTATTATTTAATTTGATATTGTGTAATCAGTATCTTTATTTTAATATCAAAATCATTAATGGCCAAAAAAACAAAAATAGTAAATCCAAGGGGAAGAAAAAAAACAAGAGAGAGAGAGAGAAAGAGTGGAGGAGCTTTCAAAATCTGGTTTGGTTTTGAAAAAAAAAACAGATGAAAGTCCCGCAATTATCTCCTCTTTTACCAAACACCTCCTCGATTCTCTTCTCTTCTTCTTCTTCTTCTTCCTCCATTTCTCTTTCTCCTTCGCGTCTCTCGATTTCCTCTTCCGATGGATCTCTGTTTCGATCATTCGTCATCCCGATCCGACTCCTCCGCTTCTGTTTGATCCATTGCATTTCACGATGTGCGCTTCCGCCATGTGTCTGTGAATCTCGTTTCCTTCTTCGAATCTTCGCGGAGGAGAGATAGAGAGCGATGGGTGTCGTTTCTAGGACCGTTTTCCCCGTATGCGAAAGCTTGTGCTGCTTTTGTCCGGCTTTGCGCGCCAGATCGAAACATCCCGTCAAGAGATATAAGCATCTTCTCGCTGATATCTTCCCTCGATCCCTGGTTTGCTTTCCGAATCGATTTCTCTTTAAATCCACATTGCACACAAAGTGTTCTACATATTGACTATGTGAATTTATCTCTAGGATGAGCAACCAAATGATCGAAAAATCAGTAAACTATGTGAATACGCTGCCAAAAACCCACTTCGTATCCCTAAGGTGAAATTTTCACAACTTCTCCTTCAAAATTCTATGATTTTTGGATTGAGTTATCTTCAGTTTTAAGGCATTGATTCCATATAATGTTTTCCAGATTACAACCTATCTTGAACAAAGGTTATACAGGGAACTGAGAATGGAGCAGTTTCACTCTGTAAAGATTGTTATGTGTATCTACAAGAAGCTCTTGGTTGCCTGTAATGAACAAATGTATGCTCTCTATTTATTATTCATTCAACATTTTTAAGATAAATTGTGCGGCTTTCCTAATGAATTTATGTCATACAGGTCGTTGTTTGCTAGTAGCTACCTTGGCCTCATTCATATTCTTCTAGATCAAACTAGGTATGATGAGATGCGCATGTTAGGTTGTGAAGCTATCTTTGATTTTGTTACCAATCAGGTGCGTAGCTCTTGCTTATCTTAACAAGTCCTTGCCTTTTGATAAACAAAAATTATATTTTTGGAGATTCCAAGTCTGATAAATTCTGTTACTGAATTTTGCAGACAGAGGGAACCTACATGTTTAACTTGGATGGGTTGATCCCAAAAATCTGTCCTTTAGCTCATGAACTGGGAGAAGAAGAAAGGACAACAACTTTGTGTTCTGCTGGGCTTCAAGCCCTCTCATCTTTGGTACTCATATAACTCCAGTTTTCTTACTCCATTTGAATTGTTATTTCTAGCACTGAATATGACTGAGTTTGCTTCACAGGTTTGGTTCATGGGAGAGTTTTCACATATCTCAGTTGAATTTGACAATGTAAGCTTGCTTGGAAGTTATTTTATGAAATCTAAAAGGCCCTTTCTTTTTAACAGCTCAAGTATAAGTTGTAGTCTATTAAGTGTGGATGTTTTATTTAGTATGTTGAATCATTTGTCCCCTTCTTTGCTTTTATTCGTTTCAGGTTGTCTCTGTCGTCTTGGAAAATTACGGAGGCCTCAGTAAATCTTCCTCTGCTGGGGTAAATCAAGAGAACAAGATTTCTTCTTCTGATAAAGAACTTTCTCCAGCTGAAGCTGAAACAAGGATTGCTTCTTGGACAAAAATCGTGGATGACAGAGGCAAGGCAATTGTATCTGTGTAAATCCTTCTACTCAAGCTTTACTTTGGCATGCTTGTTTTCTTTCTAGAATATATATATATATATATATATATACGTGTCCGCTTCTCTATTTGTTTCTGATTAAAGCGACGGTGCAGGGAGGATGCTAAAAGCCCCAAGTTTTGGTCGAGGGTTTGTCTACATAATCTGGCAAAGTTGGCTAAAGAAGCTACAACCGTGCGGCGTGTTCTCGAGTCACTCTTCCGGTACTTTGATTTCAATGAAGTTTGGTCCACCGAGAACGGTCTCGCTTTATATGTTTTGCAGGACGTCCAGTTGCTCATAGAACGATCTGGTTCGTATTGTCTCCATTTGGTTTTGGAATACTCATCTTGTGAATGAATACTAATAGTGTTAGTTTAATTGACTACAGGGCAAAACACGCATTTCCTGCTGTCCATCCTCATCAAGCATCTCGATCACAAGAATGTTCTAAAGAAGCCTAGAATGCAACTCGACATAGTCTATGTTGCTACTGCACTTGCCCAACAGACTAAAGTCCTGCCATCCGTGGCGATTATTGGTGCCTTGAGTGATATGATTAGGCATCTAAGGAAGAGCATTCATTGTTCATTAGATGATTCAAATCTAGGGAATGAGATGATTCAATATAATATGAAGTTTGAAGCTGCAGTTGAACAATGCCTCGTGCAGTTATCCCAGAAGGTAGCCCCTATTAGCCCCCAAGAGTCTCTAAAAGCTACGCATGATAATTGAATCTAAAATTAAACTGATAAGTCTGTCGAAATGTAGGTAGGAGATGCAGGTCCGATCCTTGACATAATGGCTGTCATGTTGGAGAGCATGTCAAATATCACAGTCATGGCGAGAACTCTAATCGCTGCTGTTTTCCGCACAGCACAAATCATAGCAGCTATACCAAATTTATCATATGAAAACAAGGCAAGATACTAGAACCTTGAAGTTTCTTCTATATCTCTCTTTTTAAACCAAAACTGCAAGGGAATATATAAGAAGATAACATGCAATTTTTTTTCACAGGCTTTTCCAGATGCACTTTTCCATCAGCTGCTTCAAGCTATGGTCTGTGCTGACCATGAATCGAGGATGGGGGCCCACCGTATATTTTCAGTTGTTCTGGTCCCATCTTCTGTTTGTCCGGATTCAGTTCCGAAGTCCAAAAGGCCTGCTGATATGCAGAGGACGTTGTCAAGAACCGTGTCTGTGTTTTCTTCCTCAGCTGCACTGTTTAGAAAACTGAAGGTGGAGTCGGATAGTTCGGTTGAGGATACTGCAAAGATGGAGAGAGTTTCAACACTTAGCAGGTCACAGTCGAAATTCACAAGAGGTGAAAGTTTTGACGACGAGGAGCCAAAGAACAATACTAGCTCAGTGTTGAGCCGGTTAAAGTCGAGTTACAGCCGAAGTCAGAGTGTGAAAAGGAACCCGTCAGTAATGGTACTAGATCCGACTTCTTCGGGAGGTTCATCAGAGAAACCAGTATGTTCCACATTTCGACTTGTTAATATAACCAATCATTCATTTATCATTTTGTTATAATTGGTTACGATGACTTCTAACTGATACTTCCAGGTTATACCTTTAAGATTAAGCAGCCACCAGATTTGCCTTTTGCTTTCGTCGATTTGGGTGCAGTCCTTGTCTCCTCACAACATGCCACAAAATTACGAAGCCATTGCTAATACATTTAGCTTGGTACTTCTATTTGGACGTACTAAGGTATTTGTATTAATCATAGTAAAAAAAAACACATCATACTATCTAGTTGCTTTCATGTTTCACCATAAAAGTTATACACTGCATTGATGTTTTGATAAATTTATGTAGAACTCTAGCAACGAGGTCTTGGTCTGGAGCTTTCAGCTAGCATTTTCATTGCGGAATCTCTCTCTT